GCTCTTTCTATTCCTATTGCTCACTCCCTCCTCTTGCTCTCTCTGCTCTTTCTATTCCTATTGCCCACTCTCTCTCCTCTTGCTCTCTCTGCTCTTTCTATTCCTATTGCTCACTCTCTCTCCTCTTGCTCTCTCTGCTCTTTCTATTCATATTGCTTACTCTTCCCCTCTTGCTCTCTCTGCTCTTTCTATTCCTATTGCCCAATCTCTCTCCTCTTGCTCTCTGCTCTTTCTATTCCTATTGCCCACTCTCTCCTCTTGCTCTCTCTGCTCTTTCTATTCCTATTGCCCACTCTCTCCCCCTCTTGCTCTCTCTGCTCTTTCTATTCCTATTGCTCACTCTCTCTCCTCTTGCTCTCTCTGCTCTTTCTATTCCTATTGCCCAATCTCTCTCCTCTTGCTCTCTGCTCTTTCTATTCCTATTGCCCACTCCCTCCTCTTGCTCTCTCTGCTCTTTCTATTCCTATTGCCCACTCTCTCCCCCTCTTGCTCTCTCTGCTCTTTCTATTCCTATTGCTCACTCTCTCTCCTCTTGCTCTTTCTATTCCTATTGCCCACTCTCTCTCCTCTTGCTCTCTCTGCTCTTTCTATTCCTATTGCTCACTCTCCCCTCTTGCTCTTTCTATTCCTATTGCCCACTCTCCCCCTCTTGCTCTCTCTGCTCTTTCTATTCCTATTGCTCACTCTCTCCTCTTGCTCTCTGCTCTTTCTATTCCTATTGCTCACTCTCTCCTCTTGCTCTCTCTGCTCTTTCTATTCCTATTGCTCACTCTCCCCTCTTGCTCTTTCTATTCCTATTGCCCACTCTCCCCCTCTTGCTCTCTCTGCTCTTTCTATTCCTATTGCCCACTCTCCCCCTCTTGCTCTCTCTGCTCTTTCTATTCCTATTGCTCACTGTCTCCTCTTGCTCTCTCTGCTCTTTCTATTCCTATTGCCCACTCTCTCCTCTTGCTCTCTCTGCTCTTTCTATTCCTATTGCTCACTCTCCCCTCTTGCTCTCTCTGCTCTTTCTATTCCTATTGCCCACTCTCCCCCTCTTGCTCTCTCTGCTCTTTCTATTCCTATTGCTCACTGTCTCCTCTTGCTCTCTGCTCTTTCTATTCCTATTGCCCACTCTCCCCCTCTTGCTCTTTCTATTCCCATTGCTCACTGTCTCCTCTTGCTCTCTCTGCTCTTTCTATTCCTATTGCCCACTCTCTCCCCTCTTGCTCTCTCTGCTCTTTCTATTCCTATTGCTCACTCTCTCTCCTCTTGCTCTCTCTGCTCTTTCTATTCCTATTGCCCACTCTCCCCCTCTTGCTCTCTCTGCTCTTTCTATTCCTATTGCTCACTGTCTCCTCTTGCTCTCTGCTCTTTCTATTCCTATTGCCCACTCTCCCCCTCTTGCTCTTTCTATTCCTATTGCTCACTGTCTCCTCTTGCTCTCTCTGCTCTTTCTATTCCTATTGCTCACTCTCTCCTCTTGCTCTCTCTGCTCTTTCTATTCCCATTGCTCACTGTCTCCTCTTGCTCTCTCTGCTCTTTATATCCTTATTGCTCACTCTCTCTCTCCTCTTGCTCTCTCTGCTCTTTCTATTCCTATTGCCCACTCTCCGCCTCTTGCTCTTTCTATTCCTATTGCTCACTGTCTCCTCTTGCTCTCTCTGCTCTTTCTATTCCTATTGCTCACTCTCTCCTCTTGCTCTCTCTGCTCTTTCTATTCCTATTGCTCACTGTCTCCTCTTCCTCTCTCTGCTCTTTATATTCTTATTGCTCACTCTCTCCCCCTCTTGCTCTCTCTGCTTTCTCCGCGCCCTCGCTCCCACGACGCCACCTCACGAGGTCCCTGCGTGCACAGCAGACGCGGGCCACTGCCAGCAGACAAACCCGGACCCTCTCGCTCTCTCTCGATAGACACACACAGATAGAGACAAAGACACCCCACGTAGCCTTTACAGGCCGTTGGGTCAAGTGCTGTTAGCGAGCACCTATTTGTCTCCCCAATGGCGATGTTTACAAATCGCACCAGGTACTCATTTAAGGCTAAGTCTATCTAGGGGAGGCAATGGACCAGTTCAGATAATCGTCACCGGGGTTGGTGGCCGTGACATGGAATCGAACTTGGGTGGTCGGGTTGGTAGAGCAGTGGGATAACCACTACACCACCGCTCCCCCACGTAGACACACAAAGACAAAGTTCCCCCGTATAGACTGCGTAGACATTTGGGGCAAGTGCTGTTCGAGAGAGAGCACCTTTTAAGGTCGGGACGGCACACGAGGGGGTGGTTGGCCAGCACACGCACAGACGCAACCATACATCAACGACATCGATGAACACCGCACATAGACTGGGCACAGAGCAATTGAGAGAAACACTCAGACACACAGGTAGACATAGACACACTGACGATATACAGAAGCATGCAAACGTACATACATATCTGCATACAGATACGCATAGATAGAATGGGAATATGTATTGACACTGGAGGAAATCGATGAGCTATAAAGCTCTTTTTGACATGTCCCGTCGGGGCGGGTGATAACGTTACTACAACAACACGGTACAGAAACAAGACGTGAGTGCAAAGGATAGGAAAGGTGAGCAAATCACTCAAAATATACAAATACAACTAAACTTTTGGTTTTATCTTACCAGTTAAGGCCCACTGAGCTATAAGCTTCTGTTTCAGAAGCGACCTGGCCACAAATGATAGCTCCACGGGGTGGCTGATCGTCGTGTGGAAATGTAAATAATCTAGACGCACGTTTAGACACACAGAGACACATGTTTAGACACCCATAGGCGTGTTTTAGACAAACACAGACTCATGAAAGCACTTGACACAGACACCCGCACTCAACACACTCGACTCACACTCGCAAACCCTCTCCCCACTCACGGCAACAGACCCTGTGGCACGCTGAGACGCACCAACACCAACCAATATTCGACACTAAGTGGCGGGGACGTCACCACGGCGCTTGTGCCAGGCTGGGTGCGCTTTGAAGCCACGTGAAGTTGTCGAAGGCTCGCTGGCAGGCCACGGGACAGACCCAGCAGGTGCCATGGGTTGACTGCTGTGCCAGACTAGGTGCAGGAGGAGGCCACGGGACAGACCCAGCAGGTGCCATGGGTTGACTGCTGTGCCAGGCTAGGTGCAGGAGGAGCTCACGGGACAGACCCAGCAGGTGCCACGGCTTGACTGCTGTGCCAGACTAGGTGCAGGAGGAGCTCACGGGACAGACCCTGCAGGTGCCATGGGTTGACTGCTGTGCCAGGCTAGGTGCAGGAGGAGGTCACGGGACAGATCCTGCAGGTGCCACGGCTTGACTGCTGTGCCAGGCTAGGTGCAGGTGGAGGTCACGGGACAGATCCTGCAGGTGCCACGGCTTGACTGCTGTGCCAGGACTAGGTGCAGGAGGAGGTCACGGGACAGAACCAGCAGGTGCTATGGGTTGACTGCTGTGCCAGGCTAGGTGCAGGTGGAGGTCACGGGACAGACCCAGCAGGTGCCATGGGTTGACTGCTGTGCCAGGCTAGGTGCAGGAGGAGCTCACGGGACAGACCCTGCAGGTGCCATGGGTTTACTGCTGTGCCAGGCTAGGTGCAGGAGGAGCTCACGGGACAGACCCTGCAGGTGCCATGGGTTGACTGCTGTGCCAGGCTAGGTGCAGGAGGAGGTCACGGGAAAGACCCAGCAGGTGCCACGGCTTGACTGCTGTGCCAGGCTAGGTGCAGGTGGAGGTCACGGGACAGACCCAGCAGGTGTCATGGGTTGACTGCTGTGCCAAGGCTAGGTGCAGGAGGAGGTCACGGGACAGACCCTGCAGGTGCCGTGGGTTGACTGCTGTGCCAGGCTAGGTGCAGGAGGAGCTCACGGGACAGACCCTGCAGGTGCCATGGGTTGACTGCTGTGCCAGGCTAGGTGCAGGAGGAGGTCACGGGACAGACCCAGCAGGTGCCACGGCTTGACTGCTGTGCCAGGCTAGGTGCAGGTGGAGGTCACGGGACAGACCCAGCAGGTGCCATGGGTTGACTGCTGTGCCAGGCTAGGTGCAGGAGGAGGTCACGTGACAGACCCTGCAGGTGCCATGGGTTGACTGCTGTGCCAGGCTAGGTGCAGGAGGAGGTTACGTGACAGACCCTGCAGGTGCCACGGGTTGACTGCTGTGCCAGGCTAGGTGCACCACCAGCAGCTGTGGCCCCTACTGTGCGCTGTTGTTGTGAGCGTTGCTGGAGGGCCGAGCTTGACACCGCTGGTACCGGTCTTTGGCTCCATTGCACGCGTATAATTTAACCCCGTTGTATTTGTAACGTAAGCATAACATGCGCATAAGAACTAATACACTTTTTTGCGTATTTAATTTTAAAGCATTTTTATTGATTTTAACAAGTGACAAAAAGTACACGTCATATTTGTTGGGGGCCGAGGGGGTACACCATACCCTGGCTCGCCAGGGGAAAGCCGTACAGCCAGTCGACTCATCGCCACCTGTTTCCATCTGTAGGAGGATTGAGTGTTGCCCCCTCGCGCAAGGCGTGGGGGTTATCTCCGGGTGCTCCGTTTCTCTCCACACGTGTTTAATAATCATCAACACGGCTCTTCATTAATTGTCTGTTAACGTCTTACAAATAAAAAATAAAACCTTCAGCAGCGGGAGACTCCTGAAAACGAGCCCCACGGCTCGGTGTGGCGCCCGTGGATAATGAAGTCAATGATCGTGAATGATTAATGACGAATGATTAATGATTGTGGTGGTGATGATGATTTCGCGACGGCGATTTGCGGTTGCCGTTTTTGGCCCACGATGCTTCTCGCGCAGCCGTTCACATTTCCTACATCACACAAACACGGAAGATTATTTCTGCGCATGCGTGTTAGAAAATACAATCCCGCGTCGCGCGGCCATCTTACTAAGGGAGTGGGGGGGGGCCTGCCGCCTCTCCTATAGGTCGAGACAGCCGCGACGTCACTACCGAATCCTCGGCCTGAACCAATGGAAAGCGCGGCTGTCATCGATTCTATCCCCGACCAAGATGGCTGCTTGAGTCTTCCGTGACGTCACCGCTCCCGTGGTGTTGCCGGTTGCAGCGATGGCCGCGTCTCGTCGCTCGCTCTGCCGAGCCTGGCCAGGCCTCCCTCACCTCTTCCTCATCTTCCTCCTCCTCCCTCTTCCTGGGCTCCTCGCCTCGACGGCTGAAGACGTACAGGTGTGAGGGCAGACGCTACCCGCAAAATACACGCCTTTCCTGCGGTAGCTCGCTACATGCGTCTATGCAAAGGTGCACCTAGGCTGGTACAGGAGCCGTGCTGAAATCACCGCTAGCATGGTGATGAACGATAGCAGACGTTGCTTTCTGTGCGTCTGGCTGAGTGGTGTGTGAATCTGTACTGAGCTTCCCCTGGGTTGACCGGCACATAAATGATTACCACTTCGGTGGAGGTGAATTTCAGAAGCGGGGATACAAAGGCGGTCGGCGTGGGGACGGCCACACTCCCGGCTCCGTGTACCGTCCCGATGGAAGGACTCTCCCTTACACAGCACGTAGGGTCCTCTCTCAGTCCACTGCTGAATGAAGGCCTGCACAAGCCGTGTCACGGTCACGTGCATTGTTTGACCATACTTCACCACGATGTTCAGTGCAGGTTGGTAAAGTATGGAGGGGGGGGGAGCCCAGGACCGGTTCAGGTATCGCTCGCCGCTGATGGTAACTGTGGCCAGGAATCGAACTCAGGTTGCCGACTGCGTGTGGTGTGCTTGTGTGATTCAGGGACAAGCTGAACATTTCTTCACAAGTGGCCATACCAACAACTGGGCGGTGCTGGTGAGTGGTGCTCCTGGATGGTTACAGCCCAGAGGGCGCCCTCATTAATACTGCCTGGGTATTGACCACAGACGCCAAGCACCCTCTGCTTCATATTGGAAGTTCAAGATCGCCTGGCGTGATTCTAAACAGAGCAGACCACGCGTGTGGCTGCCACGGTCCAACATTTCCAAATCTTGTAAATACCCAGCATATTCCTCTATTGTGATGAACCTCACCGAAACATCAGCCCCTACACGCAGACTAACGCCCGCTTGCAGGTCGGTGCCGCGTACACTTGGCGCTGCACAGGGACAGCTGCCGCTGGGACTCCCCTCGGCTGGACTGCAGCATGGCACCGGCGTGTTTGAGATGAGCTGACATTTGCCAGGGAGAAATAAGCGGCTGGCTGTGAGTTTGGCCACACCACTCCCTCGTGTGCCCTGACGGCCTGAACAATCGCTTGTTGACATCTCTTGCCCCAGTGGGTCTATAGAGGCTACCTGGGGGCATCTTTGTCTGTGTGTGTTTCCTCTCAAGGTGTGTACATCTCGCTTCTGGTTTAACTACCGCCACGTCGCCAACGTGCTGTCTGTCTACCGCAGCGTCAAGCGCCTGGGCATACCGGACAGGTACGTCGGTCGTGACGAACGCACGCACGCGCGTCTATTTATATAGCAGCTGCAGCCCTGTAACTGCTTGCACACTCAGCTGCTGGCAGAATGGCCTCCCCATTGTGGTCGTAATTGTATCATTTGTTAGAGCCACCCAGTGGCACAGTGGTTGGTGCGCTGCGCTGTGAACCCGGCCATCGGTGGCATCGAGTGATATCGCAACAATTCCTAGGAACCCCACTGCTGGCTTGAACCCACGCTGACCAGCGTGGTGAAGTATGGTGAAACAACCCTCACGACCAACACAACATGGGGAGATCTTCAACAATAGATTTACAAAGGGCTGTACATTTTATGTTACAATTAGTACATCCAAATATCCCTTCCCGTGAGCCTTTTTAAAAGGGAGCAGGGTTGACAGTGGTTATAACAAGGAGTGCCAAATTAACTAAACTATCCGCATTATTTCACGAATAACTGCAGGGAGTATCGGGAGTAGGGTGCACGGGTAGTGGATGAGGTGAGCTGTGGTTGAGCGCTGTGGTTGTGCGTGACACTGGTGTGGCCGCCCCGCAGCCAGATCATCCTGATGCTGGCGGACGACATGGCGTGCAACCCCCGCAACCCCCGCCCTGCCACGGTGTTTAACAACGCGGCCGAGCAGATCAACGTGTACGGGGACGACGTGGAGGTGGACTACCGCGGATACGAGGTCCTGCCGGCACGGTCCACCTCACCACACAATGCCCCCCCCCCCCCACAGTCTACGTTTTAGTACGGTCGCTCCACCTCCACCACGTGTCGTTGCTCCACCTCTCGTCGTCGCTCCACCTCCACCACGTGTCGTCGCTCCACCTCCACCACGTGTCGTCACTCCACCTCCACCACGTGTCGTCACTCCATCTCTTGTCGTCGCTCCACCTCCACCACTCGTCGTCGCTCCACCTCCACCACGCATCATCGCTCCACCTCCACCACGCGTCGTCGCTCCACCTCCACCACGCGTTGTCGCTCCACCACGCGTCGTTGCTCCACCTCCACCACGTGTCGTCGCTCCACCTTCACGCTCGTCCACCCTGTCAATTCGCCTTCGCGCTCTACTGCTTGAGCTTCCTGCTCGCCGCTCCACCGGCGGTGAGGGGCGACGTGTATCGGCGTTGCGCGAGGCTTCTGTTGGGACTTCAAAGTGGCTCCCGTGTTATAACGAGCTGTGCTCCTCTCCACTGTACGTATACACGTTGGCGTGCGTTAGTGGATGGGCACCCCCCCCACCCCTCTCCGGGAAGGGCCCCAAGTCGTCGTCCCCCCCACCCCCACCAAGATAGTCCGACGTGGAGGTGTATTGCCGTGTTGATAGCGTCGCGACCGCTGGGCCCGGCAGGTAACGGTGGAGAACTTCCTGCGTGTGCTGACGGGAAGGCTGCCTCCCAGCACCCCCCGCTCCAAACGGCTCCTCACGGACGATCGCAGCAACATCCTCATCTACATGACTGGTGCGGCGCATGCACACATATATACACGCACACACATACACACGCACACACACACACGCACGCACGGACATACACACGTACACACAACATCCTCATCTACATGACTGGTGCGACGCATGCACACACATACAAATACAAAGATCCCCCGTGTAGACTTGACAGACTGTAGGGGTAAATGCTGTTAGCGAGCACCTATGAAGGCCGGAACGGTACACAAGGGGGTGGGTGGCCAGCACCACGCCCGACCGCCTTTGTCTCCCTAGTGACGATGTTTACACACCGCACCAGGTACTCATTTGAGGCTGAGTCGACCTAGGGGAAGCCTGGGACCGGTTCAGATAATCGTCACTGGTGTTGGCCGTGAGCGGGAATCGAACCCGGGTCGCCAGGTTCATAGCGCAGCGTGCTAACCGCTACACTATCGCTCCCGCACACACATACACACACGTGCACACACATACACACGTACACACAACATCCTCATCTACATGACTGGTGCGACGCATGCACACACTCACAGAAACACACATACACAAAGACAAACAGCCCCCATGTAAACTTGACAGGCTGTTGGGGCAAGTGCTGTTAGTGAGCACCTATGAAGGCCAGCACGGCACACAAGAGGGTGGGTGGCCAGCACCATGCCCGGCCGCCTTTGTCTCCCCAGTCATAATGTTTACAGAATGCACTGTTGAGGCTGAGTCGACATAGGAGAGGCCCAGGACGCTCGGCTGTGGGTGTGTGTGTCATGCTCACTGTGGGTATGTGGGTGTGTGATGCTCACTTTGGATATGTATGTGTGTGATGCTTACTGTGGGTGTGCGTGCGTGACGCTCACTGTGGGTATGTGTCTGTGTGACTCTCGCTGTGGGTGTGTGTGTGTGTGTGTGACGGTCACTGTGGGTGTGTGTGACGCTCACTGTGGGTGTGTGTGTGTGACGGTCACTGTGGGTATGTGTGTGTGTGTGACTCTCGCTGTGTGTGTGTGTGACGCTCACTGTGGGTATGTGTGTTTGTGACTCTCGCTGTGTGTGTGTGTGACGGTCACTGTGGGTGTGTGTGACGGTCACTGTGGGTATGTGTGTTTGTGTGACTCGCTGTGGGTGTGTGTGTAACATTCATTTTGGGTGTGTGTGACATTCACTGTGGGTGTGTGTGTGTGTGATGTTTACTGTGGGTGTATGTGTGACGGTCACTGTGGGTATGTGTGTTTGTGTGACTCGCTGTGGGTGTGTGTAACATTCATTTTGGGTGTGTGTGACATTCACTGTGGGTGTGTGTGTGTGATGCTTACTGTGGGTGTATGTGTGACGGTCACTGTGGGTATGTGTGTTTGTGTGACTCGCTGTGGGTGTGTGTAACATTCATCTTGGGTGTGTGTGACATTCACTGTGGCTGTGTGTGTGATGCTTACTGTGGGTGTATGTGTGATGCTCACTGTGGGTATGTGATGCTCAATGTGGGTGTGTGTGTGCGACGCTTATTTTGAGTGTGTGTGTTTGACGTCACTATGGGTATGCGTGTATGTGATGCTCACTGTGGGTGTGTGTGTGTGATGCTCACTGTGTGTGTGACACTGTGTGTGTGACGCTCACTGTGGGTATGTGTGTGTGTGACGCTCACTGTGTGTGTGTGTGATGCTCACTGTGGGTGTGTGTGTGTGACACACTCAGGACACGGTGGAGATGGCTTCCTGAAGTTCCAGGACGCAGAGGAGATCTCAAACGTGGAGCTCGCCGACGCTTTTGAGCAAATGTGGCAGAAGCAGCGGTGAGGCTAAACCTCGCGCCACTTGCACAAAGACAAAGATCCCCCATGTAGCCTTTAACAGACCGTTGGGGCAAGTGCGGTTAGTGAGCTGTGAAGGCAGGCACGACTCATGATGGAGCGGTGTGGCCAGCATCACACCCGGCCGCCTTTGCCTCCCGAGTGCTGATGTTTATACATTGCACGAAGTACTTATTTAAGGATGAGTCGACCTACAGGAGGCCCAGGATCTGTTCAAATATTCGTCCCTATTATGGGCCATGAGCGGGAATCGAACTTGGGTCTCCTGGTTTGTTGTGCAGTGCACTAACCACTGCACATGCACGTCCACGCCCACACACATGTATGCACGCACGCACGCATGCTCAGAAGTTGATGTGTGCGTCTTGTTTACGATTCCGTTGGAAGGCGTCTGTGATGGCGTCCGTGCTTCTTTGCAGCAAAGCTTGCGTCAGATGTAGATGAAAAAAATAAAATCCAAAGAGCGTTTGTGAAACCCTTTCTTTTGTAGTCCAGGATTTTCACTCTCTCCGTCTCAATCTGTCTCAGCCACTGCTTACGTGTGCGTGTATCGGTGTGTGCGTATCGGCGTGTGGGGAGCAGTATTGTAGCGGACAGCATGCTGTGCTACCAACACTGTCTGGGACGAAATTAAATAAGCAGCGAATCCCAGAGGCAGGTCACTCTGCTCTCCTAGTTTCGTTCTCTCTCTCTCTATGGGTCTCTTGTGTGCATCGATGGGTCTCTATGTGAGTCCATGGGGCTTTTTGTGAGTTTATGGTTTCCTATTTGAGTCTTTTGCTCTCTTTGGAAGTTTACAGTGCTGCGTGTGAGTTTACATAGTACAATACGTGGATTTATTGAAAAATGTGATCTCAAGATGCTCTGCAGAAAGAGTGGACATGTTTCACTTATAGAGAGAGCCAGTCATAGGTCTATGCGAGTCTCTGGGCATCTATGATGCGAGTCTGTCAACTAAGTTAGTCTCTGTGTGTCTGTGCAAGTCTATGGAGCTCTATGAGAGGCTGTGAGTATCAATGTGGTTAATGCAGACTTGATACCTTGCAATGGATGTCTATTTCTTGTTTAAACATCTTAACACCAGAGTGTTATTTCAAGAAAGGGTAACGCCTATTCTTATTGTTTCATCTTATCGGGCCCTATGTGAGTTTCTGGGTGTCTGTGTGAGTGTCGGTCCCCATCGCTTCACGACTCTCCGGGTATCTATGCGAGTCTACGGCTCTCCGTGTAATCTTAGGGTTCAGAGAGGACGCGAGAGCGACGGTGAGAGGCGCGGGTGTGAGGGGTATTGCCAGGTATCGCATGGTATCATGTGTGCCTGCAGGTACCACGAGGTGCTGTTCATCGTGGACACGTGCCAGGCCGTGTCTCTGTACCAACGCTTCTACTCCCCCAACGTCATGGCGATCGGGAGCAGCCAGGTCGGAGAGGACTCTCTATCGGTGAGGGCCGCCTTGCCGCTCGCCCACACTCACCTGGGCGTCCGACTCCCCGCCCGCTTGCCTTCCCTGGTGTGGACCTTTCCTAGGTTGACTGGGCCTGAAACGACTGACAGGCGAGGTGGCCGGGCGGTTTTGTGGGGTCAGAGACACCTGAAGTGCCGCGTTCTCAAAGTGTAACTCCCGTACATTTCTCAATCACAATTCACGGATTGATCGTCATCGCCCTCTCCCGTAATAACTTGGCAGGACCTTCCTGCAAGGGAGTCATGAGGATTTCCTGAGTAAGCAAACTTGGTGAGTTTGATGGTCCCAGTTTGCTCACAAGACTGGCCTTGCCTAGTGAAAGGTTCTCAGAGGTAGCTCTGTAATATCCACTTCCATGGGCTGTACTAGAATAGGGAGGGTCTCGCTGCTTTGTGAGGGTTCCAAACGGATTCTTTGTCTCACGGCGCCGCGACGCCAAAAGCGCAGTCGGGGTCAAACCGCGGGGAAACAAGAACAACGTTGTGAAGCGAATGGCGATCGTGAATCGCGACAGTCGCCGGGAAGGGGGTGAACAGTTCCACCGCTGGACGCTCCTTAGCGTGAATGCCCCACCGCTAACCACCCTCACCGCTGTCTTCTCCCCGATGTCCACCCCTCCCCGGGGTCGACCAGCACCACATGGACTCGAGCATCGGCGTGTTTGTGATCGACCGCTACACCTACCACCTGCTCGACTTCCTGGAGAACATCCACCCATCCACCCGCAAGACCATGACCGACCTGGTGTGTTACGATCCTCCATCACGGACAGCACCACCATCACCATCACTGTCACGCCCGCCACCACTACCAACACCATCGCCGTCAAAGCCACCACCACCACCACCGTCACGGCCACCACAGTCACGGCCACCACAGCCACCACCGTCACTGCTGCCGCCACTACCAACACCACCACCACTACCATAACCACAGCTACTACTACCATCCCTATTTCCTTCACCATCACTGCTGCTACCACCACCACAATAGCTCCAGGTGTGTGAATGCGAGCTCTGTCTGTCCGTGTTCTGTGTGTGTTTGCATGATAGTTCTGTATGTGTCCATGTGTCTGCGTGTGTGTGTGTGTGTGCTAACTTGAGGCCGACCGAAATTCGGTTTCCGTTTCAGCGCCGAAAGTTGGCAAATGGCCGTTTTCGGCATACTTTCGGTTTCGGCCGAAAGTGATATTGACTTTCGGTCGTCAACCGAAGATCTATCTCCATATATATAAAAGGCAAAGTTGTGAATATGTGTGTCTGTTCAAAATGTTTAGCATACTTCCCGACATGCAACAAACTTGAAATTTGCCATGTGGGTACTTTCCAGACTGTACACCATGCAAAAATTATAAAAATACACTTTTGTTTTTTTTTTGGGGGGGGAGCTCAATAATGCATATTTTTTGCACGGCAAGTGAGCTGTGACGTCAAATCTGTGATGTGACCCTCGCATGTGGAAGCGTAACGCATTGTAGTGTAGCGGTTAGCGCGCCGCGCTACGAACCCGGCGACCCGAGTTCGATTCCCGCTCACGGCCACCACCGGTGACGATTATTTGAACCAGTCCTGGGCCTCCCCTAGGTCGACTCAGCCTCAAACGAGTAACTGTTGTGGTGTGAACATCGCCACTGGGGAGACAAAGGCACGCCGGGTGTGGTGAATCCAAGTCCCGGGCGAAGCCGGGTAGTACAGCTAGTTTTTAGAATATAACGCTAGTGCTACATCTATCAGCCGGTCAGTCGGCGCTAGGCAATCCTATTCGATAGGCTGCATACACACACACACGTACACACACACATACATACACACACACATACACACACACACATACACACATACACACACGTCAGCAGTAGCTTTCGAGCGAGGTTACAGCCGCAACCATGGTCTGGGGCCGTTAATAAATGACGTCACGCAACTGGGGGGGGGGGGTCAGACATTTGTGACGGTGTGTGACGATGGGGGGGGGTTGAGAAATGTGACGTCACATCTGAAATGCGCAACTTTAAATAAATATAGACATGTTCTACTTAATTAAATAGACTTTTTAATGTTTTCTCCTACAACATCAGAGTGCAGCGCCACATTAAATACGCACTACAATGACAATAGTTTAAAGCGATTTGAAGCATGTCAACATCGCCACTGGGGAGACAAAGGCGGCCGGCCGTGGTGCTGGCCACCCACCTCCTCGTGTGCCGTGCTGTGCCGGCCTTCATAGGTGCTCGCTAACAGCACTTGCCCCCTACAGTCTCACAGGCTACACGGGGGATCTTTGTCCTGTGTGTGGGGGGCGGGGCAGCGACTGCGTAGCGATTCGCTCGCTGCGCTACGAACCCGGCCAACCGAGTTCGATTCCCGCTCATGGCCGGTGACGATTATTTGAACCGGTCCTGGGCCTCCCCTAGGTCGACTCAGCCTCAAACAAGTAACTGGTGTGGTATGTCAACATCGCCACTGGGGAGACAAAGGCGGCCGGCCGTGGTGAATCCAAGTCGCGGGCGACGCCGGGTAGTAAAGCTCGTACTGTACTGTATTTCATAAATCTTGTGTTCGGTAACTTCGGTTATATACCTTTCTGTTTTGGTTTCGGCCGAAAGTGAAGTGAAACTTTCGGCTTCGGTTTTGGCCGAAAGTCAATTTTTTACTTTCGATCTGGTTTCGGTTTCAGCCGAAACCACAAATTCAGTTTCGGTGTGCCTCTAGTGCTAACTGTGTGTGTGTGTTTGTGTCCGCATGTGCCCCCCCCAGTTCCAGGTGTGCCCTCCGCGCGACTGCATCTCGACGCCGGGCTGGCGCACAGACCTGTTCACGCGCGACCCGGGCTCCGTGCTCATCACCGACTTCTTCGGCAGCGTGCGCAACGTGGAGCTCACGATGGAGACCGTGGCGCTGCCGCGGCAAACCAGTCCGCCGCTCACCGAGCCCCCGTGGTGAGGCTCGCTGGCCGCTGTGCCGGATCACTTTTCAGGAGAGCTGGGTCGGATTGTGCTAGATAGAGAGTTTTGTCTGATAACCTGAGATGGCGTGTCTAGGGCTTCTCTTTTGATTTCGTCGGATGGTCGTTAACATTTATTACACTTGTTTTGCCGAGGAAAGGCTCAAGGGTTTATAAGGAGGTTCCTACCAAGATTTGGCAGCCGGGGGAGGGGCGGCGACTTATTTGTGTTTCCCAATTAGGGTTTACATTTTGAATTGTTGCCAAATTTGGACCGGGATGATGGCACACGATAGCCGACTCTTCTTCGAGCGACGTGACGGGATCTCTGACGTCCGCTGAGAATGAAGCAGAGACGGCGTGTAGAATTTCACAGTAAATTACTACACCGCAGTATTAACCGGGGCGGCTCACAGGATTCGAACCAAAAACCTCTGATCTAATCTGCTGTGCACTTCAGGTCAGAAGAGACACTCACCACCCCTGGGCCTCTCGAGGTCGACTTCGTGGATCCACTGCCGGTGGCAGACATCATCCGAATGGTGAGTGACACACACCCTCACCGTGACACACGCCCTTACCACCACACACACCCTCACCGTGACACACGCCCTTACCACCACACACACCCTCACCGTGACACACACCCTCACCACCACACACACCCTCACCACCACACACACCCTCGCCACCGCATACGCCCTCGCCACCGCACACACTCTCGCCACCGCACACACCCTATGCAGAGGTCCTCCATGTTGCCTTTAACAGACTGTTGGAGCAAGTGCTGTTAGCGAGCACCTATTAAGGCTGGAATAACCTCAGACTTCAGGGCCGGTGACCCTGATTGTGTGGTTAGGTAGGGGATAGGGCGAGCACAGGGTGCATCCCAGTGGAGACCACTGGCCCCCACACCCCTCCCAAGCCCCACTTGTGGGGGGTATTGATGAAGTGTGGCATGCAGTGACTCACTAATAGCCTACAGGAGGCTACAGAGGCTTCGTTAGCAAGTTCTCCTGCACGGTATTCATTCCGCAGCCTGCACCCCCCTTTAAAGGCCCCACGGGTTGAGAACTGTTGGATTTGTGTCCGGGTGGTGAGTGTGATTTGGGCTCGTGTCCGAGCGTTTTGTGTGGTTATGGATAGTGCGCTTGGTGTGCTTAGCGCAAGCCACCAGGAGTTATTTTGCGTGACCCCGGCACGCCCCCGGTTTGCGTGGTGGCAGGGCAAGCGTCGCGAGTGGCACCCGCCAAACGCGTTCATCCTCTCCTTCTGGGCGCTGGTGCTGCTCGTCTTCTTCAAGGCGTATGGCGCCAAGCACCTCCCATTCATCTTCTAGCGGCGCCGCCGCCACGGCTGCAGGCGGTGGAGTGCGGTGACCCACGGAGCGCCGCACCGGCCCGCCGCGTACGGCCCCACCACGGCGCACCGACAAACCGCACCGTGCCACACAGCACCGCGTCGGCAAATCCGCGCCGCACCGATACCACGCCACAGCACCCTGCACACGTAACCGGCGCACGCCGTGTCGCTGCACACTGAACCGCACACACCTTATGCATAGCATGCACCGCGCACTACACACCGCACACTCTGCACACCACGTTACATGATTGGTTCCAGAGCCCTGTGATGGCTGCAGATTCTTAGGCCGCATTTTTTATTTCGCGGGGTGTGTGCGGTGACACAGTTGTACTGATTATGCGGTTATTTGGATGTCCGGTTATGCTGTTTTACCGTGGTGCAGGTATGCGGTTATGCGGCTTTGCGTCTCGCCAGATGGCCGCGCTGGCCACCGGGGAAATCAGAAATCCAAACCGGGCGCTCGAGTCGCGAGCGAGAACACAGCCCCCCCCCCCCCCATCTCCTCCATCTCCCCACCTCCCACCGGTGAGGAGGGGCAGGGGTGGGCACTGAGCCAGGACTTGTGCCGTGGCGCTGTGCCCACCTCTGCGGTGGCGCTACGTGGGCCGTGTTTGTTTACTTCCTCGGTCGGGCGCCAGAGGTTTTCTTGCGTTCCTGAAGACCCCCTCCATTATCGCCCCTCCCCCTTCCTCCCCACATCATCCTCCTCTCCCTCCCCGTCTCCCGGGAAACCCTCTGCCTGTGCATGTGTGCATGCGTGTGTGCTTGTGCGTTCATGCGTGTGTGTGTACGTTGCGACCTCCACTCAGGGTAACAGGGCCTTGGGTCGCACGGAAACCCTGGCACGAGTGCCGATCGGCGCCGTGCGCTGTTGGTCATGCCCGATGGGGGTTTTGCGCAGTCATTGGTGACCGGGCTGACACCACTTACCTCTCTACGTTTAAGGGCCTGGTGTAACCACAACTCGGGTTATGTTGGTCTCTGGGCCCCGGTGATTAAACGAATTGTTTGGTGTTGCTGCTGCTGCGTTGGCGATGGCCTATAAAGACACAAGTCGGGCAGTGGTCCTCCATCGCGTATGAACGCCGCTGGTTGTATCTCTTTTTCTTTTAAGGCAGTGTTGTTGACGAGTGATAGTTTTATCGTTAATTATGGGTCTCTAATGGGAGTCTGGGTCCCTGTGAGTGTATGGGTCTCTTTGTGAGTCACTGGTGACTGAGCTGAGACCATCAAACTGGCTGCACTTGAGAACCTGGTTTAAGCGCAGGCAGTGGCCAACACCCGGATTTAAACCCAGGATTTCAGTGGTGCCAGCGTGGGGGAGTATTTTGACTCAATAGTTTTGACCCTGGGTTCAGAATACGATATAATATTTGAACCCTGGGGTACAAATACTCATATCGCAAGGAGTCGGACGAAAACATTGATTCTCTAATCGAATCCTGGGCCTCCGAGTCGTGGCAATTCCTCAGATCGCCAGGGAGTGAATCGTCACACCCACGTCCCACCACCAACCAACCCACACACAAACTCTAACCCTGCTGTGGCAGAATTTGCTTGAATCATTGTGTGTGTGTGCACGACAGCAGTGAGCGTGCGTTGGTGGAAATCGCCGGGCAGTCTGCCCCGAGTGGCGTCTGGATTTGTCGTTGAATTAGCGATGCCGCCTTCATCTCCATGTCCCTCATCTCCGTGTCCCGTTTGGTTTATTTGTAGAGAAACTGGGATTGTTTTAACGTCTGTTTATTTTAGTTTGAGGCTTGCCGTGTTTATATTGTGGGCCCCACGCACAGACACACACCCTCTCGTGTGCTGTGCCAGCCTTCATAGGTGCTTGCTCACAGCACGTGCCCTAAAAAGGCTATACGGGTGATTTCTTTTTGTCTTTCGTGATTGAAGTGTGTATGTGGCGGTGGCAGCGGTGTCCAGCGTTCCAAGGTCGTCACCACTCGCAGCGTCTTGTATATGGGAGCAATGGTTCGTGAAATGCACTATGGGCTTGAGCTCAATTCCTTGCCATGGCTAACATCGGTGGTAAGTGGTAGCTGAATGGGTCAATAAAAAACAGAATGAATGGTTTTATGCATGGCAAATGCACTTGTGTGCTGAATAAATATTACAGAATCTGAGTTTGCCTCCTTAATTGACAAAAGTGGCCCAAGGTTATTGACTCCTATTTAAGTAAAAACTCGAGTTTGAATAAGTATGCATGCTAAACACATTTTGTAAATGAAAATTAGGCATTGTGCAAGCGGTGTTTGCCTTGGACAAATTAATAACCCATCTTGAACCAACCTCACATACTGGCCTGGCGTTCTTGGCATTATTAATGAAAATACGGTGTCCAGAATAAAAAAAAATACCCAACAAAAAGAATTTCCCTTAAAAAATGTTACGGCTGCATTTTTCCAAGAGTGAATCCCCTCCTTGTGTGTAGGCCGTGCCATGCCACACGTGAGATAAAAAGTGGGACACTTCACAATGTCCCTACTAACCCATGTCGTTTTAGTGGAAAATGGCAAAATATTAATCGACAGTATATATGTAAAAGGGAAATTTGTGATTGTGTCTGTTCAAAATGTTTAGCGTACTCCCCGACATGCAACAAACTTGAAATTTGCCATGTGGGTACTTTCCAGACTGTACACCATGCAACAATAATGATAAAAAATTGTATTTTGGGGGGGGCGCTATAATTCATATATTTTGCACGGCAAGTGAGCTGTGACGTCACATCTGTCATGTACCGGAGTGTGCCTGCTAAATTATTTCATTCGTTTACTGCCGTACGCATCCTGAAAGTTGTGCGTGTCTGCAGCAAGCACGTGTACAAGTACCTATGGATGCGCGTGTGTGTGGGGGGGGGGGGGAGCAGTAGTGTAGTGGTTAGCATGCTGCGCTACAAACCCGGCGACCCGAGTTCAATTCCCGCTCACGACCACCACCGGTGACAATTATTTGAACTGGTCCTGGGCCTCCCCTAGGTCGACTCAGCCTCAAACGAGTAACTGGTGGTGTGTGAACATCACCACTGGGGAGACAAAGGTGGCCTATGTTTCAAGAAAAATTGAATTCCTGCATTCTGTTTGTGCTACATATTCAACAACATCAGGAAGTACATCTTACTTTTTCCATCCAACATCGTAATTTTTAGCTAAACTATGCCATTTCTTATTTTTAAAGTGGAGAAAAGCAAAGTAAGCATGAATATCCTGCACCTCGAAAAACTACAGAAACATAATGACAAGTTGTAAATGTCACATTGTCAACAAGACCACAGGCGCACCATAGATAACAATTGACAAATAAATGAAACTATTTTGAAGGGGTTACCTTTCAGAGGACAAAAATTCTTTTTTTTTAAAGGGCCTCTTCAGCATTTAAGGGGAAATCTGAAGAGCGCCCGGGCCAAAATCATTATTTATCTCAACCACAATGCACAAAAATAACCATCGGCTTTGTTAACACGTGTCCACACAATATTTATTCCAACAATGCCCAACAGGAATCGCACAATTCACCTTCATCATCGTTTGTTGGGTCGGATCACTCATTTATGAAGCTTCAGTCGTAGGGCAGATACATTCATGCACACTGTGGGATCATTCGGTGGGGGATAAATCGTGAGTAGAGTTGGCAGTGGTGTAAAATCATAATCAAACAATGTAACAAATCTTACATCGTTATTTGATTACCGCGTGACCTTGTACAAAGTGAATTGTCATAATTTGGATTAACAAAAAATAAAATATAGTCTCAGCTATACATTTGTGCTGGGTCTCTTGTGTTCCGTCTGGTTCCAACTTGTACGAAACGCTTGAATACAATTTGCCAATTATCCCAGGATTCATAAATGGATTCCTAAATTGATCAATGCATGTGCCGTGAGCATATTAATTGATGGCTTTAATAGATTTTTAATTGATCAATCAATGACTCACGAGTCAAGGTTTTAGTTGAGCATTAACTTTAATTGATGAGTCATTACAGGTTAAGTGCAATGATGAATGTTAAACTATATTAACCCTAAATTTTTATTTAAAGCTTTCGTGACTGCAGTGATTCATATTCTTGGTTCTTTCGGTAAAGTCACGTTGAAGGGAAACAATAAAATATATATAAAACAATAAAATTCTCACGACGTTTCGACTGTAACACAAACAGTCATCATCAGGTGTGACTGTGTTACAGTCGAAATGTTGTGAGAATTTAATTGTTTTATATATTTATTATTTTATTGTTTCCCTTCAACGTGACTTTACCGAAAGAACCAAAATATATATTAACCCTGTCCATCGTTCACATGCCTGTTGGTCAAGTTTCGCGTTGGCGCTGAGATTGGTCACGTGCCTGGGACCCGGCTTTCCTGGAACCAGGGCGGCTGCGACGCCTCCGTGTCCCGTGACTTGTGCGAGGTGGGGGGGGCGGCACCCTAGTCCAAGATGTCGGGATCCAGGCCAATCCGCCTCAGCGTCTCCTCGGGCATGCAGAACACGGGGTTCACGGGCCGCACCTGGGCCTCTCCCAGGAGGGACAACCCCGCGATGCCGAACAGCGTGTGGAAAGGGTCCACCTGGTCAAAGACAAAAATCCCACCAAGCTGAGCCATGACCAATTTCGTGTTCCCTTTCTTGGCTGCCACTCCGTAGTAATTCTCAACCACCGGTCATTATCGCTTCGACAGCGACGGGTTCTACCCATGCCCACTGACTTTCTTGAAGGGGCAAGCCTTGTAAAGCAGAGTGAGTTGGCACATTGTGGAGCACAGGTTGTGCATTTGCCAATCATCGCAGTCAACCCATAACACCTGGGTTCGTCCCGTGACCGGCCAGCAGAGGGCTGTCCTCGCTTCACGTGACGGCTTCAAAGTGCACCTAGCTTGGCACAAGAGCCACGGTGATGTCATCATCACTTAGCGGAAAATAGCAGCTTTGGCTGTTATTTTAATACGCCTTCATAGATACTAGCTTACAGCAATTGCCCCAAGAGTCCATGTGGTCTATGTATTTTTGTACATGTGTATGGGTGCAACAGTAGCATAGTGTATTCTTGGTTCTTTCGGTAAAGTCACGTAGAAGGGAAACAATAAAATAATAAAAATATAAAACAATAAAATTCTCACGACGTTTCGACTGCAACACAAGCAATCATCATCAGGTGTGAAAACCACAGCAAGAAAATTTGAAAAAAGTGGCATAGTGGTTAGCCCACTGTGCACTACAAACCCAGCTCCTCTAGTTATATTTCCAGCCACAGCTGACATCAGCTGTGATGAGCTCTCCCAACGTGTTTTCGGGTCGTACTGCATGTTGTTAGGCACGATGTCTGACGTTTCGTTCCGTGTGCTGGGTGCTTTTTCAGGAACTGGATACGAATCGAGTTGAATTCAGTTGCTGAAGAAGCTCCAGGCATATGGAGCCCAACATCGGACATCGTGATGAAACCGACACCTACAGAGCCACAACCGTAATTCACCCGCGGCCAGGCACTCACCATGTCTCCCGGGCGGTCGGCAAACCCCCCCGTCTCCTCGTCCTGGCACGCGAGGATGAACCGCCGCAGTTTGTCGGGGTCGATCCAGTGCAGGCGTCCAATCATCTGCAGTGATGCAAGCACCCACCACGAGTAGCACACGTCCGGCAGCTGGCGGCGGTGGCAACAAGTGCGTAGCAGCGGTGGCAGCACCGTTTTCGTGTGAACACAAGGAATGGGAGTTTTAAAACAAAATGTTAGCAAGACAAGAGCTCCATGTAAAATGGTTCTTATTCTTCAGAGCAGGAATGCAGTGGATGGTGTGCTGCGCTGTGCACCTAAAGATCTGAGTCGGTCATGAATAATGTCCGTGGCTTTTTAAAGGTCTGAAATCGTGGATGATATTTGGTTGCGATATTCATTTGGAATATTCGATTCCTCATGAATAACAACAATAACATGCGGCTTTCCTCGTCTTGGCCAGAAAATACATTCACAACAGGGGTTTTGACTTAGCGAAACGTACCACTACTGTTGGTCAAATGGAAGTGCGGTGTGGTGTGGCGTGTGCATGGTGCGTTGTGGAGTGCAGTGATGCCGTGTGGTGGCATGATGTGGTGCGGGGCGGAGTGACGCGGTGTACCGTGAAGTAACACGGCGTGATGCGGCATGGTATGATTGCGCCGTCACCTTTTCCGGTCGTCCATTGAGCCCGCCGGAAGGCAGCTGCCGCTCGCAGAGCCACCAGCCCAGCAGGTCGGCGTCGATGTGGTGAAGCTGCCCGGTCACCGATAGGAAGCCTACGCAGCAGTATATCTAGACCCGCGTGTGCGAGCGAGTCACGTCACACACAATACTCCGCTCCCTACACTGAGAATGTTACATTTGGGCTCAGGAATCGAAACAAATCCTTACAAATGAGACAAGGAAAACGAAACGAAAAAATGTTTTCTTAAATCGAGGGATGTCCTGGAATTTTTTTTTTATAAAGTGCTGCCCTGGCCTATGTGAGCCAGAGGTGACTTGAAGGGATCTCAGAGGTAACTCTCTGATATCCACTTATGGACTATAATCTTAGCTCTTTCGGTAAAGTCACGTTGAAGGGAAACAATAAAATATATATCAAACAAAAATTCTCACGACGTTTCGACCATAACGCAATGCCGTTGGTTTTTCACACCTGATGATGACCGTTTGCGTTATGGTCGAAACGTCGTGAGAAATTTTTTATTGTTTTATATATATTTTATTATTTTATTGTTTCCCTTCAACGTGACTTTACCGAAAGAGCTAAGAATATGAATTACTGCAGTCACGAAAGCTTTAAATCACTTATGGACTGTTCTCTAATTCGGTGGTGGGGGGGGGGGGGGCTAGGGTTTCACTGCTCTGCAAGGGTTCTGAATGGATTTTTAGTTTTATGACATGACACCGATAGCATAATTGCATTAATATTATTGGACGAGGAAGCAGATGAGTGAGTGGATGAGTGAACGGGTAAGTGAGAGGGTGATTGATCAGGCGGGCAGGCGGTTGGGCGAGTGAGCGAGCGGGTGGGTGAGTGCGAGTGGGTGGGTGGGTGAGTGAGAGGTCGTGCAAGGGGGCGGATTGATCACCTGGCCTGCATGGGACTCCGAGCCTGGGCGGCACCCGAAGCCGCCGTCAAAGTTCATGCAGGACAGGACAAACTTGACGGCTTTGTCCACGTCCACGGCGTCGAGGCGGCCCTGCGCACAGCGAGAACGACAAGGAAAGCGGCGCGCTTGTGCGGGGCCCCGCTTGAGTCGACCAGAAACGATTGTACAAGTTGAGTCGTTATGTGGCCAACGGAGAAACGGCGCGTCTTACCAGCAGTGCGAGCGTCGCCACAGCGCAGAAGGAAAACCTCGTGTCGATCTCCCCTGCACGGCAGAAGGTGTCACTTTCAATGCAGACGCCACATCAGAAATACAATCTTTAGCCTCCTTCAATAAAATTCAAGTTCTATGGCAAGAGAGGGGACCACGCAGCATCTCCTCACCCCACTTGTCGCCAGCGAACGAACCGTCTTCTTGCTGCAGGCCGCGCACATAGCTCACCACCTTCTCCACGTCCACGCTCGAGAGGCTGTCGTACAGCACCAGGATCTGGCGACGGCGAGACGAGCGCACAGCGACACTCGTCAATATCACCGCTGTTTGAGGGCCTCCCCACGCCGTGCGGGTTGTGGGGATTATTTGAAAGATTTTGAAGACGGGGAGTGCGATCACGAAACTGATTCGGGTTGGGATTGGATTGGGCCAGTGGAGCGACTGGATTATAGGGGTGATATTATCTCGTTTACTGACATAGTCGGTATATAAATCCACACTGTAAATTGTAACTGCAAAATTGCTTTAGCCGGATACTACTCATGCAGTTATTTGGCATTTCAGTTGCTCCGGGTGAAGAGTCTGAAGGACTAAAACTCAGAGAGGTCCCAACATATTGTTTCACTCCCTCCTTATCCGGACGAGTCGAGTAACTCAACCGATAATCGTTTACCGATTATAATTGGTAATCGATAATCGGTCGAGTGATCGACTACCTCGGGAATCAGATATCCCCGCTCCCCCAGTTACCTGCACGGCGCTGAGCGTGTAGAGCAGGTGGGGGTCGTGACCCTGGCTGGCACTGATGCCGCCGCACTCGTGCTGACACTCGGACACGAAGCGCAGGATCTCGTCGCGATCCATGCGGCCCAGCTGGCCCATGAGCTCCATGGCGGTGAGGCCCCAGTACACGCCGCTCATGCGCAGGTATTCCGTGATGCAGTACTCCTGCGTACGGGCGAAGGCCCCACCACCGCATAGCCGCTACAGACCGCTGGGGCAACTTGTCTATTTTACTGTCTCTCATACTTGCCTTAAAATGTTAGCCTGTCGATAACTATCTTTGCATATTTATCTGACCATACAACACTTCACTGCCACGTGGACAAAAGCTCGATGTGACTTCTCCCCTCCCCACAATAGAAAACTGTCTCACTGGGCATCAACATTGAAATGCCCCCCTCACCCGTTACTTAACTGAACGATGGTTTTACTCAAACAATAACTCTGCTTTTCAGTCCTATAATCATGACAGGTTACGGATCCCTCGAGTAAAATCCCAAACAGTACGTGCACACACACACACATATATATAAGATCCCCAACTGTGTGGTCCTTATAGACCGTTGACACAAGTGCAGTTAGCGAGCGACTATTAAGGCCGGCATGGCATGTGAAGGGGTGCCGCCGGAAGCACCATGCCTGCCCAGTGCTGATGTTTACGTTTAAAGTTGGCTGCTGACCGCTTTGCGTTCACGACCTTCTGGCCCGCGACAACCATCAACCAGGTCAGCTCTGATGGCAACCAGCACAACAATGATCCCTGCCAACATACGAGAGCAGCACAGCCGGCTTGCGTGCGAGCGTCTGAGCGTGTGCATGAGGGTGCGAGTGCGTGAATGCGGCAAGGCACGCTGGGCGTACATAGTCGTCCTTCTTGGAGCCGTACTCGGCGATGTAGTCCGCATGCTTGGACAGCAGCAGGGAGCTGGGCGCGTCAGACCCGATCACCACGTCCTTAACCGGAGTTCCCTAGGCGACAGGCGGATGGATGCAGTGCGTTAGTGTTCATCCGTTGTAGTGTTATAGTGACAGTGTTCATCCGTTGTGTTGTAGTGACAGTGTTCATCCGTTGTAGTGTTGTAGTGACAGTGTTCATCCGTTGTAGTGTTGTAGTGACAGTGTTCATCCGTTGCAGCCGTGGTGGGATTTCTCTGACCCACAACTGCTACTCCAACACGCTCGTCGCGAAGCGTTACCTGTCCAGGAGTGGTGATGGTAATGTGCTCCTGTGATTTAGCGCTTGGGAGGGAAGTGTCAGTGGATCGCGTAGAGATTTGTAAAACTCTCAAACCCCCTTGGATTGAGGATGCCAGGGGAGGACAGTGCAGTGTATTCATGAACCCATCTGTGCACAGCTTTAAGGGTTATCCCCTCGTACACGTGGTGGATTTTCTTCAGATACTCCGGTTTCCCATGACATGCCAAAGACCCGTTGATGGAATTAGCCAAACATTTTGTATGATTTTGACTTAAAACTTCCGTCACTGCAGGAATTCATATTCTTTGGTTCTTGCGCTTGTGTTGCGTCCGAAACGTCGTGATTTATTTTGTTTTATAAAGGTTTGGAGATGGGCTGCTGATACACTTGGGCTACGCCCATCTCCAAACCTTTATAAAGTTTGCCTTTGGAGGCTAACCCCTTTTCCTGATGACGACCGCTTGTGTTGCGATCGACACGTCGTGATTGTTTTATTCACTTTATTTTTTTTCTATCTCCGTGACTTTACCGAAAGAACCAAAGAATATTATGTATGATGCATGCCCCTCATGCTTGCGACTCAAGACACTGTGCAGCCCAGAGGATGGTTGCATTAAACAAATAAAGTGGAATATATTCCACGTACATATAACAGCACAGCAATTGGCAGTACAGCAATCGATTCTTACATCATTCTGTGCGGATCTTTGGAGTGCTACTCCGGTATCCCTGCCATAATGAATGCAACTGGCTGAACGTCCCAATATGCGAATCCTGCGAGTTGTGATGGGAGCGAAACAAGTGTTACACTGTACTTCTAAGCTCTCGCGTCTCCGCTCAACACCTTCAATGCTCACTGACCCGCGTGGTGAAGTATGGCCAAAGCAACTGCTACGACTCGCAAGGTGTTCAGAGAGAGCCTTGAAGTCAGCAGTGAATGCATTGAACTGACGCTACCAGCTGTGCTCACATTGCTTAGCCGAATTCAACCCCACGCGTACGACTTACACCTCGCACTTAAAGATGAATGAACAAAACGCATATATTATTCCTCAAGTCTTGCAATTCAAGTGAAACAAAATCACAAATCTGTGTTAAACCTGACACTTCAGCTGGTTCAAACCGCACATTAAGCCATCCATAGCCCTACATTAAGCCTCACAATAAACTTTAAGCCTGCCAATTAAACGTAACTTAAGTCTGACGGTTCAGCCACTTTAGACAATTTAAACAAGTCATAAACTAACTTTAAAACTCACGGGCTAATCATATTTAGTCTCACAAGCGTGCCGTTTAGCTCCGTGCTCGACTAGCGGCTGCGGCCGGGGAAAGCGGCCCCTACCCCCGCAGAGAACTAGCACCAGACGGGAGGCCCGCGGCAAGGGGTACGAATAACCTGACTCAAAAGGCCTCTACAACGCCGGGGGGGCCCGCAGGAGCCCCCCACCCCCCACCAAGGGAGTCGAACCCGACCCTGGCAAGTCTCTGGGGGCATTGGGGGGAGCGAAGCCCGGGAGTCGGACCCGAGGCCGGCTGCACGGAGGCGCCGCCGGGGAGCCGGGACGAGGCCTCGCTCACCATGGCGACGGCTCCTCCTCCTTCTTCAGGCCGGTGTCGTCACGAGGCGACGTCACGAGGTGTTGTTGACGTCACGAGGTGTTGTTGACGTCACGAGGTGATAGTGACGTCACGAGGTGATAGTGACGTCACAGATTCGATATATATTGGAATTGCGTGGGTAATCGATGCTTTTTGCGGTTTGTCTTGTCGTCGACGATTATCATCGTCGACATTGATCGCTGTAACGGATTATAACAACCCGTACTAGTTGGCTGTGTCGGGTGGTGGCGAGTTTTAACGACACATTTAGATATTTACGCGATCGAACCCAACCACCTCTATTATGGATATTGGTCGAGTAAGCCTGCCCAGTCTTAAACCGGATGGTAACAGTGAATGTAATCTATGCTGTCCTGTTCTGCTCGTTTAAATCCTTAGGTTAAAGGAAACCAGGTAGGTTTTATGAATTAAAATTGTAACTTTAGTGCAGGAATCTCATACGTGTAAACCCCTCACAAGAGAGAAACACAAATAGACAACACTGTTTGCCCGTATTGAAAAGGATGTACACCCAATTTCCCTGTATAAGAATACGGGGTTAAACCATATGGGTTGACAGGTGTGATATTGATCATTGTATTTTTGTTTATTATTGAGAGCCTCACCCAATTGAGTACATTCAGGGATGTTTAGCCAATACCAGTTACAGTGCATGAATCATTTTCGATATGTTAATATACAGTGTGCAATACATGGTAAGAGATTAGTATTATCTAGTTCTGGGCTATCCAATTCCTGTAGTCATGTTATTATTTATTTAACCGAATTCCGGTTTTAGTTACTCAAACTATAGAACGTATTTTTTATTTAAAGCTTTCGTGACTGCAGTGATTCATATTCTTGGTTCTTTCGGTAAAGTCAAATGTTCTTGCCGTTGGTTTTCACACCTGATGATGACTGCTTGTGTTGCAGTCGAAACCTCGAGAAGTGTTTTATATATTTTTTTTTTATCAGTTTCCCTTCAACGTGACTTTACCGAAAGAACCAAGAATATATAGAACGTATGTGCCGCTGGACAGGAAGTCATGGGTTGGACTTGATGACGTCATCAGCTACGTCACACTAGGCGTGGCTCATAGGGGGTTGCCCACCTTCGGGAGGCAGGTTGTGGGGGGGGGGCGCCATTTTCAAGAGGTCCGCATAAGCCGGCATGAAAAGGGATTTTTAACACATAGGCTTTCGTGACCAATATTGTCTATAATATAGGTTAAATAATTGTCAGTTTATACATAGGCGTACCTTTAATGCGCTGCACAGCAAGTAAATAACAAGGGTGATTTATTGCAACAATTCCATCAGGAAAAAAAGGTCACTTCTGTTTGTATTCCCCGTCCCCCCATTCCACCTATTCTGGTAGGTCGATCGATTTAATAACGAAACACCACGGCACCACGGGCTCTAGCCACATCATACCAGCGAACCAACATTAGCAATTAATGGTATCAAATAACCCATACAATTTGACACAGAGCTGAACTAATTTTGGCAAAATTCTTGCTCTGCAAATCGTAAAAAAATATCGTCTTGACTCGCGCGATGAACAGGGCGGGTGGTGGTAAAGTGCTGCCCTCCCGTGCGTGGACCAGAGAGAGGTCCACTCGAAGGGATCCAATAAGAAACTGTCAAATCCACTTCCGTGGGCCATTTTTACACTGCTCTGTGAGAGCTCCGAAGAGATCATGTCTCGTGCCATACAATGGCACAATTGGGATAAAATTGGCAATGAACCACAGAACATCACAGAGATGTCGGGGATAGCGGACTGCACATCGTGTGAATCTGGTGAATATCTTCAAACAATGGGACATCTCGTGGCTTAGGTTGAGTGAACTGCAATCTTTCTGCATATTTCAGTTACATCAAACCACAAAAAATAAACGATTTAGGTTGGCATAGTCGTAGCGGTTCACTGTTGGATATACAATCACAGTTGGTGCGTTTTTTGCTCAGAACAGCTGAAAATATAGGCGCGGGAAAATAGGGCGCAGCTGCCCTTCCCAATATTTAGAGAGTGGGACAAAGCCATATGCCGTGCCCCCCTCAATATCACTTATTTAAGGGTTCCCCCTTGGCTACAACTGCAACATCGCTCACACAACAAGCCTGGCACAGCCACTAACCTCGTATCGCCCCCCGTGTCATGATCACAAAGCGATGTTCGAGCCGAACGGAACTCTCCGTTAAAAAACCCGCGACCTTGAAGCGCGAATTTAAGCCCAAGCGCGGCAACGGCAAAGACCCTCAAGAGTTCAGCAAAGCGGTCGCGGGGGTGGGGCAGCAAATCGCTCGGGCAACGACCAGACATCACCCCTCGCCAGGACGCAACCACCGGGCAACAACCGCCGACCGGGGCGAAGGGTCACAAGCGGTCGTACGCCGCCACCACCACCACCAAGATCACGACTCCGCGATCCTTACGATCCTGCGAGCTTGCGATTTTAGGAGAGGCCGAACTCTAAACATTTTAACGCGCCTCCGACCAAGTGCAGGCTGCCCGTGATGAGAACTTGAACGCGCCGAAGCTCCGGCTCCAACTCCGAGCCGATCCAGCGCAGGGCTTCCGAGATGCACGGGAAGACGGCGGACGAGGGGATGGCGGGGTTGCGGGAGGTCGCGCGCGAGAGCGGGCGTGGGGCGGGGGCGGCGGCGCCGTGGCGGGACGCGCCGGGTTCCGGTGCCCAGAAGGCGGCAGCTCGAGAGGGCGTCGCCCTGGTGCGGCAGAGCTGGTCCCATGCCGTCTGGTTCGCCGCGCACTGAGCCATGACCCTCTCCGGAGTGACCGTGTAGTTCACCTGATCTGCAAACGCGCAGCGAGTAGCCGAGGGAAAAAGCGGTTTCACCGATCAAATAGTGACGCTCGTGAAGACGTGATCAAGACGAACGGAACTTTAGTGTCGAGTTGTGTTGTTGTTTCGACCAACTGTTCATCAGCATTATCATCGTCTTAGTGAGATGCACTACCAACAATAGCTTCTTTAGAACCCTTACAATCCACTATGAATGGTTTTTATTCTTGTATCAAGCAAAGAGCTCAGAGGCCACCACTAGATAGCAGCAACCACAGAGAGGAGGGAAAGGAAGATGGGGGCAGCAGTCAGAAGTTACCGGCTGACAATGACAACAACGACTTTGTGTTTTTATTCAACTGCTCACCTGAGCTGTCCGGTGAGATGTTGGTGATGTTTGGGCAGAACACCGCGCAATCAAACTGGCAGGCCTGTTTTGGGTGGGGGGGGTTGCATGGAGAGAGACATCTTGAGGCAAAGCCTCTATAAAATAAACATGCCCACCGGTTCCGTACAGCGTCTTGAGATGCGGTCGCCGCATTTAGACTCGGCCGTGTAAATCCACAGCGTATTGTTTTGCGTGTGTGTTGGGGAGGAGGTGGTAGTGGGGAGGGGTCGTGGAGGTCAGGGGGGAGAGCGGGGTGGGGGCGGTTAAAGGTTAGGGATCGCGGCCACACCTGCAGCAGACCGAGGATGGCGGCCGAGTCCCTGTCGCCGGTCATGTTGAAGAGCAACACTCGCACCACGGGGTCCCTGCGGCAACACTCGCACCACGACACTCACATCACGCGCCACGACATTCACATCACGCGCCACGACACTCACACCGCGACACTCACATCACGCACCGCGACACTCACATCACGCACCACGACACTCACGCTCGCACCGCGACACTCACATCACGCACCGCGACACTCACATCACGCGCCACGACACTCACATCACGCACCGCGACACTCACATGACGCACCGCGACACTCACATCACGCACCGCGACACTCACATCACGCACCGCGACACTCACATCACGCGCCACGACACTCACATCACGCGCCACGACACTCACGCTCGCACCGCGACACTCACATCACGCACCGCGACACTCACATCACGCACCGCGACACTCACATCACGCACCGCGACACTCACATCACGCACCGCGACACTCACATCACGCGCCACGACACTCACATCACGCGCCACGACACTCACATCACGCACCGCGACACTCACATCACGCGCCACGACACTCACATCACGCGCCACGACACTCACATCACGCACCGCGACACTCACACTCGTACCGCGACACTCACGCTCGCACCGCGACACTTACATCACGCACCGCGACACTCACATCACGCACCGCGACACTCACATCACGCGCCACGACACTCACATCACGCACCGCGACACTCACACTCGTACCGCGACACTCACGCTCGCACCGCGACACTTACATCACGCACCGCGACACTCACATCACGCACCGCGACACTCACATCACGCACCGCGACACTCAAGCTCGCAGCGCGACACTCACATCACGCACCGCGACACTCAAGCTCGCACCGCGACACTCACATCACGCACCGCGACACTCACATCACGCACCGCGACACTCACATCACGCACCGCGACACTCACATCACGCGCCACGACACTCACATCACGCACCGCGACACTCACATCACGCACCGCGACACTCACACTCGTACCGCGACACTCACGCTCGCACCGCGACACTTACATCACGCACCGCGACACTCACATCACGCACCGCGACACTCAAGCTCGCACCGCGACACTCACATCACGCACCGCGACACTCACACCGCGACACTCACATCACGCACCGCGACACTCACATCACGCACCGCGACACTCACGCTCGCACCGCGACATTCACACCGCGACACTCACGCTCGCACCCGAGGGGGTGGGTAGCCAGCACCACCGGCCATCTTTGTCTCCCGAGTGATGACGTTTAGACACCGCACCAGGTACTAAATTGAGGCTGAGTCGACCGAGGGGAGGAGGCCTAGGACCGATTTACAGATAATCGCTGCTGCAACACTGGGTGGTGGTGGAGGTGGCCAAAGCGCTTTGAAGCACTTTGAGAGCGTGACGGTACACGCAGACACGGGCATTGCATAGCACCCAGGAGTTACACGCAAGGCGTGGGACCGGCTGCAAGGCGTGGGACCGATTGCAAGGCGTGGACTGACACGGCACACCGACAGCCAACAGCACTAAACCAGGGCCAATACAGCCACTCGCTCAACACTGCTCGTCATTTTAACTTACAACAAGACACGCAATACATACCTTGTCGTCCCCTCTTCTTCCAGCACACTCTTTTGAAACCATTTGATACAAGCCTGTAATACAGCACACACGCACAAGACACAATTCTTTAACACAACACACAAGACACAAACCTGTAACACAACACACACACACAAGACACAAGCCTGTAACACAACACACACGCACAAGACAAGCCTGTAACACAACACACACGCACAAGACAAGCCTGTAACACAACACACACGCACAAGACAAGCCTGTAACACAACACACACGCACAAGACAAGCCTGTAATACAGCACACACGCACAAGACACAATTCTTTAACACAACACACAATACACAAACCTGTAACACAACACACACACACAAGACACAAGCCTGTAACACAACACACACGCACAAGACAAGCCTGTAACACAACACACACGCACAAGACAAGCCTGTAATACAGCACACACGCACAAGACACAATTCTTTAACACAACACACGCGCACGACACAATTATTTAACGCAACACATACACACGACACAAGCCTGTAACACAACACACAAGACACAAGCCTGTAACACAACACACAAGACACAAGCCTGTAACACAACACACACGCACAAGACAAGCCTGTAACACAACACACACGCACAAGACAAGTCTGTAACACAACACACATGCACAAGACACAATTCTTTAACACAACACACACGCACGACATAATAATTTAACACAACACACGCACACAAGACACAAGCCTGTAACACAACGGGAAAACAGGAAATGAAAAGGAGATCTGTCAGAGTAGTGGAGGTGGAGTTGCCAGATTAATTGGTTCAGGTAAGTGGGAGAGATATTACGAGTGGCTGAGCAGCTTGCAGGTTCGGGTTAATTCTAGAAGAAAAATGCGGTTGGCCAACGATACCCACCCACCCGCACGTCACCCACCCACCCACACGTCACCCACCCGCACGTCGCCCACCCACCCACACGTCACCCACCCACCCACACGTCGCCCACCCACCCACACGTCACCCACCCACCCGCACGTCGTCCACCACGGCGTAACGCACGGCCTGCGCCGTTATCGTCGTTCGGTAAAAGCGCCACTCGTTGTGGGTCGCGAGTCTCCGATCCATTCATTTGCGCCAGGTCCCTCACCAACCACGTCACCGTTGCCGGCGTCCGTCGCCGGCTACGGTTGCCCGTGAATCTCCGCGAGTCCATCGCCTCGCGCTGGGCGGCGGAAGCACGAAGGGGGGGGTCGTGACGCGGCGTGGGTTTGGGGGTACCTCGACGCTCTGCACGGTGTGCGCTCCGTCCAGGTAGAAAGTCACGGGCCCCCTCCGCAGGATCTGGCTGCGCCCCGGCCACTCCGTCTCCTTCAAACCTGGAATGCAGAGCAACGATCGTCGTGCGACCGAGCCGGCGGGCGGGCATGCAGGATCACGCACGGCGCAGCTCATCGTCCGTTATGGGGAAGGCAATCGGTTGATTCCCGGCTAGGGCACCTTTCTGCTCAGCCGGACCCTGTCACTTACCCTGTAGCATCGCTGGGCTCAGGGGGAAGGGGTCGGCGGTTGGCAGCGAGGAGCCGGAGTCGTGGGCGTCATAGTGCGTGTTGCCGTTCGCCTTCGTCTCCTCGTGTGCCCGTTCGCTCCCATCTGCGCACGAGTCCACTCGGGGTTTTCATCGCGAACTGCGGCGTCGCGACACTCGAATCCCCCCGCCCGAACGATCGCGACCGGCTTGGAGAACGCGATGACGACGATGACGACTCACGGAATTTCGCACATTTTACAGCGGCACGATGCGGAATAAAATAATAATAAAACAAAAACGAAAGTTTCGGAAGTATTGATGGCAACATAAAAGTCCCCTCGCCCAGGCATTTTCGTGTTGTACCGGGCGCCATTTTGCTGGAGTTTCGATGCAAGCGCCGGAAGCTATTGGATGCGGCAGTAGCCTCTCCAGAAGCTCCCGACGTGCGCAGAAAAACGTCAGACATCGCATCTCGGTAACAACCCGAAAACACGTACGGCGATTCTACGGTCCGCGAGATCGACCGCCCCCTCGCACGCCGACCGTCAAGGGTGGTGGCCGGAGCCGGCGGCGCTCGGAGTCCGGGCCCAGGATACCGACGCAGCCACGCTCGGCTCAGCTGCAGCGCCAGCGTCGCGTTCAGTCGCTGGTGCTCGCCGGCGAGGCCCAGATCGGGATGGCCGGCGTCGTCCGCATAGGCGCTCAGCGGGGGGCACACCTGCAGCGGGCACTGCGCACGTGGTGGTGGGGCGGTGGGGGGGGGGGGCACAGCGAGCGACACCGTTAACGTTTTGTCTTCTCGTTGTTTTATCTCCGTTGCGCTGTCGGCATCCGCCGCAGAGTTTGCGAACCGGCAGCAGCGCGAGTAGCGGCAGGAGAACCCGGCTGTGAACTAAGGCAGGAGAGAGAAGAAGAGGGAAGGGAGAGAGTGACGAGGGGTGGAGAGGACACGGAGGGTCCGCGCAAGGGGAGCACGCCGCCTCCTATCAGAGACGGACGGTGAGCCCGCGGGGGACGCCGGACGCCTCGTGCACCGCACCGATCCGGCGTTCGGAGCAGGTGGATCGTAAGTCTCCAGCGTCTCAACCCAAGCGGGTGGCGTGGGAAATCGAAATCATTCGGTGAGCAGATGCGTGACAGAATTTGTTTGCTTACACAGCTGCTGCTGCTGCTCGAGAACACTGGTCTGGAGAGCCAACGTGTTCATTTATTTATACGTGGGGAGACAGAACATAGTATATATTTACTTTCACCCAAAATGCTCCACAATAACGCGGGCAAACGCTCGCTTGTAGGATGTCAACTCACGTCGAGCTCGCGCGCGCGCTCCTGCAGGATGGTCATCGCAGACGGAGGCTGCTCCACGGTGAAGGCCGGGACGCCGCGCTGCAAGAGGGGGGAGCGGGAGAGGTGGCGGTGCCAGCGACGAGAGCTTCACAGACGCAGCGAGACTCGGCAACAAACACCGCTGTCCCGTCACTCTTCAAAACACACGCCTACCCGTGGCCGTCTCCAACACTCGCCCACTACTTGCCTTCCTCTCTTAAACACACAGCACTCGTCCACGACTACATCCACCTGCCTTACACACAAAGCCTTCTCCCACTGTGGCCCTGCAATGCACACCATTACACTCGCCTGCCCTCAGCACTGATCACTACCTCTGCCTGCCTTCGACACACACCTAACCACTACCAGCGCCGAGCCCACTGTTACCACCGCTACCACCAACCATCGTCCAAAATCACCTTCACTGTCACCACCACCATCACACTGCTACTCATGCGTGCTTGCTTTTAACGCACGACAACAACAACAAAAGCGGTCCCTTGTATTGCCTAAACAAACTGTCGAGGCAAGTGCTGTTAGCGAGCACCTATGAGGGCTGGCACGACACACGTACACACAGACACACCGCTGAACTTCGCATCAGACATTCCACATAATTGCAGCAATCAAATCGACCACCTCGTTCAAAATCTGTCTCCGTCGCGGAGACATCGACCCGACCACCGGGGGGTCTCCCAGTCCAGCGAGCAAATAAATAAATATATTAACGTGGGTGGCTCGCGGGCACGGCGTCTCCACCTTGAAGATGCCAGCCTTCTGCCAGGCGATCTTTTCGATGGTGTTGCCCAGGATGCTCATGTGGTCCATGCCCAACGAGGCGACTCCACAAACCGTGGGCTTCCTACGCGCAGCACGCACGGCACGTTACGCACGGCACGGCACGTTATGCACGGCACGGCACGTTACGCACGGCACGGCACGGCACGGCACGGCACGCACGGCACGGCACGCACGGCACGTTACGCACGGCACGGCACGCACGGCACGGCAGGCACGGCACGTTACGCACGACACAGCACGCACGGCACGTTACGCACGACACGCACGGCACGCACGGCACGTTACGCACGGCACGGCACGCACGGCACGGCACGCACGGCACGTTACGCACGACACGCACGGCACGCACGGCACGTTACGCACGACACGCACGGCACGCACGGCACGTTACGCACGGCACACTACGCACGGCACGCACGTTACGCACGACACGTTACGCACGGCACGCACGGCACGTACAGCACGCTCTGCCTGACAGAGCTGGGATTTTGGCAAATTAAGTGCAAAACCAAATTTAAAGCAGAGGGAAGGGAGAGTGACTGGCAACTGGGCCAAGACCACCATCCAACTACGATTAGAGGGCCCAGTTTAATTACGGCTTGGGAGCCAGGACCGCAGTGGTGCCGGGTCAGCACTCCGACCTCCGAGTCACCCAGATACCTCTGCACCAGCCTCGTTGACAAACAACCCGAAGGTCATATCAAGGTCATATCAAGGTCATATCAACCATTCTCAACTTTTGAAAAAAAGGGGGGGGGGCGGCACCTGACGATGTTGGTGCAGTCGAAGGCCCCACCGATCCCCACCTCCACCACAGCGAGGTCCACCTGGAACGAGCCCAACATCCCCCCTCGGCCTCAACGGACTGTGCTATGGTTGGTACCACGCCCGGCCGCCTTTGTCTCCCAGCGGTGAAGCTTATAGTAATGGTCAAGGTTGCAGTCCTGTAAGTCCTCGCTCACGCCGCTGAGACAAAGATCCACTGTAAAGCCTTAACAGACTGCATGATCAAGTGCTGTAAGCGAGCGCCTATGAAGGCCGGCACGGCACACAAGGCGGTGGGGGTTGCCAGCACCACGACCGGCCGCCGTTGTCTCCCAAGTGGTGATGGTTGCACACCGCACCAGGTACTCGTGTGAGCCTAAGCTGACTTAGGGGAGGCCCACACACGCACACACGAGGGGGGAAGGACCGACGTTTTACCTCCCTTGTTGATTTACGCTCTCACGTTAATACATAACCGCTCTGCAAACACAAACGCGGCTACCGAGCGTTTTGGCAAGTTGTTATGGAGTCTTACGCAACAATTGGACTTGAAATGTCAATCAACTTGGCTCCAGCGAACCGACGCATTTTTTTTGCACTTTTGAAATCTTTTTCAGAGATTTGTGATACATCATCGTTATTGTTATTCTTATGCTTGTTTGCCCAGGAGAGACAGCTTCACACGAGTCATGACCTGGGTGGATTGCAAAGGAGTAATTTGCGGGGTAGTTTTTAAAATTGAGCAAATTTTGACCCCGACGCCGGGGATCTTGAAAGTGAAGATGGGCTATAGCATTATTAGGGTTCATGCGCACTGCAGTATTATGCAGGGCGGCCGCTGGAATCGAACCAGCCACCTCTGCAACAAGTGGCGAACGCGCTACCGCTGAGGCCACCGCGTCACTGTCCCCTGCTTGGCCGTATTTTGACCTTCCCGGAATTAGCCGCTCAGTGGTCGTTTCGAAGCAGGTGCAGGAGCCGGAGTAAGCGCCCGTCGTGGTTTTGGGAGTAAACCAAAGTGCGCCGCCGTGTTCAACGTTGACGCCGCCAGCCGTGCGCGCGGCTGCGACGCGGAGAAAACGAAGCGTCAACGAGCTTCGTTTTCGCGATAATGATGTTTCTGCTTTAGCCAGACTGTGTGGCGTTAGCAAGGGTTGGTGGATCACCACACAGAGGTTGTGAAACTTCCTTCCCATGGGCGTCGGGCATGGGCACCTCGTGCCCATGCCCGGGCCTTTTCAGAAGGCGCGACAGCGACATGTCCCTTCTGTATGGGATAGAGCGCTCCCCCTTCGTACGTGTGGGTTTTCTCCGGGTGCTCTGGTTTCCTCCCACGTCAACACTAGGTAATTGGTTGAATACATCCAAATATATAAGCACATCAGAGCTTGGGCAATTGCCGGTGGTGCCAGTTGACCGCCGCCTGGCTGCTGCCTTCCCACTGGAATGTGGTTCTTTGGCGACTGGGAGCGACGCAATTTGCGTGAACGGCGATGATGCGAAATGACCTCAAACCGAACACTAAAAAGTTAACTTTTTCTTACCTTCTCCTGCAAGAAGACGTGGAAGGCCATAATGGTCAGGAAGCGGAAGTATGCGGGCATGGGGTTCCCAGAATCCTACGGCAACAATGATTCACGCTGTCACAACCAGGCACGGCTTCCCCGAACCAGCCTCATCACTTCGATTGGTGCCCCAATGTAATCCCAATCGCGCTATCGGCGTACCATCGTCGCGAGGCGGAGAATCCATTCGGAACTCTCCCCCTTCGTGTTAGGGAACGGTCCACGGAAGCGAACATTACAGAGTAACATCCCAGATCCCTTCTTCAAGTGCCCTCTGGCCCACATAGTAGAGGGCAGCACTTTCCCAGAGAGCAATGCTCACAACATGGCAGACAAACTGATAGATGGAATTTTCAGAGCCGGAATTCAGTGCAAAAGCAAACTAAATGCGATTTTTTTTGTGTGCACTCATGAGTAACTGAGCTGAGACCATCAACTCGTTACACGAATTAATTGTAGGTGGTGGAACCCCGACTGCAACCGTGGCTCTCAGTGGTGCCAGCTCAGCACCCTGACCGTTGAGCAACCCGTCCTCCTCTAAACCAGCCTCGTCGCTAAACAAAAATATGTTTTTCCACTGTAGAACCTGAGCGGTGCCATTCACATCACACGTTCCAGTGTGCGGACGCAACGTGTTTATCACGGTTTATTTCTGGCTCGGCTTGACAAATAGCCAGCGGAAAACCCCCTGCGCTGGCTCGGATCAGATGTGTCAGTAGAAATAAATTGTTCTGAATGTCACCAAGCCAGCCTTGATCTGAAAGCCAATAAAGAGGTGGAGTACAAGGATGAGGTGCGCAGGCCGTGCCATGGTCTCGTTCAGGCGGTTGTAGATTTCCCAGAAGTACTTGGTGTAGAGTTGCTCGCTGATTGGCTGGCCATTGATGCGGATCCGCTCGCGCACCTGCACCAAATGTGGAGAGCTGCAGCAAGTGAAAATCGTCACAGCAGAGGTGAAACGCGGCACAACATCGCGGCACATGGCGGCACAAACCATCACCACGGTCTGGCGAATCGTGGTGATGGCACATAACATCAAGACATCGCATCGCCACATCGCGGCACGTCACATTACCACATCATATCACTACATGTGACGTGACGTCGTGACGTCACGGCATATCACGTGACCACATCACGTGACCACAGCACGATATCTAGGCCCATCATGACAACGCAACACACACCACGCGGCACAGGACGCGACTGTCCGTCACACAGACAAACGCAAGCGTGGTCGTTCGTTTGTCACGCCGCCTGAAAGGCAAGCTCTGGATTATGGGAAACAAATTAACAACTCGGGTTTACTTAAAGAATTTGCGCAACTCGCTTGAGCGTGAACGTGACGATCAAAATCCCATAAGCGTGGCGAGCGGTTGTGTTCCCCCCCGCCTCCACCCCGATGCTCACGTGTATAGGCCGGTCTTGAATCCTAACTTGTGCAGAATCCGTTCCGTGAACGCACACGTGGATCCCTGCAGACGTCACATGCAGACGCAACAATAAAGACAAAGATCCCCCATACAAACCGTTGGGGCAAGTGCCGTTAAGCGAGCACCTACGAAGCCCAGCACTGCACAAGATGTTTAATACACGCTACACCAGGTACTCATTCAAGGCTGAGTCGACCTAGGGGAGGCCCAGGACAGACTAAATTATTCGCTACTGTTATTGGTTGTCATCGGGAATATAACTTGAGTCGCCAACCACTACACTACCGTTCCTCTCTGCAGACAAAGATCCCCCGTATAGCCTTACCAGACTGTAGGGGCAAGTGCTGTTAGCGAGCACCTATAAAGGCCGGCACAGCACACGAGGGGGTGGGTGGCCAACACCACGCCCGGCCGCCTTTGTCTCCCTAGTGGCGATGTTTACACATCGCACCAGGTACTCATTTGAGGCTGAGTCGACCTAGGGGAGGCCAAATACCGGTTCAGATAATTGTCACCGGTGTTTGCCGTGAGAGGGAATCGAACCCGAGTCGCCAGGTTCATAGCGCAGCGCGCTAACCGCTACACCATCGCTCCCCACACACAACAATAATAATTTGCCACTAAGTGATTGTGGTGTCACCACAGCCCTTGCACCAGGCTAGGTGCACTTTAAAGCGTGAAATGTGGAAGGCTCTCTGCTAGCTGGAGGGCACTGGACAACCCCAGGTGCCATGGGTTGACTGACCGCGATCACTGTGTTTAAGCCACCCGGCACTCCGCTCATTGTTGTGAATGTCACAAACACAGACGCTCACACGCAAACACACGCACGCATACCAAGGCATGTAGGCACAAAGACTAAGATGCAGACACACACATGCAGACACGCAGAGATAATCCACACTCACAGCCACCCACGCGACACCACGCGCCCATCGCTCCCTATCCAAGAACAGCAGAGCACCCATTGGTTCCTCCACATGCAGCAACTCACCACGCCCCCCAACGCCTCCCCCTTCCCCTCGGCAATTCTATTAACGGACAAGATTTTAGATGAGGGGGACGAGTGGCTCAGATCACTGAGCTGGCACCGCTGAGATGCTGGGTTCAAATCCAGGTTTCAGCCGCTGTCTATGATTAAACCGGTTTCTCGAGTGCAGCGCGTTGATGGTCTCAGACAGAATACTGATTGCAAAAAAAGCACCCCATTAAATATAGGTTTCACGGCCGTACGAAGGATGTTACTCTCGGTGGTTAAGCGGGTGGGTAAGTGTCGCCCCCAAATGCATGGGCGGGGAGATGTTAAATACCTCGTCTGATATTTAGGAGCGCGTGGGTTCGATACCGACGCTGATGCATGTATATTTGGAGTTTGCATGTTCTCTCCCCGTGGTCGCGTGGATTTTTCTAGGGTCCTCCGGTTTTTCCCTCCACATTTAGAAACATGTGTTTAAAGTATTTGCTGCAATACATTTCCACGTGAAAAGATACTAAGTTGAGCTATAATTTTGTGGCCAGGTTGCTTCTGAAAAAGAGCTATATAGCTGCAAGCCTTACATGGTAAAATAAAAAAAAGTTTAAAAGAGTAAAGAGAATGCCCGCGGGGTCCTCTGAAAGCAGAACGGTTGGACAGACGCACAGACGGACGGATAAAGAGACGCACGGATGGACAAACAGACGGGCGGGCAAAAGGACAGGCACATCGACAGACGCAGGGTGCTGCGGGTGACGCACCTTGCCCTTGGTGCCGCTCACGTGGATGACGTTTAGCCGATCGAGGTCGCCCACCTGCACGCAGCACGCGGCACACGGCGGGCGGTCACGGGCGACACCACAAAACCTCTCCCGCCGGCACCGGCCACAGCCGCCCCCGCCGGGATGACCATCGCCTGCGCTGCTGCTGGGGCGAGCGAGCGGCTCGGCAAGTGAGCGGGTGGGTGAGAGCGTAGGTGAGCGAGCGGGCGAGCAGGCAGGAGAGCGAGTGCACGAGCGTGTAGGGGAGCATGCAGGGATGTAGGTGAGTGAGCGAGCGGCTGGGTGAGACAGCAGGTGAGCATATGCGAGAGTGAGTGGCCAGACTCGTGTGCGAGCGAGCGAGCGTGCGAGTGCTCACGTTGATCTGGCAACGCTGCAGGTAGCGCTCCACCAGGGGCAGCTGGTTGGAGGCCTGGCGGCCGTGGTCGCGTCGCGTCTGCTCCAGTGTCTGGGCATTGGTCTGCAGCCGGTTCAGCACCTTGATGGCCTCCTGAGCACAACCGCATTCATACTCAAGCATTCGCCACACGCTCAAAGTCCACACGCTCACTGTCCACGCGCTCGGTCTACATTTACCACACTCACCGCCCAAACTCACACTCACCACACTCACCGTCCACCCTCACCTTCCACACTCACGCACACATCATCTACAATCCCCACATGCACCGTCTACACTCAGAATCTATGGGTCTCCATATTAATCTATGGGTCTGTGTGTGAGTCTAGAAGTCTGTGTGTGATTCTGTGGGCTTCTATGCGAGTCTATGGGCTTTTGCGCATGTTGATTGGTCTATGGATTTATGTGAAAGTTTATGGGTCTCTATGTGGGTCTACGTTTTTTTGCGTGAAACTCTGGTTCTCTGTGAGATAGTGATGATGATAACAATGCTAGCACATTTCATTTTATCATTGAATCCATCTGGACAACCCGGGGTGGACTTTGTAGCCTCCTCAACCGAGAGCTGACACTGGTAACACAAAAACACAAAATCCTGGACTCTTGAGAGCCGCGAGGACTGGAGTTTGAAACTCCGTGCAGCAGGTGACACCAACATTGCTGTGCGGAGCTCATAAAAATAAATTACATCCCAGCCAACTAGTAACAACAACAGACACGCACGATAATATGAACAGACACACAATAACATGAACATACACACACAATAACATGAACATACAGACACACATAATAACAGGAACAGAGACACACACAATAACATGAAGATACAGACACGATAACATAAACACACACGATAGCATAAAAATATGCAGACACACAATAACATGAACATACAGACACACACAACAACACGAACACAAACAGCAAGAAAGGTGGCCAGGTGGCTGAGATGTCGGAGCGCTGAGGCCAGCAACGCTGAGAGCCGGGGTTCAGAATCGAGTTTCAGCCGACGATGTCCTCAGCCGGGTCACCAGACGAGCGACACAGAGACCGCCGGACTCGCAGAAAGACCCATAGGCTCACATAGACTGGGTTGTAAATGAAACCGGGTTCTCAAGTGTCGTGAGCTCATGGTCTCAGCCCCGGTCAACAATGACTGCACAATGAACCCAATCACATTCAATCTCGTTGTACATTTAATTTGGTTCAATTCCAGCTCCGAGAATTAAAATAAAGCAACTTGACTGTCATACCAATGGGACACTACTCTCTGTGTGAGGGCAGGTTGGGGACATTCTGCCTTGCACTGGGTGGAACATTGGAAGCAGATCTGTGGTTGTCCCTTCCGTGGGCAGTTCTCGAACGTGAAGGGTTGCCCTGCCCTTGTGTGTGAGTTCGGAATGGGTGTTTCGTTTCCAAGACGTTCTAGGGCGCAACCTAAGCCGTTGCACCACAGACAAGACGGTTAAATATGCAATGACACATCGCTTTTTTACATCGGATCTCTGCACCGAGCAGACTCGTGCGTCTGCGGATCTCACCGATTAAAAATACTCTCGTCGGTCACCCAAAGCGTCGCACGGCGCTGGCGTTCGAGCCAACAAAAGTTTAGTCCATAAGAGGTTTTTTTTGGGTTAGATGGCATAAATAAATGTGTCGTTAAAACCCGCCACCACCCGACAGCCAACTAGTAAGGGTTGTCACGTAAACAGCAATACCTGATCAAAACAAGGGCATACCTGATCAAACCAAGGGAATCGAAAACACCAAGACTTTATGGGCTACCAAAAATTCACAAACCTGATGTCCCACTAAGACCCATAGTACAATAGGCTCTGCCACGTACAAATGAGCACAATACGTAACGAAACAAATACAGCCCTACATCGGTAGGACCTCTTCGTTCATCAAAAACTCTGAACATCTCGTAAATATAATCAAAGATGTTAAGCTTAACCCTAATGATATTCTTGTAAGTTTTGATGCGACTTCTCTGTGCACGAGGGTTCGGCTAAACACAGGTTTAGCCAAAGATATCCCAAGACTAAATGTTGTGAGCCAAGCCACAATATTTACAATCTGAGTACGACGTTTCGCCAGTAATAACTAGCTTCATCAGGCAACAGCCAGATTTGTGGCGGGTTTTAACGACACATTTATATATTTACGCGATCGAACCCAAAAAACCTCTATTATGGATGATATTGGTCACGAAAGCCTGTTAAAAAGTTTAGTTTCATTTTCATAGTTCAGCAATCGGGACGAGATTGCGGGGAAAAAATACAACTTGGGCTACGAATCCACAAAGCCCTGGATCATCACCATTTCTCGTGATATACTCAAACCATCCATGCTGGTGGTGTTTCTTCACTTTAGACGCAACTGCAAAAGGTCATTTGCTGCACTCAAATCAACATCAGCCCGGTATCAAAGTCCCCATGAACTCTTGACTGTCCTTATCCCCGTTATCATTCTCATTACTGCTATCAATAGTCTGCACACCAACTATCACCAACCAGTCCAATGGGCAAACGCACACAGACCCCCCGTGTAGCCTTCACACACTGTTAAGCCAAGTGCTGTTAGCGACTAGCACCTATGAAACAACGGCACACGATGGGTGGGTGGCCAGAACCACGCGCAGCCGCCTTTGTTTCCCGAGTGGCGATGTTTACACATCGCACCAGGCACTCATTTGAGTGCCGAGTCGACCTCGGGGAAGCCCAGGATCGATTCAGACAATCGTCACTGATATTAGCCGCGTGCCGAACTCGTGTGGCCGGGTTCGTAGCGCAGCGCGCAAACCGCTATACGACCGCTCCCCACACGTGCACACTCCCACACACACACAAAGACATCAAGCACCATGTGCATCACCACCATGAATACCCACGCCATGGTCGCTACAACGAAGCACACCGTGGCCAGCTCGAGCCCACATCTGGCCCAGTCAATAACCGCGGCCGTTAAGAGAGGAGCGCGCACGTGCGCGGCGTGTGCGCGGCGTGTACGCCTCGCGCGCGCACTGTACACGGAACGCACGTGCTTACTGTACGCGCACGTGCCTCGTACTCCATGGAGAGCGCGCTGGGGGCCACGTCCAGCTCTCGGTTGCGGTCCAGGTTGGGCTGTCGGTCCGGATCAACGTCGCGGTCGGATCTGAACGCCGATGCGAAGTTGGAATCCCCGCGATCGCGTTGTCCGACCCAGATCGGCCTCTGGCACTGGGAACTGGTCCGGGTCCGGTTCTGGTTGCGATCCTGGCGACTTTCCCTCGCCGCTCGGCACCACCGGTCCCAGGTCCGGTTCGGGTCGCGATCGCGGTTCGCGTCCCAGTGGGAGGACGACGACGACGAGGAGGAGGTCCCGAGCGCGCGCGCCGGGGTAGCGGCCAGAGCGCGACCAACACGGGACACGGCGCTCATCCCTGGCGGGGGGCGGGGGATGAAGTTGCGGCGGCGATAAAGGGCAATGGGGTGGAGTGGTGGAGGGGAGGCTGGGGGTCAAGTGAGGTGGTGGGTGGAGGAGGGAAGTGGAGACTGAAGAGTGGTCCGAGGGAGGGGAAAGACGACAGGAGATGAGAGGGGAGGATGAAGTTGCAGAGGGGATGGAGGTGGACCGGGGAGGGCAGAGGGGATGAGGGGACAATAGGAGAGGTGGTGGGCGGGAGGATGACATTGCGATCGAGATAGGATTGGGTTGATAGAGGGGGGTGGGAAGATTAAGGGAGACAAATTGGCGAGGTAAGGTTCGAGATGGTGGTGGACGGGGGAGGATTGAAAGAGTGGGTGCTGGGGGGGGGTCAAGTGAGTTTAAGGTGTGGTGGGGGGCACTGGAGACGTGTGATAGCTGGGAATGGGAGAGCCTCCGGGAGCCTCGGGTTCGTTTTCAGGAGGGTGCCTCTGCTTTTTGGCATGTTTGCCAAAAATGCCATCAATGAGAGGAGCTCGGATTTGTATTGGGACGCAACCGAAGAGCCCGAAAAAATGCAACACAGGAGGTGACACTCGGTGACCCATCGATGCATTTACTAATCCATTGCTGCACTGCCATCTCCACAAACAACGCGTACAGTCATGGTTGCACTGCCTTGTAAAGCACGAACTGCCCTGTGGATATACTGCCCCCGTCATGGGAATGTGGAATTTCCAACATACAGGTGACAGTGCACCGGCATTCTCGTGTACACGCGGGGTGTCTTCGGGTTACTCCAGAAGCATTAATTCATTAACACGAGTCGGCACCACCCCTAAGCTCGAGAGCTCATCCAGGGAGGTAAGTGGCCCACCCTTGCACGCTGGCGAGACGTCTATGAAGAGATGGGAGTAAGCCACACGTTACCCCCTCCCGCCCCAATGTATACTTATAGATTGACAAGAGGCCGTTGATTTAACTGCCGTGAGAACGAATCGATTTAAACGGCGACCGTGCCACCACATCGGCGATGCGAAGCGCAGCACTGTACGAATGACGATGGCGACAGTGGAGTTACAGTACGACACGAGCTGCTTCTGCTATCGCCTTCACCTTCTGCTGTTGCTGCTGCGGCTGTTGCCCCAAACAAACAAGAGACGCCTCACGTCCAGCCCCTGTCGCAACGATGGCTGTGCGGCAACGTGCGCTCGCAAACACGAAGGCAGAGAGCGCCGCGCTCGCTCAACACGTGGCCCGCACCACGCCGCTGCCTCTGCCAGGACGGAGCGGCCGATGCGCGGTGGGAAATGTGGACGCGCGGCGTCTTGAAAATCCCAGTTCACATGGGCAGCGCACCGGGGGGTGGGGCAGGGGGCGGGCGAAGAGGAGGGTCCGCCCACTGAATTTACGACACTTTGCGACTTGCAGAATCAGAATCTTGTCCGCAGTACAAATGTGGTGTCGTTAAAGCCGCCACCACCCGCCACAGCCGATTAGTAAGGTTAGCCACGTTCAGTTCGGTACTGGTACAGCACACCGGTTGTGTGGGAGAGTAAAGCCACAACATTTACAATCTTATATTCAGACTGCAGGAGGTGGAATCCGAAGAGCTATGAAGCTCAGTCGGGGCGGAGTCATGACGGATACCAATTGAATGTAACAAAAACATCTTCCCGATCAACAGTTTTGAAATTGGCACATGGTAGTACCTTTCATTAACGGCTGTAATCGATTTAAGGCACACAATCGTTTGAATGATTTGGCTGCTATAAATGTGCACAGGATAATGAGCCACTTCGTGTCTGCCAGGTCGCCTCTGTTAAAGAGCGACAGAGCTCAGTGGGAGTTCGGAGGATGGGGATTAGTTTCGTGTTGCCTTTGGATATGCGTTGGGGCGATTTCTTTACCTAACTTTGCGCCCTTATCGTGTTGTTGTATTGTCGTAATGTTCTTACCCGCCCCTACTGGACATGTGTGGAAAAACGAGATTCATAGCTCATGGGACTTCTCCAGGATAATAAAAAACAAACATTTTCATTCTAATTTCAAGAATAAATTAAATCGAAATCGCCCTCAGGATTACGTCACCGCCTTTACGACAACTCCCAGGCAACGAGGCCGTTGACGATGCTGGAGACCGTCTTTACGACGCCTTGACGACGTCTTTACGACGCCTTGACGACGCCTGACGACGGCGCGAGCCGCCTCCGTCTCCGCCATAGACTCTGCGGCTCGGGGCCCCATGGAGGAGGCGGCCCGCACAGAACGTGACCCCTCTCTCTCCCTGTACCCACAGAACTTGAACCCTCTCTCTCCCTGTAGGCACAGAACTTGAGCCCTCTCTCTCCCTGTACGCACAGAACTTGATCCCTCTCCCTGTACCCACAGAACCTGAGCCCTCTCTCTCCCTGTACCCACAGAACTTGAACCCTCTCTCTCCCTGTAGGCACAGAACTTGAGCCCTCTCTCTCCCTGTACGCACAGAACTTGATCCCTCTCCCTGTACCCACAGAACCTGAGCCCTCTCTCTCCCTGTACCCACAGAACTTGAACCCTCTCTCTCCCTGTAGGCACAGAACTTGAGCCCTCTCTCTCCCTGTACGCACAGAACTTGAGCCCTCTCCCTGTACCCACAGAACTTGAACCCTCTCTCTCCCTGTAAGTACAGAACTTGAACCCTCTCTCTCCCTGTAGGCACAGAACTTGAGCCCTCTCTCTCCCTGTACGCACAGAACTTGAGCCCTCTCCCTGTACCCACAGAACCTGAGCCCTCTCTCTCCCTGTACCCACAGAACTTGAACCCTCTCTCTCCCTGTACGCACAGAACCTGAGCCCTCTCTCTCCCTGTAATCACAGAACTTGAACCCTCTCGCTCCCTGTAATCACAGAACTTGAACCCTCTCTCTCCCTGTACCCACATAACTTGAACCCTCTCTCTCCCTGTAAGTACAGAACTTGGGCCCTCTCTCTCCCTGTACCCACAGAACTTGAACCCTCTCCCTGTACCCACAGAACCTGAGTCCTCTCTCTCTCTCTGTAATCACAGAATTGAACCCTCTCTATCCCTGTACGCACAGAACTTGAACCCTCTCCCTGTACCCACAGAACTTGAGCCATCTCTCTCCCTGTACGCACAGAACTTGAGCCCTCTCCCTCCCTGTACCCACAGAACTTGGGCCCTCTCTCTCCCTGTACGCACAGAACTTGACCCCTCTCTCCCTGTACCCACAGAACTTGAACCCTCTCTCTCCCTGTAGGCACAGAACTTGAGCCCTCTCTCTCCCTGTACCCACAGAACTTGAGCCCTCTTTCTCCCTGTACCCACAGAACTTGAGCCCTCTTTCTCCCTGTACCCACAGAACTTGGGCCCTCTTTCTCCCTGTACGCACAGAACTTGAGCCCTCTCCCTCCCTGTACACACAGAACTTGAACCCTCTCTCTCCCTGTACGCACAGAACTTGAACCCTCTCTCTCCCTGTACGCACATAACTTGAGCCCTCTCTCTCCCTGTACACACAGAACTTGAACCCTCTCTCTCCCTGTACCCACAGAACTTGAGCCCTCTTTCTCCCTGTACCCACAGAACTTGGGCCCTCTCTCTCCCTGTACTCACAGAACTTGAACCCTCTCCCTCCCTGTACGCACAGAACTTGGGCCCTCTCTCTCCCTGTACGCACAGAACTTGGGCCCTCTCTCTCCCTGTACGCACAGAAATTGAGCCCTCTCTCTCCCTGTACGCACAGAACTTGGGCCCTCTCTCTCCCTGTACGCACAGAACTTGGGCCCTCTCTCTCCCTGTACGCACAGAACTTGAGCCCTCTCCCTCCCTGTACCCACAGAACTTGGGCCCTCTCTCTCCCTGTACGCACAGAACTTGAGCCCTCTCTCTCCCTGTACGCACAGAACTTGAACCCTCTCTCTCCCTGTACGCACAGAACTTGAACCCTCTCTCTCCCTGTACACACAGAACTTGACCCCTCTCTCTCCCTGTACGCACGCCGACTTTTTACACCCCCTCCCCATCACCTGCGTACGTACGCCTGACGCACCCCCCGAATCCTATAGAACGGCCGTAACTCATGCAGACAGCTATGACTCTAGGGCTTGATGTTACATGTTGTTTATGTAGTTTATTATAAAATTCGGTCACAGTCCCTATGATCACTGTTACGTTGCAATTATGGCTTTATTTTGGTGATTTCGAAAATATTTTTGGTTTGGACATGTTTGTTGTAGTACGGAGTTAGACTGATGGCCTTAATCTAAGTTTTCTTGTGGTTGTTGTTGTCTGACTTGCATCCCACTGGGATTTGTTGCACACAGCGTTGGTGTACGGTGCTTTTTTTTAGGAATATTTGCTGTTTTTTTCATGGATTTTCTGTTTTCACAGTCACATAGTCACTTTAAGATGTTTTCTTGTTCGTGTTTTAGTTTTTTCTTCTTTGGTTCTTTCGGTAAAGTCACGTAGAATGAGAATAAAATAATAAATGGATAAAATAAAATAACACAATAAAATTCTCACGATGTTTCGGCCTCAACACAAGCGGCCTTCATCAGGTGAAGGGACGAGACTGTCTGTTTTAGTTGTTTTGTTTGTTGTGGTTGCACCCGATTCAAGAGCCGAATGGCTCACAGGGCTATACCAAAATAAATAAACTGAAACGCAGAAACTATCAAGGGTTAATAATATTAACGTGTTTAAGCAAACAAATTTCACCGCCGGACTAGCTAACTCATTTGAAGGCCAATGTAAACAAATTATAATCAAAGCTTCACCCCCCCCCCCCCCCCCCCCCGTTTCCTATGCGTACACTGTCAGTAGACCCCCCATACGCAAGCGGACGCATTTGGGTTACCCCCCCATCCCCCCTCCACGCGTTCGCATTCAATGGATGGCCCCCAAGGCCGCGGGCTCGGTTGTCATGGAGACATCCTCAGGTGCTACCCGCGGTGACGTCACCACCACGAAGCCTGCCCCCTTCCCCGGGCGCCATCTTGGTACGGGGTCCGCCATTCACTTCGCGTTGGACCCTCTGGGCGAGCGCTCCTATGCGTGGTTCGTGGCCACACCGCCGCCTCGGGGCGTGTCTGGCCACACCGCCACCTCGGGGTGTGTCTGGCCACACCGCCGCCTCGGGGTGTGTCTGACCACACCGCCACCTCGGGGCGTGCCGCCCGCCTCGCTCACGGCGGCACTGAACCCAGCAGCCCGTGTGGCCCACGAGGGGCGAGCTCTCCCTGCCGCTGTGGTCGTGAGAGTTGGGACTGTTGCTCATCGCGCACGACTCAGTGGCCATTAAAGAGGTGGAAGGGTGCAATCGATGCGTTTGTTGAAAGCGCAGTTTCGTGACTGATTTACTTGTGAACATCTGACGTGGTACCTTGCGGGGAGTGGGATCGGGGGCCACGTAAACCGAGTGCTGGCGCAAGGTGGCGCTGTTGGAGCCGCATTGTCAACGACCACTGTGACCACACTACTCATCTACCACTGTAACCACACCACTCAACTACCACTGTAACCACACTACCCAACTACCACTGTAACCACACTACTCAACTACCACTGTAACCACACTACTCATCTACCACTGTAACCACACTACCCAACTACCACTAACCACACCACTCAACTACCACTGTAACCACACCACTCAACTACCACTGTAACCACACTACTCATCTACCACTGTAACCACACTACCCATCTACCACTGTAACCACGCTACTCAACTACCACTGTAACCACACTACCCAGCTACCACTGTAACCACACTACCCAACTACCACTGTAACCACACCACTCAACTACCACTGTAACCACACTACCCAACTACCACTGTAACCACACTACCCAACTACCACTGTAACCACACTACTCATCTACCACTGTAACCACACTACCCAACTACCACTGTAACCACACTACTCAACTACCACTGTAACCACACTACTCATCTACCACTGTAACCACACTACTCATCTACCACTGTAACCACACTACCCAACTACCACTGTAACCACACTACCCAACTACCACTGTAACCACACTACCCAACTACCACTGTAACCACACTACTCATCTGCCACTGTAACCACACTACTCAACTACCACTGTAACCACACCACTCAACTACCACTGTAACCACACCACTCAACTACCACTGTAACCACACTACTCATCTACCACTGTAACCACACCGCTCATCTACCACTGTAACCACACCACTCAACTACCACTGTAACCACACCACTCAACTACCACTGTAACCACACCACCCAACTACCACTGTAACCACACTACTCAACTACCACTGTAACCACACTACCCAACTACCACTGTAACCACACTACTCAACTACCACTGTAACCACACTACCCAACTACCACTGTAACCACACTACCCAACTACCACTGTAACCACACTACCCAACTACCACTGTGACCACACTACCCAACTACCACTGTAACCACACTACCCAACTACCACTGTAACCACACTACCCAACTACCACTGTAACCACACTACCCAACTACCACTGTAACCACACTACCCAACTACCACTGTAACCACACTACCCAACTACCACTATAACCACACTACTCAACTACCACTGTAACCACACTACCCAACTACCACTGTAACCACACCGCTCAACTACCACTGTAACCACACTACCCAACTACCACTGTAACCACACTACCCAACTACCACTGTAACCACACTACCCAACTACCACTGTAACCACACTACCCAACTACCACTGTAACCACACTACCCAACTACCACTGTAACCACACTACCCAACTACCACTGTAACCACACTACTCAACTACCACTGTAACCACACCACTCAACTACCACTGTAACCACACCACTCAACTACCACTGTAACCACACTACCCATCTACCACTGTAACCACACTACCCAACTACCACTGTAACCACACTACCCAACTACCACTGTAACCACATCACTCAACTACCACTGTAACCACACCACTCAACTACCACTGTAACCACACTACCCATCTACCACTGTAACCACACTACCCAACTACCACTGTAACCACACTACTCAACTACCACTGTAACCACACTACTCAACTACCACTGTAACCACACCACTCAACTACCACTGTAACCACACTACCCAACTACCACTGTAACCACACCACTCATCTACCACTGTAACCACACCACTCATCTACCACTGTAACCACACTACTCATCTACCACTGTAACCACACCACTCATCTACCACTGTAACCACACCGCTCATCAACATTCGCCTCGGAGTGGAGACGATAACAAATAAGCAGCCAATTTCCACCATCCCTCCACGCATCTGTCCTCCAACAAAGATTACTTTGTTTTTACTTTACACAACTCATCAGCCACACACGGACTCCTTCTGGGACTGAATAATTTCAGCAGCTTTGTGAGTTCACCCGCAAGGGAGAACTCTGGACCCGTTTTGACGCTGCATTGTCTCATCAGCAGGGTCGGGTTTTTGCCGGAACCCAATTTTGTCGAATCTCCAGATGTGTACAGAAGGTCTTTTGTGTGCAGACTGGAGGTGGTGTGCACATCAATACATCATTAAGTGGAGTCTGTAAAACATTTTCATCGGGACACATTTCGAATGTGATGTTTAGCAGGCCCCATGGCATATCAAGTGCGACCTACATTTATTATCCTCTCTTGTTCTACGGTCTGTGTTTATGTGTGTGTGTGTGCGCGGTGTGAAGAAGGGCCATTGTCCGAAACGTCGCGGCGTTACTAATGAGCGTGCTGAGTGTCCGTGTTGGCCGTGTGCGGGCACCGCTCATTCACGTGGCAGCAGCAGCAGCACCTGAATCTTTGAGTAGTCGGCTGCGTGTGTACCTCGCTTCATCCACGCCGCGTGTATCCCTGCTCTTTTCTGCGTGTGTCTGTGCGTTACATATTTAACTCGTGGTTTAGTGGTAATTTATTGAAGGTGGAGGAGTTAACATATTTAACTCGTGGTTTAGTGGTAATTTATTGAAGGTGGAGGAGTTAACATATTTAACTCGTGGTTTAGTGGTAATTAATTGAAGGTGGAGGGGTTACCAGCCCCTCGCACCCGTCCAGAGCCCCCGGTTAGCCCCTGTGGTGGTCACAGACGTCATGAGGGGAGGAGCCAATCGGAGTTGGCTCCTCCCCCCACAGCACTGTCCACGACAGAGTTGCCCGTCCGGCACTGCGAGGAGGTAGCGGGTTGTGTTGCCTCAAGGTGCACATGGCCTGGCACAAGCGTCGTGGTGACGTCACCGCCACTTAGTGGCGAATGGCGGTTGTTGTTGGCTGTGTGTGTCTGCGCGTGTGTCTGTGTGTGTGTGCGTGTGTCTGTGCGTGTGTCTGTGTATGCGTGTCTGTGTGTGTCTGTGTGTGCGTGTCTGTGTGTGTCTGTGCGCGTGTCTGTGTGTGTGCGTGTGTCTGTGTGTGTGTCTGTGCGTGTGTGTCTGTGTGTGTGTGCGTGTGTCTGTGTGTGTGTCTGTGCGTGTGTTTGTGTGCGTGTGTCTGTTTGTGCGTGTCTGTGTGTGCGTGTCTGTGTGTGTCTGTGTGTGTGTGTCTGTGCGTGTCTGTGTGTGTGTCTGTGTGTCTGGGGAGCGGTAGTGTAGCGGTTAACGCGCTGCGCTATGAACCTGGCCACCCGGGTTCGATTCCCGCTCACGGCCAACACCAGTGACGATTATCTGAACCGGTCCCGGGCCTCCCCTAGGTCGACTCAGCCTCAAATGAGTACCTGGTGCGGTGTGTAAACATCGCCACTAGGGAGACAAAGGCGGTCGGGCGTGGTGCTGGCCACCCACCCCCTCGTGTACCGTTCCGGCCTTCATAGGTGCTCGCTAACAGCACTTGCCCCTGTTAAGGCTATATGGGGGATCTTTGTCTGTGTGTGTCAGTGTGCGCGTGTGTCAGTGTGCGCGTGTGTCTGCCTGCGTGTGTGTGTCTCCACATGTCGCGGATGTAGATTATTCCACTAATCGCGCCACTCACTGCGCGTGTGATCACAGCGTGCGAGTCTTAATCATTCTCACCACCCCCCCTCCGTTATACATTTATCTCGCATTCAATAATCACACTCGGCCGCGCTCCGCCACGAGGGATCAAGCTCGCCTTAGAGACACTTCTCGCGCTGGAAAGCACCGGCTGCCGGTTACGTAAACACGAAATGTGTCGCATGTTGGTAATTGTTGTTGGCAATTTGTTGACGCGCGAGATTGCATTGCCGAGTCGTGGAGTGGTGGCGCAGTGCTTGGGGCGGTGCAGCGGCGCTACGAACCAAAGTGACCCGAGGTTTTTTTTATTGCCGGGACACGGCCAATGTCACGGCCCTGGTGCCTCGTGCCATAGCTGGACCGGTGCCGTGTTGCCTTCTACAAAAGGTAGCAAGGGGACGGAGTCGACAGCACGGACGGCTGGCTGTGGGGGGCTCAGCAGGGGGAGCCGTGAGCGACAAGGAAGGTGCAACATCGCGAGTGGGATCACGGCGTGGCAAACCCCCAAGATGAGGTCACGACCCCGTCACATTCCCGCGACGCGCGCCGCTCAGAGCGCCACCACTTGTGTGCTGAACAAGCCGGCGAGTCGTAATCATCAGAGCCACTCGGCGACGGCGAACCTGTGATTGCAGCGATTAGAATCACCGCAAACGCCGCCGTCTATTGCGTTACGGAGCTTGGCGGTTTAACAAAACAAAAAACCCCCACGAACAACAAAGAGTCGTTTGTGTTCCTCGACGCCAATGCAATCACAACCCCCCAACCACCCCGCCTCAATTATTCGGCCGAGCAAATTAGACGGCGCCTCCAGCGATGTAGCACACACACGCACACACGTGTGTGTGTGTACGTGTGTGTGTGCCCAGGGCAGCAGGCCCAGCCAGCGACGTGCGGTGTTAAGGGGTCTCCTCTGCTTACGGCGCTTTCGCTGCGAGCTTGTTGTGAGCCGCAGTGCCAACGGGGGCTGCGCCAAACGCCGGCGCGGCCGCACGGAGAAGGCAGCGGCCGCGGCGTCTCGAGGCGTCTGGAGGCCAATAACGCGGCACGGCGCGGCCCGCGGGGCCGTGTGAGCGACCCCCGAGGGGCTCCCTGCACCGGCGGGTGTTGAGGGTCGAGCCGGGGCTGGGGGCTGCCGCTGTCCTCATCAGGGCCGCCGCTTGCGGGGAGCCACGGTTCGCTGTTGGGAGTCGTCCGCTCAATGTGCGTTGGTGCCCTGGGAGATTGACGGCTCGGTCAGGGCCGCCGGTGATATCATTCAGCAGCGATGTTAACCGTGGCCAGGCACCCGGCCAGAGGAGCCGAGTGAGATACGAAGAAGCCCTGCACCCAGACATGTGCGGTCTCCGCGATTGTGAAACAGAGCCTCATAGCTCGTCGGATTCCTCCAGTCGAGAAACAAATTCCGATTCCTTGTGGTCGTGGGTGTCTCTGATCCACGCGTCATTGTGTGCGGCCTTCAGCAAGACACCGAGGCTCTTTACCGAGATGGGACTTCACAATGTCACCTCATCCCACGAAGACTCGCATTGAAACATAGAAAATAGCACAGTATCATTATTATTTGTACAAAGTTATCAACATTTATTTAAAAAAAACAAATTAAACCGTGTCAAAAATACCCAACATTTTACAAACAGATAATAAATATAACGAGGTAAAGTAGAATGTAACGTTACTTGGCAGACTCCCTATGTTACACACGGTATGCAATAGGGGTCTTGGTAGGGTGGTGGTGCAGTGCTAATACTCGTGTCTCGTTGTGGGAAGCGGCTGGGTTAGATTCCTGACTCGGGTGCCTCCGTGCGTTCTGTGTAGCTTTCCGGGTTTCCTTCCATAGCTAAATCACCGTGTAACTGGTATTGGCCCAAACCTCCAACTGCTGCATAATTACCAGCAAATTACTCGCCCGGGATCACAGACATACACAGCAACAACGTTGTCCTCCCCGACAGCAAAACACGTGGCAGGACACTCCGAACGAGGAGTGGTGAGACTCGGTGAGGCTTTCCCATCTCATCTTTCACCCGCCCCCCCATTACTAAGCCTCCGTTTCGCACCCTAACCCCCCAAATCTTAAACTCACATTAACCTCCTTTCTCCCCCCTTCCCTCCAACGCCCGCTCCTCTTTCAGTCCTCTCCCTTCCCACATCATCTCGAGCCTTCCCTCGCCAATTTGTCTTCATAAACGTCCCCCCCCCTCCTGTCACTCCCGGGGGGCATCGTAACGAAACTAGCACAGCAGCAATATGCCTGTGGGCAGTCGCATAACAACCCTCGGGTCAATACCGCCTCTCATTGACGCCGATTTTAATTGTTTTCATGCAACTGCCGGCAGGTTGTCCGTCTAATAAACGAAACACATTTCGACTCTGACAGGTTTCGGTTTACAATGGGCACATTTATACTACATATTTGTATTTTTTTAAAAATCTGGTGTTTTAAATAGATACCCGCGTGCCGAGCGACGCGCGGCCTTGACGGAGTGCGTGTAACGAGCGGAATATTGCTCAACGCTCCGCACTCGTCGGTACGACGTCGGGGTGACGTCTGCGCGAACGTCGCGAAACATTAACGAAGCATGGGCCCATTACCAGCACCACTAAAGACAAATAGCCCCCATATAGCCTCAACAGACTGTTGGGGCAAGTGCTGTTAGCGAGTAACACCTACGAAGGCCGGCACGGCACACGAGGGGGTGAGTGACCAGCACCACGCCTGCCCGCCTTTGTGTCCACAGTAAAGATGTTAATACAGCGCGCCAGGGACTCATTTGAGGCTGAGTCGACCTAGGCCGGGATCGGAGTGCAGCGCGCAAACCGCTTAACCACCACCAGCGCCACCACCAGCGTCACAGCATCCCTGCTGCCCCTCAACCACGGCAGCCAACGCTCCTGCTGCCCCCTCCCCCCCACCTCACCCGCACAGCTTTGCCCCCCCCCCCGCCACCCTCTTGCTGCCCTGGCTAGAGGAAGCACAGAGGTCCCAGCGAGAGGGCGACCCCCCACCGGCGGGGCCCCCGAGAGGGCATGGCGCGGATGGGCAGAGACTCCGTGCTGCTCGTCGAAACGACGAGGTGTAGGACGCACACCTCGTCCCGCGTTCCGGCCTGCACACACCCACACACACCCACACACACACACGTGTACACACCCGTGTTGCAAACTCCTAAAAGCGGAAAGTAACGAACGATCATGGTCATGATCAGAATGACAATGATGATATCGATGTATGTATGTTGTACTTCTTTCGCACTCTACGTAGCCCACCGTGCTAATTCCTAAATGTGATGATTGCGACAACGATGATGGCCATGAATACCACAATGAAATGACAAACGATGATGTTGATAACCACAAATGATAATGATTGTGATGACCGCAGTACAATCATGGCGACACCGGCGATGACAACGAAGATGACGACACGGCACCTGCGTGCAGTCGCGACGCAGCACGCGGTAGGCATCGTGTCCTGGCCCAATCTCGGTGCCATCGTCTCCCACGAGCGTCGGCCCCTCTTCCTCCTCCTCCTCCCCCCCCTCGGCGCCCACCGTGCCGCCCCCTCGCGTGGTGGCACGGACGTGCTGCCACGCTCGCCCGCTCCGAAGGCGCAGGAACTTGAGCTGGACGGTGCCGAGGCCCGGGTACGGCGGGGCCCGCTGGCTCTCCGCCGCGCCGCCAACGCAGGTGGCGCCGCCGGCCGAGAAGTGGCAGCGAGCGAGCAGCGCGTCGAGCGGGCAGCCCTGGTTGGGGTCGATCCAGTAGTGCCCTGGGCATCGCACGTAGGAGCGTCATCATCATCAGCCGTGGTCTATCCACTTCTGGATGGAGGCCTCCCCGCTTTCAAAGCCTAAAGTCCCATTATCGCACTGGGTCACCGGCTCGGACCATCCACACCCACTGTCATCACGCTGACATTCGCCGGAGGGAACACGGAACGTTACGCCAATGTCACGCCATCGTTGGTCCAACGGTTCCAAACCACATGCCAACGTGGGCCAACGTTGCCTGTTCACTGCGTCCTTCCAAGCTTCCGTAAGGCTCTGGATTGCGTCCAGCCCAAACTCTTAACTTGCAGTGGCGTAGGGTGGTAGGAATGGGCCCTGGTGGAAGCAAAGAAATTGGGCACCCTCCGCCCCCCCCCTCCCCCGTCTCTCCGAAGGCCGGCGCCGGGGCCCCTCCGACACGTGGGCCCCGGTGCAGCTGCACCGCCTGCACGCCCACCGGGCGGCTCGTTGTGTTCTCGCCGCCACGCGATCGTTGAACCAAATTTTGTGTAATACGAGTCGCGTGCCGCCACGCGAGACCACCGTCAATCAACTCCCCTCGCTCACGTCCAACTCCCGCGTCTCGGAGATGGGGGGCAGGCGGGGGCGGGGAGCGGTCGGCGTGGGGGGAAATGTGGTAGGGGAGGGGAAGTCACAACAGAGAGATCCATTGGGCACATTTATGGAACATTACAAATGCGGATTTTATGATAATCACGCCTAATTGGTACTAACGACCCTTCAGGAAGCGTCTGTGTTTGGGGATGAGTTACGGCCGTAGCTCCTGGAAACGGCGGCTCGCTGCCAGCGGAAGCTCTTCATTAATTAAATAAGTAAACGGTGGCACAAAGTTCATAATACCAGCAACCTTTCCATTTATCTATTACAACTCTGACGGTGCTCTTTTCTTACTGACCGATTGACATTTTGGGGCTCTGGGCCTTATGCTCAGTAACTGCATAAAAAACATCGAGACCACTGCCCTGTACAGCCCTCTGATGTGTGACTTCTGGTTGTACCACTGGCATGTGCGAGTGTGCTGGGCTGTTTGTGTACGTCGTGTGTGTAGTTCTGTCTTTGTACGTGTGTAGTTCGGTGTATGTATATATGTAGTTCTGTGTGTGTAGTTCTGTGTGTGTGTATATGTATATGTGTGTAGTTCTGTGTGTGTGTAGTCCTGTGCATATGTGTGTGGTAGTCCCGTGTGTGTGGTAGTCCCGTGTGTGTGTGTAGTCCTGTGTGTATGTGTGTGTGTAGTTCTGTGTATGTGGTAGTTCCGTGTGTGTGTGTGTGTAGTCCTGTGTGTATGTGTGTGTGTAGTTCTGTGTGTGTGGTAGTCCCGTGTGTGTGTGTGTGTAGTCCCGCGTGTGTGTGTGGTCCTGTGTGTATGTGTGAGTGTGTAGTTCTGTGTGTGTGTTTCACCACTCATTCCACAGCGGGCAGCGCAGATTGGGTAGACGATTTGGGAATATTCACCGACACCCAGAACTCACCGTCGGGAAGGCCCGGCCGGCACAGCTGCAGCTCGTGGCACGTGGCCGGCGGGTGCTCGCCAACAAGGCCCGGGGCCGGCGCGGACACGGTCCCGGCTGGGTCCCCCGCGCCGCTCCGTGTGGCCTCGCCCGGGGCCCACGGAGGGTCCCACAGAGGCCAGTCCTCAGGCCACTCCTCCTGTGGAACGACCGCACCTCGAGAAACCCGGCGCAAATCTCGGGCTGAGTTTCAGATCGAAAAATGTTAAGATTTGGGGAATTTCTAAGGACGATTTCGGATCTTTTTGGGGTTTTTATCTTGCGCGCTCTGCGGCGTTGCGACGCGCCGTTGCGCTCGCAGAAGTGATGCCACCAACGCCAGGCGACGATGCTACTCTCCGTAGGAATAAATATGGAAGCAAGAAAAAATGTGACCTCGTTTCCTGTGAAGCCAGACTTCGGAATCGATCAGTAACTATTTAATGTTTTCTCACTATTTAACTAATTAAAGTAATAAGGTCCCATTTTGTTACATTTTTCAGATGAATCTGACGTCCCGCGACATCCGGGACTAGGGATGTGTTCCCAATTTTTCATATTATTTAAACAGCTTAAACTTCATCTTAAAATTGGGAACGCTTCCCTTCCTCTACCCAGAGGGCGTGGGACATATTCACGTTCTGGAGATTGTAGGCCCAGGGCTGAATCGCCCGGAGTCACCCGGATCTCGGAAGCTAAGCAGGACTGAGCCGGAAAGCGCCTGGGCGGGTATCCACCTCGCATAAAAGAGGTGCTATAGGCTGCCGCGGGGTATGTTGCAGGTAGCGGAGAGCAGTGCAGCAAGATTCATCGTTGTACTGTACTTCTATGCTCCAACATCCCCCCTTTACTAACCCGCGTTGACCAGCATGGCAGAGTACGGTCAAACAACCCCCAAAACCCGTGGGGAGGCCCTCATCCAGCGGTGCGTGTACACAGCCCCAACGTGAAGGCCGTCTCGAGCGCTGTCCGCTCGGTGTCTCCCCCACACACCGCACCGCGCTTACCCAGGAGGGCCGTGCCGTAGCGCCAGGGCGGTGGTGTCGGAGTCCCGTCGACGGACCTGCAGGGCCGGGGGGGCCCGGAGGCCCGGGGGGGCCCTGAACACAGACGCACGCATGGGAAGAGCAGCGTGAGTTCATGAACTCACGCTGTCCTCCCCCCCCCACCAAATCATCATCATCGTCGCCGCCACCCCATCCATTAATGCCGCGCCGCTCATAAAGCTGTCAAGGGCTCTAATCGGGATGGAAGTGACTGCCTCTGTGTGCACCTGTTAAATACCCGTGGAGACGGCGGTGCAGGAACGACGTGGCCGCGCGTGTAATTAATCCCTAATTGCTCTTAACGAGCGGCGGAGGGCCACGGCTGGAGCGCGGCGCCGTGTCTGAGCGTGTCGCCGTGTCTGCTAGCGTCACCGTGTCTGTGCGTGTCGCCGTGTCTGAGCGCGTCGCCGTGTCTGAGCGCGTTGCCGTGTCTGCTAGCGTCGCCGTGTCTGAGCGCGTCGCCGTGTCTGAGCGCGTCGCCGTGTCTGCTAGCGTCGCCGTGTCTGAGCGCGTCGCCGTGTCTGAGCGCGTCGCCGTGTCTGCTAGCGTCGCCGTGTCTGAGCGCGTCGCCGTGTCTGAGCGCGTCGCCGTGTCTGCTAGCGTCGCCGTGTCTGAGCGCGTCGCCGTGTCTGAGCGCGTCGCCGTGTCTGCTAGCGTCGCGGGGAGCGGCGGCTCCAGAGGTTAGCGCGCTGCACCCTGAACACGGCGACCCGAGTTCCATTCAAGCTCGGGCCCAACACCGGCGATGGGCATTTGAGCCGTTCCCGGTCCTGGGCCTTCCGTAGGTTGACTCAGACCTTAAACGAGCACCTGGTGCGGTGCGCCTTCAAAGGTGCCCGCTAACAGTTATTGCCCCAACAGTGGGTTAAGACTATACGGGGGATCATCTTTGTGCGGTCCGTGCATGCGTGTGTCCGTGAGAGCGTTGGTACTCACCGAGGGCCCCCTATCCCCTCGCTGGCCCCGTATCCCCTTCTCCCCCTGGCAGGGATGAACACGGCACGAGCGGCCCGGTACGGCAGCCACGCGTGACGACGGGAGCAGAGAGACGAGACAACAGTCGGCATTTACACGGCAGAGAAACGCGACCTTCCGGACACTTCGTAGCGATAGAATGCGGCTCTTGGACGAGAGAAGTAAAACAGCGTGGCAGATGGGAAAGAAAAATTAAATAAAAACGAATGAATTATAATCAACCACTTTAGCCGTGCATGGGGCACGCGTAATAACAACCCGAATAACAATGATGATATTCTTTGGGTCTTTCAGTAAAGTTACGTAGATAGGACCGATCTACGTGACTTTACCGAAAGACCCAAAGAATATGAATTCCTGCAGTCACGAAAGCCTTAAGTCAAGATTTAACAATGATTATAACGTAACAATATTTATTGTATTTTATATACAGCGACATTCGTGCAAGTTGCATCTCAACACGCTGAACATTGCGAACCACATAGACTTCAAATATAGTCTGAGGCACAACACACAGGCACACCACATAGGCACAACATAAACGAGATACACAGGGTATGGAGGTAAACATAGCACGAACCAGTCAGAACACCACGGAAACACGACACAGATACACAACACGAACCAGGTAGGGTGGCAATTAAACACTTAAATTGAACACTGCTTGGCCATTGGAAAGACTCGGCCATAGGAATTTGGAATTTCACAACACTGGCTCAGGGCCGTCAAATGCGCAGGACACGAGCATTGCCCAATATTCAGCCCAGTGGAAACCACTCGGACTACAGGAAATATAAACAGTGAGGGAAAAAAGTATTTGATCCCCTACTGATTTTGTACGTTTGCCCACTGACAAAGAAATGATCAGTCTATAATTTTAATGGTAGGTTTATTTGTACAGTGAGAGACAGAATAACAACAACAAAATCCAGAAAAACGCATGTCAAAAATGTTATAAATTGATTTGCATTTTAATGAGGGAAATAAGTATTTGACCCCTCTGCAAAACATGACTTAGTACTTGGTGGCAAAGCTCTTGTTGGGAATCACAGAGGTCAGACATTTCTTGTAGTTGGCCACCAGGTTTGCACACATCTCAGGAGGGATTTTGTCCCACTCCTTTTTGCAGATCTTCTCCAAGTCATTAAGGTTTCGAGGCTGACGTTTGGCAACTCGAACCTTCAGCTCTCTCCACAGATTTTCTATGGGATTAAGGTCTGGAGACTGGCTAGGCCACTCCAGGACCTTAATGTGCTTCTTCTTGAGCCACTCCTTTGGGTCATTGTCATGCTGGAATACCCATCCACGACACATTTTCAATGCCCTGGCTGAGGGAAGGAGGTTCTCACCCAAGATATGACGGTACATGGCCCCGTCCATTGTCCCTTTGATGCGGTCAAGTTGTCCTGTCCCCTTAGCAGAAAAACACCCCCAAAGCATAATGTTTCCACCTCCATGTTTGACGGTGGGGATTATGTTCTTGGGGTCATAGGCAGCATTCCTCCTCCAAACACGGCGAGTTGAGTTGATACCAAAGAGCTCCATTTTGGTCTCATCTGACCACAACACTTTCACCCAGTTGTCCTCGGAATCATTCAGATGTTCATTGGCAAACTTCAGACGGGCATGTCTATGTGCATTCTTGAGCAGGGGGACCTTGCGGGCGCTGCAGGATTTCGGTCCTTCACGGCATAGTGTGTTACCAATTGTTTTCTTGGTGACTATGGTCTCAGCTGCCTTGAGATCATTGACAAGATCCTCCCGTGTAGTTCTGGGCTGATTCCTCACCGTTCTCATGATCATTGCAACTCAACGAGGTGAGATCTTGCATGGAGCCCCAGGCCGAGGGAGATTGACAGTTCTTTTGTGTTTCTTCCATTTGCGAATAATCGCACCAACTGTTGTCAGCTTCTCACCAAGCTGCTTGGCAATTGTCTTGAAGCCCATTCCGGCCTTGTGTAGGTCTAAAAACTTGTCCCTGACATCCTTGGTGAGTGAGCTCTTTGGTCTTGGCCATGGTGGAGAGTTTGGAATCTTATTGATTGATTGCTTCTGTGGACAGGTGTCTTTTAAACAGGTAACAAGCCGAGATTAGGAGCACTCCCTTTAAGAGTGTGCTCCTAATCTCAGCCCGTTATCTGCATAAAAGACACCTGGGAGCCAGAAATCTTTCTGATTGAGAGGGGGTCAAATACTTATTTCCCTCATTAAAATGCAAATCAATTTATAACATTTTTGACATGCGTTTTTCTGGATTTTTATTGTTGTTATTCTGTCTCTCACTGTTCAAATAAACCTACCATTAAAATTATAGACTTATCATTTCTTTGTCAGTGGGCAAACGTACAAAATCAGCAGGGGATCAAATACTTTTTTCCCTCACTGTATTCATGGGTTTCACATTCTTTTCTGAAAGTATTAAAGACTTTATGCGAATAGACATTTACCTTTATTCCAAACATTCCCTGGAGGAAGAAAAAAAAACAAACAAACAATGATTAATAACGATGATGAGAAAAAAGACAGAATCACAACAATAATATTCTGTGGTTAACTATGAAAGCCTCCCCGAGTCTCAAGACTGCTTATCAAGAGGGTGCGGCTACTTTGGGATGTTTGGCCTTGAATTACATTCGTAATCGGATTTGGGCTTTGTGTGGGAGGAAAACCTCTAGGATGAGTGGAGAGTGAGGAGCAGGGAGAGTGAGGAGCTGGGAGAGTAAGGAGCTGGGGGAGTGAGGAGCTGGGGGAGTGAGGAGCTGGGGGAGTGAGGAGCTGGGGGAGTGAGGAGCTGAGAGAGTGAGGAGCTGGGGGAGTGAGGAGCTGGGGGAGTGAGGAGCTGGGGGAGTGAGGAGCTGGGGGAGTGAGGAGCTGGGGGAGTAAGGAGCTGGGGGAGTGAGGAGCTGGGGGAGTGAGGAGCTGGGGGAGTGAGGAGCTGGGGGAGTGAGGAGCTGGGGGAGTGAGGAGCCGGGAGAGTGAGGAGCCGGGGGAGTGAGGAGCTGGGGGAGTGAGGAGTAGGGAGAGTGAGGAGCTGGGGGAGTGAGGAGCCGGGGGAGTGAGGAGCTGGGGGAGTGAGGAGCAGGGAGAGTGAGGAGCTGGGGGAGTGAGGAGCTGGGGGAGTGAGGAGTAGGGAGAGTGAGGAGCTGGAGGAGTGAGGAGCTGAGAGAGTGAGGAGCTGGGGGAGTGAGGAGTAGGGAGAGTGAGGAGCTGGGGGAGTGAGGAGCCGGGGGAGTGAGGAGCTGGGGGAGTGAGGAGCCGGGAGAGTGACGAGTTGATTGTCACTCACTGGTAAACCCAGCAGCCCCTGTGACCCGGGCAGACCCTGAGACCCAACATCGCCCTGCAGACAACACAAAAACAAAACACATACACAATACTATACTCTACAGCAGGGGTCGGGAACCTTTTTGACTAAGAGAGCCATGAAAGCAAAAAATTTGGAAATTTATTTCAGTGAGAGCCATATAATATATTTTAAAAGTGAATTCAACTAAATGTCAGTATAATAAGCCTCTGAATTTATTCTTTTAAATAATGTTGTTATAACACTCACCATTAATGCGACTTCTGGTGCTGCATGGATTTGCTGATGTCTTTGTAGTCGGGTTGGTACTTGGTGAGGTTAAGCTTCATGCAAGCGTTGAGGCTTTCATCCGTTCAACGTGATCGTAGGTTGGACTTGATGTTTTTAAGATGTGAGAATGACTGCTCACATGCATACGTAGATCCAAACATGGTCAATACAGCAATACTCACACGCTGCAGTGTGTGGTATGTGACAGGAAGCGCGTTCCAAGTTTTGAGAATCAGCTGGTCTTCGGGTTGGAGTTTTTTCATTTCTGTCCACATGTGCTTGCTCGCCAACTCCGCTTTCTGTCGTGTGATTCTTTCCAAATCTTCATTCAGTGACTTGAACTTATTCACCCACATGTCTGAGGCCTTCAGGTCAGCCACTTCTGCTTCAAAATCTCTGACGGAGACACCAGGGATGTAATTCAGGTCGGCTGTGTTCAGTGAACACTCGTTTGGATGGGTGATGAACTTAAAAAGACGAGTGTGCTCACGAAATTCTCCAAAGCGTGCTTTGAAGGACTGTAGGAGACTGGATGTGCAGCCAGCTAGCTGGTGGAGATCAAGGTTTTGAATGGGCTCACTTGCTGTGCATGCATCTTTAAATTGGCTCAGTTTTTCAAAATGTAGTAAACGACCTGTTTCAAGATCCGTGATGAAAAGCTCCAGCTTGTTTCCAAAAGCAAATACAGCTTGTTGAAGGGATAACACTGTATTTCCAATGCCTTGCATTTTCACGTTGAGCTGGTTCAGATGTTCAGTCAGATCTACGAGATAGTAAAACTTGAGGAGCCACTCGGTGTCGGCTAGCTCAGGATGCCCGACGCCTTTCATTTCAAGGAAAGTCCGGATTTCGTTCAGGCAAGCCGCAAAACGGCTAAGCACCTTCCCTCTTGACAACCAACGCACATTGCTGTGCAAAAGCAGACCAGGATAGTTATTTACAACTTCATCCAGCAGTGTTTTAAACTGGCGATCATTTAAGGCTCGGGCAACAATAAAGTTGATCACACGAATGACCAGCGACATCACTTCGCCAAACTGCCTGTCACACATCTGAGCACAAAGTGCCTCCTGGTGTATAATGCAATGGAAACTTAGGATGGGTCTATTTTCATGTTCACGGAGAAGCGCCACAAATCCTTTGTTTTTCCCCACCATACACGGAGCACCATCAGTACACACTGAGAGAAGTTTATCCATAGGTAGACTTTTTTCTTGAGCAAACTCCATGAAAGACTTGAATAAATCCTCACCTCTTGTGGACCCTTTTAATGGCAGAACAGCAAGACTTTCTTCGCGCAGTGTGTCACCAACAGCATATCTTGCAATCACGCTGAACTGCGACAAATGGCTCACGTCTGTTGACTCATCCAAAGCCAGAGAAAAGAACGGCGCTGCATTTATGTCCTTCACTTGCGTTTCCTCCACTTTGTTTGCCATCACGATGGTACGATCATGAACAGTTCTTGCCGACAGAGGCATGTCTTGTATCCGTTTGATTATCTTGTCTTTGTTCGGAAGATCATCAAAAAGTTCATTGGCTACATCCAGCATGAACGTTTTAGCATACTCGCCATCTGTGAATGGTTTTCTGTTCCTCACTATTGCTAAAGAACCAGCAAAGCTAGCCGAATTATAGTCACCTTGCCGGGTCCATACGCGGAGTTGCTGCTGGCTAGCTTGCACCCTGCTCAGAAGCTCTTGGCACGCTTTCTTTCTGCTGTCTCCCGCAGGGTATTTTGATGCAAAGGTAGCGTGGCGCGTGTCGAAGTGCCGCTTTACATTCGACCGTTTCAACGATGTAATTTTGTCATTGCAAATTAGACACACCGCAGAACCCGCTGTCTCCACAAAGGCGAATTCTTCGGTCCATTCGTCCTGAAATGTACGATACTCGTCGTCTTTTTTTCTTTTCGCCATCTTCTTCGTCGAAGGGTTAGCTTTGAGCTAATGACCGAGCAGACGCAGTCTCAGACTGATTCAAAAGGGGGCGTTTACCTGTTTTACCCAGCAACGGCAAACGTAGGCCAGTATCATCCAATTAAAATAATGGACAATTGCTCCTGCAGCCCTGAACAGGACATGCGCAGTGAAAAATCGATGGATGGATTAAAACAAGTGAGAATATTTTGTTTTATCTGCGAGCCATATGCAATCATCAAAAGAGCCACATCTGGCTCGCGAGCCATAGGTTCCCGACCCCTGCTCTACAGCACTCAACTCACCACGATAACTCGATGCTCACTCAACATAAAACAACACGCACTCAACCCATGATAACATAGGCAGTGAGATTCCACATGGATCTGGTGAGTATAGTCTGTGAGTGTACGTGGTGAGTGTACGTGGTGAGGGTATGTGGTGAGTGTATGTGGTGAGGGTATGTGGTGAGGGTATGTGGTGTGGGTATGTGGTGAGTGTACGTGGTGAGTGTATGTGGTGAGTGTATATGGTGAGGTTATGTGGTGAGGGTATGTGGTGAGTGTATGTGGTGAGGGTATGTGGTGAGTGTATGTGGTGAGTGTATGTGGTGAGTGTATGTGGTGAGTGTATGTGGTGTGGGTATGTGGTGAGTGTATGTGGTGAGTGTTTGTGGTGTGGGTATCTGGTGAGTGTATGTGGTGAGTGTATGTGGTGAGTGTATGTGGTGTGGGTTTGTGGTGAGTGTATGTGGTGAGTGTATGTGGTGAGTGTATGTGGTGAGTGTATGTGGTGAGGGTATGTGGTGAGGGTATGTGGTGAGTGTATGTGGTGAGGGTATGTGGTGAGTGTATGTGGTGAGTGTATGTGGTGAGTGTATGTGGTGTGGGTATGTGGTGAGTGTATGTGGTGAGTGTATGTGGTGAGTGTATGTGGTGAGGGTATGTGGTGAGGGTATGTGGTGAGTGTATGTGGTGAGGGTATGTGGTGAGGGTATGTGGTGAGGGTACGTGGTGAGTGTGGTGAGTGTATGTGGTGAGTGTACGTGGTGAGTGTATGTGGTGAGTGTACGTGGTGAGTGTACGTGGTGAGTGTATGTGGTGAGTGTACGTGGTGAGTGTATGTGGTGAGTGTACGTGGTGAGTGTACGTGGTGAGTGTATGTGGTGAGAGTATGTGGTGAGTGTACGTGGTGAGTGTATGTGGTGAGGGTATGTGGTGAGTGTATGTGGTGAGTGTATGTGGTGAGGGTACGTGGTGAGTGTATCTGGTGAGTGTATGTGGTGAGGGTACGTGGTGAGTGTATCTGGTGAGTGTATGTGGTGAGGGTATGTGGTGAGTGTATGTGGTGAGTGTATGTGGTGAGTGTACGTGGTGAGTGTATGTGGTGAGGGTATGTGGTGAGTGTACGTGGTGAGTGTATGTTGTGAGTGTATGTGGTGAGGGTATGTGGTGAGTGTATGTGGTGAGTGTACGTGGTGAGTGTATGTGGTGAGTGTATGTGGTGAGTGTATGTGGTGAGTGTATGTGGTGAGTGTACGTGGTGAGTGTATGTTGTGAGTGTATGTGGTGAGGGTATGTGGTGAGTGTATGTGGTGAGTGTACGTGGTGAGTGTATGTGGTGAGTGTATGTGGTGAGTGTATGTGGTGAGGGTATTCAGTACCTGCAGTCCCTTGGCTCCAGCGGTACCAGGTTGTCCAATACCACCCGTGGGCCCCTGCAGATAAACACAAAGACAAAGATCCCCCATATAGCCTTAACAGACTGTTGGGGCAAGTGCGGTTAGTGAGCACTTATGAAGGCCGGCACGGCACACGAGGGGGTGGGTGGTCAGCACCACGCCCGGCCACATTTGTCGCCCCAGTGGCGATGTTTACACACGGCACCAGGTACTCATTTGAGGCTGAGCCGACCCAGGGGAGGCCCAAGACCGGTTCAGATAATCGTAACCGTGAGCGAGAAAAGAACTCGAGTCGCTGGGTTCGCAACACAGTGCACTAACCGCTACACCACCGCCACCTACGTAGACACACAGACAATTGTACATTCAAATAAACACAGTAACTCACACATTCACTCCCAATCACAGTCACTCACACAGTCACTCACACAGTCACTCACACAGTGACTCACACATTCACTCCCAATCACAGTCACTCACACAGTCACTCACCCAGTCACTCATAGTCACTCACACAGTCACTCACACAGTCACTCATACAGTCACTCACACAGTAACTCACACATTCACTCCCAATCACAGTCACTCACACAGTCACTCACACAGCGCGCTAACCGCTACACTATCGCTCCCCACAATCAGTCACTCACACAGCCACTCACACAGTCACTCACACAGTCACTCACACAGCCACTCATACAGTCACTCACACAGTCACTCCCAATCACAGTCACTTACCCAGTCACTCACCCAGTCACTCACACAGTCACTCACACAGTCACTCACCCAGTCGCTCACACAGTCACTCATACAGTCACTCACACAGTCACTCACACAGTCACTCCCAATCACAGTCACTCACCCAGTCACTCATCCAGCCACTCACACATTCACTCACACAGTCACTCACCCAGTCACTCACCCAGCCACTCACGCAGTCACTCACGCAGTCACTCACACAGTCACTCACACAGTCACTCACCCAGTCACTCATACAACCACTCACACAGTCACTCACCCAGCCACTCCCAATCAGAGTCACTCACACAGTCACTCACACAGTCACTCACAATCACAGCCACTCACGCAGTCACTCACACAGTCACTCACACAGCCACTCACACAGTCACTGACAATCACAGCCACTCACGCAGTCACTCACACAGTCACTCACACAGCCACTCACACAGTCACTCACACAGCCACTCACACAGTCACTCACACAGCCACTCACACAGCCACTCACTCAGTCACTCACACAGGCACTCACAGTCACTCACACAGTCACTCACACAGTCACTCACAGAGTCACTCACACAGCCACTCACACAGTCACTCACACAGTCACTCACACAGTCACTCAAACAGTCACTCACACAGTCACTCACACAGTCACTCACACAGTCACTCCCAATCACAGTCACTCACACAGTCACTCACACAGTCACTCACAGTCACTCACACAGTCACTCACACAGTCACTCACACAGTCACTCCCAATCACAGTCACTCACACAGTCACTCACAGTCACTCACACAGTCACTCACAATCACAGCCACTCACACAGTCACTCACACAGTCACTCACACAGCCACTCACACAGTCACTCACACAGCCACTCACACAGTCACTCACACAGTCACTCACACAGCCACTCACACAGTCACTCACACAGCCACTCACACAGTCACTCATACAACCACTCACACAGTCACTCACACAGTCACTCACACAGCCACTCACACAGTCACTCACACAGCCACTCACACAGTCACTCACAGTCACTCACACAGTCACTCACCCAGTCACTCACACAGTCAGTCACTCACACAGTCACTCACACAGTAACTCACACAGTCACTCACACAGTCACTCACACAGTCACTCAAACAGTCACTCACACAGTCACTCACACAGTCACTCACACAGTCACTCACAGTCACTCACACAGTCACTCACACAGTCACTCACAGTCACTCACACAGTCACTCACACAGTCACTCACACAGTCACTCACAGTCACTCACACAGTCACTCACAGTCACTCACACAGTCACTCACACAGTCACTCACACAGTCACTCACACAGTCACTCACACAGTCACTCACACAGTCACTCATACAACCACTCACACAGTCACTCACACAGTCACTCACACAGCCACTCACACAGTCACTCACACAGTCACTCACACAGTCACTCACACAGCCACTCACACAGTCACTCACACAGCCACTCACACAGTCACTCACACAGCCACTCACACAGTCACTCACACAGTCACTCACACAGCCACTCACACAGTCACTCACACAGTCACTCATACAGTCACTCACAGTCACTCATACAGTCACTCACACAGTCACTCACACAGCCACTCACACAGTCACTCACACAGCCACTCACACAGTCACTCACACAGTCACTCACACAGCCACTCACACAGTCACTCACACAGCCACTCACACAGTCACTCATACAACCACTCACACAGTCACTCACACAGTCACTCACACAGCCACTCACACAGTCACTCACACAGCCACTCACACAGTCACTCACAGTCACTCACACAGTCACTCACCCAGTCACTCACACAGTCAGTCACTCACACAGTCACTCACACAGTAACTCACACAGTCACTCACACAGTCACTCACACAGTCACTCAAACAGTCACTCACACAGTCACTCACACAGTCACTCACACAGTCACTCACAGTCACTCACACAGTCACTCACACAGTCACTCACAGTCACTCACACAGTCACTCACACAGTCACTCACACAGTCACTCCCAATCACAGTCACTCACACAGTCACTCACAGTCACTCACACAGTCACTCACAATCACAGCCACTCACACAGTCACTCACACAGTCACTCACACAGCCACTCACACAGTCACTCACACAGCCACTCACACAGTCACTCACACAGTCACTCACACAGCCACTCACACAGTCACTCACACAGCCACTCACACAGTCACTCATACAACCACTCACACAGTCACTCACACAGTCACTCACACAGCCACTCACACAGTCACTCACACAGCCACTCACACAGTCACTCACAGTCACTCACACAGTCACTCACCCAGTCACTCACACAGTCAGTCACTCACACAGTCACTCACACAGTCACTCACACAGTCACTCACACAGTCACTCACACAGTCACTCAAACAGTCACTCACACAGTCACTCACACAGTCACTCACACAGTCACTCCCAATCACAGTCACTCACACAGTCACTCACACAGTCACTCACAGTCACTCACACAGTCACTCACACAGTCACTCACACAGTCACTCACAGTCACTCACACAGTCACTCACAGTCACTCACACAGTCACTCACAATCACTCATAGTCACTCACAGTCACTCACACAGTCACTCACACAGTCACTCACACAGTCACTCATACAACCACTCACACAATCACTCACACAGTCACTCACACAGCCACTCACACAGTCACTCACACAGTCACTCACACAGTCACTCACACAGCCACTCACACAGTCACTCACACAGCCACTCACACAGTCACTCACACAGCCACTCACACAGTCACTCACACAGTCACTCACACAGCCACTCACACAGTCACTCACACAGTCACTCATACAGTCACTCACAGTCACTCATACAGTCACTCACACAGTCACTCACACAGCCACTCACACAGTCACTCACACAGTCACTCACCCAGTCACTCACACAGTCACTCACACAGTCACTCACACAGTCACTCACCCAGTCACTCACACAGCCACTCACACAGTCACTCACACAGTCACTCACACAGTCACTCACCTAGTCACTCACACAGTCATTCACACAGCCACTCACACAGCCACTCACACAGTCACTCACACAGTCACTCACACAGTCACTCCCAATCACAGTCACTCACACAGTCACTCACAGTCACTCACACAGTCACTCACCCAGTCACTCCCAATCACAGTCACTCACACAGTCACTCACACAGTCACTCACGCAGTCACTCACATAGTCACTCACACAGTCACTCACACAGTCACTCACCCAGTCACTCCCAATCACAGTCACTCACACAGTCACTCACCTTGGGCCCCGTGCGTCCCTTCTCCCCCGTGGGCCCCACCTCTCCCTGCACCCCCTGAAAACGAAATGAACACCGCCTCAAACATGGCAATACACCCCTCACCCACCCCAATTCCCCCCCTCCCCCCAGTTCCCCCCATCTCATGCCGTCCCTCCAACCCCCAACCCACACTCCGACATTTGACGTCAATTAAAACCTAGCAATTACTCACACAACACCACCACCACCACGACCACTATCGCCACCACCACTGACATAATCACCCTTCATGGAGGTCAGGGTCAGGGTTCGGATGAGGGTTGGGGTGACAGTGTTAAGTATAGGGATGGGTTTGAGATCGGGATAGGGTTAGTGTTGGGGTTAGGGTTAGTCTAAGGGACAGGGGCGGGGTTAGTGTTGGGGTTATTTTGAAGTCACCTGGAAACGATTCAGTGGGAAAACAATCCCTGGGTCACGCTCCTTAGGGAATGTGACTTAGCCAAGCAAAACGGGAACTAAAATCCCCCAGAGAGAGCGGGAGAGAGAGCGTGGAGGAGAGCGCGGGAGAGAGAGAGAGCGAGGGGAGAGACAGAGAGCGGGAGAGACAGAGCGGGAGAGAGAGCGGGGGAGAGAGAGCGGGAGAGACAGAGCGGGAGAGAGAGAGCGGGAGAGAGAGCGGGGGAGAGAGCGGGAGAGAGAGAGCGGGAGAGAGAGCGGGAGAAAGAGCGGGAGAGAGAGAGCGAGGAGAGAGAGAGGGGAGAGAGAGAGAGTGGGAGAGAGCGAGGGGAGAGAGCGAGGGAGAGAGAGCAGGGGAGAGAGCGGGAGAGAGAGAGCGGGAGAGAGAGAGCGAGGAGAGAGAGGGGAGAGAGAGAGAGTGGGAGAGAGCGAGGGGAGAGAGCGAGGGAGAGACAGAGAGCGAGGGGAGAGAGAGCGGGAGAGAGAGCGGGGGAGAGAGCGGGAGAGAGAGAGCGAGGAGAGAGAGAGGGGAGAGAGAGAGAGCGAGGAGAGAGAGGGGAGAGATAGAGAGTGGGAGAGAGCGAGGGGAGAGAGCGAGGGAGAGACAGAGAGCGAGGGGAGAGAGAGCGGGAGAGAGAGCGGGGGAGAGAGCGGGAGAGAGAGAGCGAGGAGAGAGAGAGGGGAGAGAGAGAGAGCGAGGAGAGAGAGGGGAGAGAGAGAGAGTGGGAGAGAGCGAGGGGAGAGAGCGAGGGAGAGAGAGCAGGGGAGAGAGCGGGAGAGAGAGAGCGGGAGAGAGAGAGCGAGGAGAGAGAGGGGAGAGAGAGAGAGTGGGAGAGAGCGAGGGGAGAGAGCGAGGGAGAGACAGAGAGCGAGGGGAGAGAGAGCGGGAGAGAGAGCGGGGGAGAGAGCGGGAGAGAGAGAGCGAGGAGAGAGAGAGGGGAGAGAGAGAGAGCGAGGAGAGAGAGGGGAGAGAGAGAGAGTGGGAGAGAGCGAGGGGAGAGAGCGAGGGAGAGACAGAGAGCGAGGGGAGAGAGCGAGGGAGAGACAGAGAGCGAGGGGAGAGAGAGCGAGGGGCAGCCGTAGTCCGAGAAGAAGAAGAGGAGCGTCTCGAGAGCGGGGGAACGTGCGGCGACGTCTCACGCACCGTGGGCCCCGGGGTCCCCGCGTCTCCCGCCTCAGCCCCCACTCCCGGGGGTCCCTGGAGGAGCAACAAGGGGGGGGGGGGGGTTCCAAGTTGATTTTGTTTGTGCGAGGTGAGAAGAGAACAGTACGAGCCTCAATTCTATGGCGAGTGACCTGGGGTCACTACAAGGACAAAGTCCAGCAATGGGGTAAACAGGAACCGGTGTAAAAACGACCTCGAGATGGAGGACTTCTGACGCGGTGGTAAACCACGATCGTGTAAAATACATTTACAGCGAGGAGAGTGAACTCGGACAAATCACTTTAAAAAACGTTCAGAGTAAAATTGAGTTTGAGAAACATCGACGCGGGCATCGTAGGGCGATGATCGCACGAGCGTGGACAGCTGTGAAACACGTGGACAGCTGTGAAACACGTGTACAGCCGTGAAACACGTGGACAGCCGTGAAACACGTGTACAGCCGTGAAACACGTGGACAGCTGTGAAACACGTGTACAGCCGTGAAACACGTGTACAGCCGTGAAACACGTGTACAGCCGTGAAACACGTGTACAGCCGTGAAACACGTGTACAGCCGTGAAACACGTGGACAGCCGTGAAACACGTGTACAGCCGTGAAACACGTGTACAGCCGTGAAACACGTGTACAGCCGTGAAACACGTGTACAGCCGTGAAACACGTGTACAGCCGTGAAACACGTGTACAGCCGTGAAACACGTGTACAGCCGTGAAACACGTGGACAGCCGTGAAACACGTGTACAGCCGTGAAACACGTGTACAGCCGTGAAACACGTGGACAGCTGTGAAACACGTGGACAGCCGTGAAACACGTGTACAGCCGTGAAACACGTGGACAGCTGTGAAACACGTGTACAGCTGTGAAACACGTGTACAGCCGTGAAACACGTGTACAGCTGTGAAACACGTGTACAGCCGTGAAACACGTGTACAGCTGTGAAACACGTGTACAGCCGTGAAACACGTGTACAGCTGTGAAACACGTGGACAGCTGTGAAACACGTGTACAGCCGTGAAACACGTGTACAGCCGTGAAACACGTGTACAGCCGTGAAACACGTGTACAGCCGTGAAACACGTGGACAGCTGTGAAACACGTGTACAGCCGTGAAACACGTGGACAGCCGTGAAACACGTGTACAGCTGTGAAACACGTGGACAGCCGTGAAACACGTGTACAGCCGTGAAACACGTGTACAGCCGTGAAACACGACGTCACACGTGGTGGGGAGGGGAAGTAGAGGTGGGGGTGGAGATGTGGGGGGACCGATCACGAGCAGGAGGAGTCACCGGGAATCCTGAAGGTCCGCGGGTCCCCTCGCTGCCAACCGGGCCCTGCGTACCCTGTGGGGGGCACGGTACAACTGTAGCAGCTGTTACATCACAGGTGTTACATCACAGGTGTTACATCACAGGTGTTACAGATGGTACAGCACAGGTGTTACATCACAGGTGTTACAGCTGTTACAGTACAACTGTAGCAGCTGTTACAGCACAGCTGCTACAGCTGTTACAGCACAGGTGTTACATCACAGGTGTTACAGCTGTTACAGTACAACTGTAGCAGCTGTTACAGCACAGCTGCTACAGCTGTTACAGCACAGGTGTTACATCACAGGTGTTACAGCTGTTACAGTACAACTGTAACAGCTGTTACAGCACAGGTGTTACAGATGTTACAGTACAGGTGTTACATCAGCATACAGTACAGGTGTTACAGATGTTACAGCACAGGTGTTACAGATGTTACAACACAGGTGTTACAGCTGTTACAGTACAACTGTAACAGCTGTTACAGCACAGGTGTTACAGATGTTACAACCCAGGTGTAACAGCTGTTACAGCACAGCTGCTACAGCTGTTACAGCACAGATGCTGTTACATCACAGGTGTAACAGCTGTTACAGTGCAGGTGTTGCAGCTGTTACAGTACAGGTGTTACAGCTGTTACAGCACAGATGCTGTTACAGCACAGGTGTAACAGCTGTTACAGTACAACTGCTACAGCTGTTACAGTGCAGGTGTTACAGCTGTTACAGCACAGGTGTAACAGCTGTTACAGTGCAGGTGTAACAGCTGTTACATCACAGGTGTTACAGCTGTTACAGCACAGGTGTAACAGCTGTTACAGTACAGGTGTAACAGCTGTTACAGTACAGGTGTAACAGCTGTTACAGTAAAGGTGTAACAGTTGCTACAGCACAAGTGTTACAGCAGCATGCAGCACAGGTGTTACAGATGTTACAGCACAGGTGTTACAGCAGCATACAGCACAGGTGTTACAGCTGTTACAGCACAGGTGCTGTTACAGCACAGGTGTTACAGCAGCATACAGCAACACGCAACACCCCCAACCGTCACGTTGTCTATGCCTCATGCCTCATTCCTTATGCCTCATGCTGTCACCACACCAAACCCTAACCCTAGACTTGAACTCTAACCCTACACCCAAACCCTACACCATACAACCTAAACCTACACCCAAACCCTAACCCTACAGCATAACCCTACAGCAAAACCCTACACCCAAACCTTACACCCTACAACCTAACCCTATACCCTACAACCTAACCCTACACCCTACAACCTAACCCTACACCCAAACCCTACACCCTACAACCTAACCCTACACCCTACAACCTAACCCTACAACCTAAACCTACACCCGAACCCTACAGCCTAACCCTACAGCAAAACCATACAACCTAACCCTACACCCAAACCCTACACCCTACAACCTAACCCTACACCGAACCCTAAGTATACACCTAACCCTACACCCGAACCCTACAACCAAACCATAACCCTAAACCATCACCCTACACCCTAGCCCTACACCCGAGCCGTGTCACCGCCCCAGGTCTCCGTGGCTCGCGACGCGAGGTGTCTGATTGGCTGTGTCACCCCCCCAGGTCTCCGTGGCTCGCGACGCGAGGTGTCTGATTGGCCGTGTCACCCCCCCAGGTCTCCGTGGCTCGCGACGCGAGGTGTCTGATTGGCTGTGTCACCGCCCCAGGTCTCCGTGGCTCGCGACGCGAGGTGTCTGATTGGCTGTGTCGTTACCTTAGACCCGGGGTGGCCCCCCACTCCTGCCGGACCTGGGGGGCCCGGCTCTCCCTGCAACGCCAGCGCGGTCACGAGCAACGTGGCAACACCACCACCACCACCAACGCCACCACCACCACCGACGACGACGACAACAACCATCAACAAAAACAACAACCGCAGTCGCCAACAAACACAAAACATCAACACACGAACAACGCCACATCAACACTGTCAGCGAATCACAACCGTCATCGCGTGACACACCACCACCAGCCATCGCCATCAACACAATCACCGCCAACACCATCAACAACGTCACCAAATACGACTGCCACCAACCTCTGGCTGAAATTAATACGCGCGCACACAAATACAAAGACCCCCCGTATAGCCTTCACATACTCTAGGGGCAAGTGCTGTTAGTGAGCGCCTACGAAGGCCGGCACGGCATGGCAAGCGGGGATGGGTGGCCATCACCACGCATGAGGCTGAGTCGACCTAGGGGAAGCCCAGGGCCAGTCGAGATATTCGTCGCCAAGCAAGGATCAAACTCGGGTCACCGGGTTCATTGCACAGTGCGCTCCCACGCCCCACAATACGCAGAGACACAACAACAACAACAACCGCCATTCGCCACTAAGTGGCGGTGACGTCACCACGATGCTTGTGCCAGGCTATGTGCACCCTGAGGCCACGTGAAGTGTCGAACGCCCGCTGGCAGGTGGTCACGGGGCAGACCCAGGTGCCACGGGTCGACTGACTGAGATGACTGGCTGATGCACCACCTGTGGCCCCTACTGTGCCAACCTGCTGTGCTTTAGCCACCCGGCGCTCCGCTCGCTGTTGTGAGCGTCGCTCCTCCGCCCTCCGTTGTTGTTGGAGGGCGACTGCCTCCAACTGCCCAGTAGCATCCTTCACGAGCCTCCTCCACAGAGGCCGATCTTGACACTGCTGGTACCAGTCATCGGCAAGTCCACTCAGCTCCACGTCCTCCTGTACCACATCACTCCATCTCTTCTCTAGCCCGTGCCGCGCCCGCTTAGCCCCCTCAATCCGGCCAAACAAAAGCTGTTTCGGCATGCGGTGGCTGGGCATGCGGGCTACATGACCCAGCCATCGCAGCCTTGCCTGCCGGAGGAGCTCACCGATGGGACCCTGCCCAGATCTTTCAAGGATTTGTGAGCTCCTCACACAATCCAGTCTGGTTAAACCCAGGATGGATCGTAGGCAGGCCAGCCTAAATGTTTCTAACCGGCGAAGATGTTCCATTAGGGGGGTCCACGTTTCGCAAGCGTAGAGAAGGGAGGGAATGACCGTGGCCGAGAAGACCTGAAGCTTAGTGCGGAGCGACAGACCAGGTAGCTTCCACACAGCGTTACGCAACCGATGAAAAGATATTGCCGCTCGACTGATTCGGAGTGAGACCTCTGCTGTTAAACTGGAGCCAGTCATAAGCACACTGCCCAGGTATGGGAAACTCTCCACTCTCTCCACAACTGCCCCATCACCGATTGGGAGTTGTGGGGGTGGAGTGTCCGATGGTACAAAATACCCAGGCAGGTGCTTAGTTTTGGTGGGGCTGATGGTAAGGCCCCACCTCTTAGTGGCACGCTCCAGTCTCAGCAGCAGCGTCTCCAACTCCTCCTCTGACTGAGCAGCTATTACCAAGTCATCAGCATACATAACGTGGTTGAGCAATAGGGAGCCATCCCTTGACCGCACCCGGGCATCGATTAGCCTCCCATTATATCTGTACCATATGGAGATTCCCCCGGTACAGCTATTGAAGGCTTCACGAACTACGTGGTCAAAATAGATGTTAAATAATGTGGGAGCCAGAGGACATCCCTGTCGCACCCCAAGGTGTACAGGGAATGGCTCTGACTCCCGGCCACGTAGTTTTACCCGGGCCCGCTCACCATCATGAAGGTCCTTAATGATCGTGAGCAGAGGGTCAGGTACTCCAAAAGCACGAAGAACGACCCAGAGCCCAGGCCTACTGATGGTATCATAGGCCTTGACCAGGTCAATAAAGCAGAGATGTAGGTCTTGTTGGAATTCCCTACACCTCTGCTGTAGCAGACGGACAGAAAATATGGCATCTGTGCAGGACCGCCCTTTCCTGAAACCGCATTGGGGCTCCGCAAGCCTCTCCTCAGCGTGCCTGGCAAGGTGATGCTGAATAATTTTTGCCAGGACCTTTCCCGGCACACTGAGGAGTGAGATGCCCCTGTAGTTGTTACAGTCTGTGCGGTCCCCCTTCTTAAAAAGGGGGACCACCAGGGCATCCTTCCAATCCTGCGGAACCCGTCCAGTGGTCCAGACTGTTGTTATAATGTCATATAGGGCAGTCTGTGGACAAACGCCACCCTCCCTCAGCATTTCGCTTGGGAGATCATCTCTGCCCGCTGCCTTTCCTGGTCTCAGACTCCGGATCGCCTTCAATACTTCCTCAGCAGATGGCACCTCAGCCAGCCACTCACAGGGGGTGACTTCATCCAATATTTGAGGCACCGCAGCCTCAGCAGGGTCATCCTCACTTTGTGCCACGGTGTTTTCCTGGCTGAGGGATTTTCCCTCCCCCAGGACCTCACAGAAATGCTCAGCAAATCTGCGAACCTGTTCCTGGGGGTCGGAAATTGGATCACCGTTTTTTCCCCTAATGATGGTAATAGGTGTAACGCATGCGCGTGTCTCTGCCACGCAGAGACACGCGCACACACATACACACATACACATATCCACACACACACACGCATACACACACACATACACACATACACGCACACACACATACACACATCCTGACATAGGCACCGCCACCCACAGGGCTTCATTTCAGCCAGGTTTGTCTGCGACATTGACACACCCGGCACACCACATCCTTCATACCTCTCGCTATGGCTGTGGCTACTCAAGTCTCAAGCAACATACACCAGATTCCCAGCTACATAGACGAACATTCAGTGAGAAATGTAACTATACATTAATATTACAATTACCCCCAAGCTACACTCACTCTGAGCCGCTCACCCACTCACCTGCTCACTCACCCACTCACCTGCTCACCCACTCACTCGCCCACTCACCTGCTCACTCACTCACTCACCCACTCACCTGCTCACTCACTCACTTGCTCACTCACTCACCTATTCACCTGCTCACTGACTCACCCACTCACCCACTCACCTGCTCACTCACTCACCTGCTCACTCACTCACTCACCTGCTCACCCACTCACTCACTCACCCACTCACCTGCTCACTCACCCACTCACCTACTCACCTGCTCACCCACTCACTCACTCACTCAACCACTCACTCACCCACTCAACCTGCTCACTCACTCACTCACCCACTCACTCACTCACTCACCCACTCACCCACTCACCTGCTCACTCCCTCACCCACTCACCCACTCACTCACTCACTCACCCACTCACTCACTCACCCACTCACTCACCCACTCAACCTGCTCACTCACTCACTCACCCACTCACTCACTCACCCACTCACCTGCTCACTCACTCACTCAACCTGCTCACTCACTCACCTGCTCACTCACTCACCTGCTCACTCACTCACCCACTCACCTGCTCACTCACCTGCTCACTCACTCACTCACCTGTTCACTCACTCACCCACTCACCCACTCACTCACTCACCTGCTCACTCACTCACTCACCCACTCACCTGCTCACTCACCCACTCACCTGCGCTCCTCGAATTCCTGGTGAGCCCCTCCTTCTGTAGCCTCTCTCGCCCTGCACACACGCAGATGTACAAAGACAAAGATCCCCAGTGCAGCCCACACATACTGTTGGGGCAAGTGCTGTTAGCGGGTACCTACCATCTCCTCACCAATTCACCACTTCCTCACCTTTGACCCCGGGATCCCAGCTGGACCCTCGAGCCCTGGCAGCCCTAAAGGACCCTGAAAATAGCAGACACACGCAGGCACACGCAGACACACACAGACACACGCAGACACACACGCACGCAGACACACACGCACACACACACGCAGACACACACGCACACACACACGCACACACACACACGCAGACACACACAGACACACGCAGACACACACAGACACACAGACACACACAGACACACGCAGACACACACAGACACACACAGACACACGCAGACACACACGCACGCAGACACACACGCACACACACACGCAGACACACACGCACACACACACGCACACACACACACGCAGACACACACAGACACACGCAGACACACACAGACACACAGACACACACAGACACACACAGACACACGCAGACACACACGCACGCAGACACACACGCACACACACACACGCACACACGCACACACACACACACAGGAATACAGACTCATGGGCCTGTACTCACATGCATACAAAGTTCCCCCTCCCCCCCATACAGCCTTTAACAGACTCTTGGGGCAAGTGCTGTTAGCGAGCACCTATTAAAGCCAACACGGCACACGGGGGGGGGGGGGGAGTGTGCGGCCAACGCCACGCCCGACCACCTTTGTCTCCCCAGTGCGGCTGTTTACACACTGCACCAGGTGCTCATGCAACCTAGAATGGGCCCATTACCGGTTGAGATCATCGTCACCGATATTGTCCGTGACCTTGAATCGACCTTGGGCCGGCGGGTTCGTGGCGGGCCGATTTGGCAATCCGACACTCACGGAATCAACACCCGAAATGTCGCGCAGCGGTGGGGGTGGCTACGGCGGCGATGGCCGCGACGAGGGCGATGGCCGCGACGAGGGCGAGCGTCTCGCTGTGTCTCGGCGTCGCCGTCCGGCCCAGAGGCCCCCGCGTGCGGCAGCTGCTAAGGGGAGCACTCACCTGAACCCCCACGCTGCCCACAGGCCCCCACGGACCCCTGCTCCCCGTGGACCCCTGTGGCACACACACACACAGACAAAGGTCCCCCGCGTAGGCTTAACAGATTGTTGGGGCAAGTGCTTTTAGATAATCGCACCGATGAAGGCCTTCGTGACAGAGCGACGGAATCAGCTCGTGTATCGTCTGACCGTGAATGACGGTGACGGCTTGGGAGGCCTGAATTCTGCAGTGGATAGATCATGGCTATTGCTGCTGATGATGATCACAACGACGACGGTGGTGAATTGTGTTCCATGTAAGTGACTTTACCGGGGATCCTGGGGGGCCCCGTGGCCCCGTCGACCCCTTGGGCCCCCCAGCTCCCTCGGCGCCCAGCTCCCCCATCGCCCCTCGGTCGCCCTTTGACCCCCGGGCCGCGTGAGGTCCCCTGAGTCCCCGGACCCCCTTCTCGCCCTCCGGTCCCACAACGCCCTGGGGAAGAACAAAGACAAAGATTCCCCGTGTAGGCTTAGTAGGCTGTTGGGGGCAAGTGCCGTTAGCGATTCACCTATGGAGGGGGTGGGTGACCAGCACACCACACGTGACCGCCTTTGTTTCCCCAGTGACAAAGGCAGCTTGATAAGGCCTCCATGCAGCAGTGGATTGAGCATGGCTGCTGCTGCTGATTATGATGCTGACTATGCATTACCTGGATTCCTGGGGGGCCCCTGTCCCCTTTCTCCCCGATCTCTCCTGGTGGACCCTGTACACGAACGCACGCACACACGCACGAGAATCCACACAAACCATAACCCCACACCCTAGCCCTACAGCCGAGCCCTATGTGACCACCGCCCTGATTCACCCTGGGTAGCCTCGGTCGAGGGGGTGGTGTGGCCGGAATGCCCCGCCATGTGTACACGCCACTAAGCGAGGGTGACGCCACCACGCTGCCTGTGCCAGGCTAGGTGCACTTCGGGGCAGTCACGTGCACTGTGGAAGGTTCTTGCTGCCGTCTGGAGGTTACGAGACAGAGGCATGTGCTGTGGGTTGACTGCTGTGCCAGGCACTGACACACACACACGTGTATCATCCACCCACAAGCACACACATTAATAGACACGCGCGTCTCACGCACAGGCGCAGGCACGGGAGGTTGCTAAGGCTGAGGGCTGTCGGGAGCGATGTCTCCACTACGCCCACCGCTGTTGCACACAATCTGTCACACGCTGCTGCACAGATCGCTCTGCACAGCAGTGGGGAACTCGGATCTCGTCTGTGAGTGCGTGTGTGAGTGTGTGTGAGTGTGTGTGTGTAAATGTGTGAGTGTGTGAGTGTGTGTGAGTGTGTGTGCGTGTGTGTGCGTGTGTGAGTGAGTGTGTGTGAGTGTGTGTGAGTGTGTGTGTGTAAGTGCGTGTGTGTGCGTGTGTGTGAGTGAGTGTGTGTGAGTGTGTGTGAGTGTGTAAGTGCGTGTGTGTGTGTGAGTGAGTGTGTGTGAGTGTGTGTGAGTGCGTGTGTGAGTGTGTGTGAGTGTGTGTGTGTAAATGTGTGAGTGTGTGTGAGTGAGTGTGAGTGTATGTGCGTGTGTGTGAGTGTGTGTGCGTGTGTGTGTAAGTGTGTGTAAGTGCTGTGTGTGTGAGTGTGTGTGAATGTGTGTGTGTAAGTGTGTGTGTGTAAGTGTGTGTGTGTAAGTGTGTGTGTGTAAGTGTGTGTGAGTGTGTGTAAAAGTGTGTGAGTGAGTGTGAGTGTTGTGTGAGTGTGTGTAAGTGTGTAAGTGTTAGTGAGTGTGAGTGCTGTGAGTGTGTGTACCTGCATCCCGCTCGTTCCGCCCCTCCCCCGTGCACCCCTTTCCCCCATCTCCCCCTGCACACGGAGAGACCGCAGCTCAGGGTGATGACGACGACGACGATGGTGATGGTAGTGATGTTAGTGGTGATGACAATAATGATGACGATGATGATGGTAGTGATCTTAGTGGTGATGATAATAATAATGACGATGATGATGGTAGTGATGTTAGTGGTGATGATAATAATTATGACGATGATGATGGTAGTGATGTTAGTGGTGATGACAATAATGATGACGATGATGATGGTAGTGATGTTAGTGGTGATGATAATAATAATGACGATGATGATGGTAGTGATGTTAGTGGTGATGATAATAATGATGACGATAGTAGTGATGTTAGTGGGCATGACAATAATGATGACGATTATGATGGTAGTGATGTTAGTGGTGATGACAATAATGATGACGATGATGATGGTAGTGATGTTAGTGGTGATGACAATAATGATGACGATTATGATGGTAGTGATGTTAGTGGTGATGACAATAATGATGACGATGATGATGGTAGTGATGTTAGTGGTGATGACAATAATGATGACGATGATGATGATGGTAGTGATGTTAGTGGTGATGACAATAATGATGACGATGATGATGGTAGTGATGTTAGTGGTGATGACAATAATGATGACGATGATGATGGTAGTGATGTTAGTGGTGATGACAATAATGATGACGATGATGATGATGGTAGTGATGTTAGTGGTGATGACAATAATGATGACGATGACGATGGTAGTGATGTTAGTGGTGATGACAATAATGATGACGATGGTAGTGATGTTAGTGGTGATGACAATAATGATGATAATGATGATGATGGTAGTGATGCTAGTCGTGATGACAATAACGATGACGATGATGATGGTAGTGATGTTAGTCGTGATGACAATAATGATGACGATGATGATGGTAGTGATGTTAGTGGTGATGACAATAATGCTGACGATGATGATGGTAGTGATGTTAGTGGTGATGACAATAATGATGACGATGATGATGGTAGTGATGTTAGTGGTGATGATAATAATAATGACGATGATGATGGTAGTGATGTTAGTGGTGATGATAATAATGATGACGATGATGATGGTTGTGATGTTAGTGGTGATGACGACGACGATGATGATGATGGTAGTGATGTTAGTGGTGATGACAATAATGATGACGATGATGATGGTAGTGATGTTAGTGGTGATGACAATAATGATGACGATGATGATGGTAGTGATGTTAGTGGTGATGACAATAATGATGACGATGATGATGATGGTAGTGATGTTAGTGGTGATGACAATAATGATGACGATGATGATGGTAGTGATGTTAGTGGTGATGACAATTATGATGACGATGATGATGGTAGTGATGTTAGTGGTGATGGCGACGATGATGATGATGGTAGTAATGTTAGTCGTGATGACAATAATGATGACGATAACGATGGTAGTGATGTTAGTGGTGATGACAATAATGATGACGATGGTAGTGATGTTAGTGGTGATGACAATAATGATGATAATGATGATGATGGTAGTGATGCTAGTCGTGATGACAATAACGATGACGATGATGATGGTAGTGATGTTAGTCGTGATGACAATAATGATGACGATGATGATGGTAGTGATGTTAGTGGTGATGACAATAATGCTGACGATGATGATGGTAGTGATGTTAGTGGTGATGACAATAATGATGACGATGATGATGGTAGTGATGTTAGTGGTGATGATAATAATAATGACGATGATGATGGTAGTGATGTTAGTGGTGATGATAATAATGATGACGATGATGATGGTTGTGATGTTAGTGGTGATGACGACGACGATGATGATGATGGTAGTGATGTTAGTGGTGATGACAATAATGATGACGATGATGATGGTAGTGATGTTAGTGGTGATGACAATAATGATGACGATGATGATGGTAGTGATGTTAGTGGTGATGACAATAATGATGACGATGATGATGATGGTAGTGATGTTAGTGGTGATGACAATAATGATGACGATGATGATGGTAGTGATGTTAGTGGTGATGACAATTATGATGACGATGATGATGGTAGTGATGTTAGTGGTGATGGCGACGATGATGATGATGGTAGTAATGTTAGTCGTGATGACAATAATGATGACGATAACGATGGTAGTGATGTTAGTGGTGATGACAATAATGATGATGATGGTAGTGATGTTAGTGGTGATGACAATAATGATGACGATGATGATGATGGTAGTGATGTTAGTGGTGATGACAATAATGATGACGATGATGATGATGGTAGTGATGTTAGTGGTGATGGCGACGATGATGATGGTAGTGATGTTAGTGGTGATGACAATAATGATGACGATGATGATGATGGTAGTGATGTTAGTGGTGATGACAATAATGATGACGGTGATGATGGTAGTGATGTTAGTGGTGATGACAATAATGATGACGATGATGATGGTAGTGATGTTAGTGGTGATGACAATAATGATGACGATGATGATGATGGTAGTGATGTTAGTGGTGATGACAATAATGATGACGATGATGATGATGGTAGTGATGTTAGTGGTGATGATAATAATGATGACGATGATGATGGTAGTGATGTTAGTGGCGATGACGACGATGATGATGATGGTAGTGATGTTAGTGGTGATGATAATAATGATGACGATGATGATGGTAGTGATGTTAGTGGCGATGACGACGATGATGATGATGGTAGTGATGTTAGTGGTGATGACAATAATGATGACGATGATGATGGTAGTGATGTTAGTGGTGATGATAATAATAATGACGATGATGATGGTAGTGATGTTAGTGGTGATGATAATAATGATGATGATGGTAGTGATGTTAGTGGTGATGACAATAATGATGACGATGATGATGGTAGTGATGTTAGTGGTGATGATAATAATGATGACGATGATGATGGTAGTGATGTTAGTGGTGATGACAATAATGATGACGATGATGATGGTAGTGATGTTAGTGGTGATGACAATAATGATGACGATGATGATGGTAGTGATGTTAGTGGTGATGACAATAATGACGACGACGATGATGGTAGTGATGTTAGTGGTGATGACAATAATGATGACGATGATGATGGTAGTGATGTTAGTGGTGATGACAATAATTATGACGATGATGATGGTAGTGATGTTAGTGGTGATGACAATAATGATGACGATGATGATGTTAGTGATGTTAGTGGTAATAATGATGACGATGATGATGGTAGTGATGTTAGTGGTGATGACAATAATGATGATGATGATGGTAGTGATATTAGTGGTGATGACAATAATGATGACGACGATGATGATGGTAGTGATGTTAGTGGTGATGACAATAATGATGATGATCATCATTATCATGATGTCAAAAGTGCCGATCACGATAATGACGGTGACGACGATGAGGATGATGGCGGTGGTGGCGAGTGACGAGGTGGCGCTCTACCTCTTCTCCCGGCGGCCCACCAGGGCCCGGGGGTCCCGGGAGCCCTGGGGGTCCCTGCAAACGGCGCGACAGAAACCCCGTCAACAACAACAACTCCCGAGATCCGACCCCCTGCTTCCAAAGATCAGAATCAGAGTCATGTGTTCATGCTGGAGGAATCCGACGAGCTATAAAGATGTCCGTCATCTGATGGGCGCACTAAGATCCCGAGGGCACGGATAATTAAGACAAAGATCCCTTCAACAGACCGCAGAGGCACGTGCTGTTAGCGAGCACCTATGGAGACCGGCACGGCACAAGACAGGGTGGTGTGTGGGCAGCACAACGCAAGCCCGGCCACCTTTGTCTCCCCAGTGCTAACGTTTTACATACTCGCATCAGGTACTCATTTAAGCCTGAGTCTACCTAGGCATAGGCCCAGGACCGGTTCAGATATTTGCTGCTGGCCGCGAGCAGGAGTCGAACTCAGTAGCGCAGTGCGCTAACCACTGCGCGCTGTGACAAATCTCATCCAGCAGTGGAGTGGCAAGGGAGCCGAGCCGCGTGAACTTACGTTTACTCCCGGGAGACCCCCTCGGCCAGGACCCCCCGGGACACCGGACGAACCCTGAAACAACAACAGCAACACAGCACAGAATGGGTGCGTGCATGCACCTAGCCTGGCACCAGGGTTGCCAATGGGTTCATAGCCATTGAGTGAAAAATTGAAGCTATTGTTATTGTTTGTAGTGGTGTGTTTGTGTGTGCGTGTGTGTTTGTGCACATAGCCTGGCACAAGCGCAGTGTTGATGTCACCGCCACTTTGTGGTGAATGTTGGTTGTTGTTGTCTTTGTTGTGCACTGCACTGGCCATGCCTGTGAACGGCACTTGCTCCAACAGTCCGTGTCGACTACACCGGACATCTTTGTCTTTCTCACGTACGTATGTCCCGAAGCGAGCGCATGCTGTATGTAATAAGAGCCATTTAAGGCTGAGTCGACCTTCGCGAGGCACAGAACAATGAGACTGGGTGCGTGGTTCGGCAAAGAGACTCACCACCAACCCCGAGCTCCCCGTCTCTCCCCGGGGTCCAGGGGCCCCTCTGAGCCCGGGGAGGCCCCTGTTGCCTAGGAGACCAGGCAGGCCCCGAGATCCCTCCGTGCCCCCCTCCCCTCTCTCCCCGAAGTCCCCTCTGGGGCCCAGTGGCCCAACATGCCCCTGATGGGAAATCATAATTAGCATAATCATCACAATATCGCAATTACCGTTATCCGTTCTTTTTCTATTAAAAACGAGAGTCCCGTATAAGTGTCAACATTTTTTTGAAGCACTCTGTCATTACGTCACTCACTCGATACCGACTCATCACCACCGGGGAAATGCACACACGCACGCATTCTTAACCACCACTTCGCTAACTCCAGTACTTGTGAGTCGCCGCCACCGCCCCGGTAAATATCGAAACTTTGGGCGAAATGTTGGGTCACCGTCGATTCTGAGCGAGGCCGCTGCTGTCGACCTCTGTGGAGGGAGACCTCTGTGGAGGGAGACCTCTGTGGAGGGAGATCCCTGTGGAGGGAGATCTCTGTGGAGGGAGACCTCTGTGGAGGGAGACCTCTGTGGAGGGAGACCTCTGTGGAGGGAGATCTCTGTGGAGGGAGACCTCTGTGGAGGGAGACCTCTGTGGAGGGAGACCTCTGTGGAGGGAGACCTCTGTGGAGGGAGATCTCTGTGGAGGGAGACCTCTGTGGAGGGAGATCTCTGTGGAGGGAGATCTCTGTGGAGGGAGATCTCTGTGGAGGGAGATCTCTGTGGAGGGAGATCTCTGTGGAGGGAGATCTATGTGGAGGGAGATCTCTGTGAAGGGAGACCTCTGTGGAGGGAGACCTCCGTGGAGGGAGACCTCTGTGGAGGGAGACCTCTGTGGAGGGAGATCTCTGTGGAGGGAGATCTCTGTGGAGGGAGACCTCTGTGGAGGGAGACCTCTGTGGAGGGAGACCTCTGTGGAGGGAGACCTCTGTGGAGGGAGATCTCTGTGGAGGGAGACCTCTGTGGAGGGAGATCTCTGTGGAGGGAGATCTCTGTGGAGGGAGATCTCTGTGGAGGGAGATCTCTGTGGAGGGAGATCTATGTGGAGGGAGATCTCTGTGAAGGGAGACCTCTGTGGAGGGAGACCTCCGTGGAGGGAGACCTCCGTGGAGGGAGACCTCCGTGGAGGGAGATCTCCGTGGAGGGAGATCTCCGTGGAGGGAGACCTCCGTGGAGGGAGACCTCCGTGGAGGGAGACCTCCGTGGAGGGAGATCTCCGTGGAGGGAGACCTCCGTGGAGGGAGATCTCCGTGGAGGGAGACCTCCGTGGAGGGAGATCTCCGTGGAGGGAGATCTCCGTGGAGGGAGACCTCTGTGGAGGGAGATCTCTGCTGTCAAACTGGAGCTGGTCATAAGGACACGACTGTGCCCAGGTGCAGTGACATACAATGGTGGGTTACTACGGCGCGTAGCGCTGGTTACTGACAGAGAGAAGGAATGTGGGCGCAACGGGCCGACCTCCCGGCAGAGCGGGGTGTGGCTCACTGGGGTGCGTGGCGCTGGCTGCTGGCAGAAGGGGCCACATGAGGACGTGGCACCCCGGCCAGCTAGTGGAGCACGCGATAGGCCGGGGTAAAGGATGTCGGACACGTGAGGTATAGCCCAGAACCTTCTGGTGGGTTCCAGAAGGGGGCGTAGCCAAGGGCGGTTTCAGGCAGGGGACACGTGGAAGGAGGCCCAGAACCTTCTGGTAGGTTCCGGAAGGGGGCGTGGCTGAGGGCGGAGCCAGACCACGCCGGGGGGCATAAAAGAGATGTCCCGAGGCTGAATCAGGGCTGTCTGTCGGTGGAATGGAACCCGAGGTGCTCCGTCTTCGTCTCCGGCGTCGTGGGTCAGACAGCATGTAGGCTGCTCTGACCCGTTTAGAGTTATCCCGTGTGTGAACAGTGTTAAGAGTGTAGAATAAACGTATGTTGCCTCCTACTATTAGTGTCTCAGAAGTGACTCACTACACAGGGATAGAAACCTCTCCACAGATCATCAGCATACGTAACATGGTCGACCAATAAGGAGCCATCCCTCGATCACACCCGGCCATCGATCATGTACAAACACAAAGACCCCCCGGATAGCCTCTAAAAGACTGTTGGGGCAAGTGCTGTTAGCGAGCACCTATGAAGGCTGGTACAGCACACGAAGGGGTGGGTGGCAAGCACCACGCCCGACCACCTTTGTCTCCCCAGTGGCGATGTTTACACACCGCACCAGTTACTCATTTCAGGCTGAGTCGACCTAGGGGAGGCCCAGGACCGGTTCAGATAATCGTCACTGGTGTTGGCCGTGAGCGGGAATTGAACCCGGGTCGCCAGGTTTATAACCGTACACACACACACACGTACACACACACGTACAGACACACGTACACACACGTACACACACACACTTACACACACACGTACACACACACGTACACACACACACACGTACACACGTACACACACACTACACACACATACACACACGTACACACACACACGTACACACATACACACACACACGTACACACACACACGTACACACACCTGAACTCCGCGATCTCCAGGGCTCCCCTCCACCCCCGGATCTCCGTCCTCCCCCTGCTCCCCCACAGCCCCCTTGGGACCCTGATCCCCTGGGTGGCCTCGGGCCCCCTGCTTGTACAGATAGGGGCATGAACACACACACAATCAATGCGTGTATCCCCCGTGTCGCCGTTAGCGAGCACCTCTTGACATCGGCACGGTGGGTGGCCAGGACCACGGTGGGTGGCCAGCACCACGGTGGGTGGCCAGCACCACGGTTGTGCCGCCCGAGTATTTGGTGTGGCGATCCTCATACCACCACACCAGGTACTCATTTGAAAGGCCAACTTGACGTAGGAGAGGCCCAGGACGGGTTCAGATATCACTCTCCGCACAGCGAACGTGGAACGCTCCACGTCTCGCTGGTTTCTACGAAGAGAGAAGTACAGAGTCGTAGGGATGTGGGCTGAGAGGGAGGAGGGAGGAATCGCTTGAAATGTCAATCGTCTGGCGCGGACTTTGTCTGCACTTGGCCGTGGGCGGACCGCGTGAGCGCCAAGGCGTCCTGGGACACGCCCCCCCCCCCGCATCAATAAGCGTTCTACTGCGTGATGTATGGAGTGAGCTTTAATGCGTTTACACACACACTCTCATATATACACACACAAACAAAGATCCTCCGTAGAGCCTTAACAGCCCGTTGGGGCAAGTGTTGGTAGCGAGCTCCTTTCAAGGCCGGAGCCGCACCAGGACGGAGTGTGGCCATGCAACACGCCCGCACGGCCGCCTTTGTCTCCCCACTGCTGATGTTTTCACACTGCACCGGATACTCACTCGAGGCTGAGTCGACCTAGGGGAGGCTCACAACAGGTTCAGATACGACTTGCCACGTGCACACACACCCTGGTTGAAATGTGTGCCCGTGACATGGCCGTTATGAACGCCCTGAGCTAGCAGGCCACTTGGGCTTTCTGATACAACACCCTTTGTGAACACGTCATCGCTGTAGCGAGCTTGGCTTGGAGGGGGTCAGTGGGGAGAGGTGAAGTTAGTTGAGGTCATGGGGTAACTGGGTCATGGTTACATGTAACAGGGTCATTATAATAATGGGGGTCGCAGGTCACGAGTTACAATGTGATGGGAATTATTCGATTTTTTTAGGTCAAGTAAATGGGGTCATGGGTCACGGGCTCACGGGATCACAGGCCTTGAGAATAATGTGATGCCATGTAAATAGGGTCACGAGGTCATAGATGGTGATGCCACAGGTCACGGAGTCACAGGTCACGAGGTCATGATAATCACGTGATTGTGATGTCATGGGATCGCAGGCCATTGGGTCATAGGTCACGAGGTGACACGGTCACGCTCACCTCAGCCCCCTTGTCGCCGGCGCGCCCTTGCCGGCCCAGGGGCCCCGGGGAGCCCTGCGGGAGACCCGGTAAGCACACGCGGCACATCAGAGAGGGTTTACCTCGGGTTCTAAGTCGGCAATGGTTGGCGTCTCGCTGCCCGCGGGGCCGGATGGCAAAGGGGAAACACCGAGCGGTGGGGCACACGGCGCCTTCCACAAGTGCACCGACGGCCGCTCACAGACCACGACGCAGACCACGACGCAGACCACGAGGGAGACCACGAGGGAGACCACGACGCAGACCACGAGGGAGACCACGAGGGAGATCACGACGCAGACCACGAGGGAGACCACGAGGGAGACCACGACGCAGACCACGACGCAGACCACGAGGGAGACCACGAGGGAGACCACGACGCAGACCACGAGGGAGACCACGAGGGAGACCACGAGGGAGACCACGACGGAGACCACGACGCAGACCACGAGGGAGACCACGAGGGAGACCACGACGCAGACCACGACGCAGACCACGAGGGAGACCACGAGGGAGACCACGAGTGAGACCACGAGGGAGACCACGACGCAGACCACGAGGGAGACCACGAGGGAAACCACGAGGGAGACCACGACGCAGACCACGAGGGAGACCACGAGGGAGACCACGAGGGAGACCACGACGCAGACCACGAGGGAGACCACGAGGGAGACCACGACTGAGACGTCCACCACACGGCTTCCGCGCTCAGCGTCTTTTTAAACCAAGTGTTTACTGCAGCGACGGGCAATGTGAATACCGTATTGCACAATGGACGTTTGTTGTTATTATCATCAAAGAACGCGATTAATAATAGACAGTAAAACAGCAAATAATGCGAAGGCGGCTGTTGGCTGTTGCTGCTGCAGGGTCAGTGCTAAACACACGCCTCGTCTCCCAGGACTTGTCGTGAAAAGGATAATTATTTACGAATTGATATTAAAACCCAATGGCACAAGGCTGCTGCTGCTGCTGCTGAAGGCTCCAACACTCATGCGCGATCTTGCGGCTACTCTCCGGAAGGTTGACCCGAAATATGTCAACGGCGTGTGGAAGGGCCCAGGCGTTTTCTCTTCATCGTTAGGGAGCTCATTTGCAAGCGCGACCTGGGACATGCTGCCAGTAGGGAGCCATGGTTTTCCGCTGTCTCTATAATCACAAATTCATTTTTAAATTGAGCAAATTTGGACGCTGGCACACAACGGCCTCATCTCGCGAACGACGCCACGGGGCTCTTTAACTTTCGCCATGAAGCAGACGGCGCGTAGCGTCGTTGCGGGCATCCCACGCCGCAGCATTAACCGGGGCGGTCGCTGGAATCGAACCGCGAACCTCTGCCACGACAACAAGCGGCGAATGCGCGACCGCCGGGCCGCCCCATAGCGTGAGGGGTCACGGTGTCGTGACGGTGACGATTAGCAGGATTGGCTGCGTACGGTGCGAAAGAAGTTCAATATACATAGAGGGGTACGGTGTCAGGGCTTGTTTTAAGGTCAGGGTTAAGGTTACGGGCATTGGTACTGGACATCTGTGAAGAAGAGCTGCATAGTTCACCGGAATCCTCCAATATAAAGACATATTCTGATTCGTAACCCTGAAACACAACGAGATCCGATGCCGGTGTCACTGCGATGACCATCAGAGCGAGCAACACGGTGTCTGTGGATAATGCGCCCCCAGTGCCCACTGAGAGATGAGCCCGGATTTGGTGTGAAGGTCAGGGTTTACTGATGATGACAGGAGGATCAGGAATGTGGTAAGGGGTTAGTGGTGTAGGTTCAGGTGTCGAGGATGGGGTTAATGACGACGACGATGACAGACAAGGTGGTGGCCTGTGTCTCTAGGCCGCGTCTCACCTGCTCTCCCTCCAGGCCCCAGTGTCCCGGGTCCCCCTGAGCTCCAGCGTAACCCTGAAACACAACCCCCATCACCACAATCCCCAAAGACAAAGGTCCCGACGTGTAGCCTTGACAGACTGCCGGGGCAAGTGCCGTTAGCGAGCACACGAGGGGGTGATGTGACCGACACCCCGCCTGGCCGCGTTGGTCTCCCCAGTGGCGGTGTTTATCTCGGGGAGGGCCAGCACTGGTTTAGATATTCGTTACAGACGTTGAAATCGAACTCGGGTTGCCGGGTTCATGTCGCCGTGTGCCAACTACTGCACTGCCTCTCCCTTACACGACAAAAATACCTCAACAGACACACACCCGCATGCCACACATACACACACGCACATCACACACACATACACGCACATCACATACACACACGCACATCACACACACACACGCTCGCACATCACACACGCACATCACACACACACTCGCACGCCACACACACGCGTTCGCACGTCACACTCACAGCGACGCGCCTATTGTACCGCCGTGACACCGATGTTGCGCACGGCGCGCGGTTTGACCACAGCCGGCCGCACGGCGCTCTGCGGCCTTTGTGTGTGACCTTTGAGGGGGCGGTGACCTTTACCTTCCTCGCTGGGGGGCCGGGGGGCCCTGCGAGACCTCGCTCCCCATCTCCGCCCTGGGGACACACGCACACAAACACACAGACAAAGGTCCCCCAGGTAGCCTCAAAAGACTGTTGGGGCAAGTGCTGTTAGCGGCCGGAACGGCACACGAGGATACACCGCACCAGGTACTCTTTTGAGGCTGAGTCGACGTTGGGGAGGCCCAGGATCGGTTTAGATAATCGTCAATGGTGTTGGGAATCTAACTCGGGTCGCTGGGTTGGTAGCGCAGGGTGCTAACCACTATACCACCGCTCCCCACTTCTCAAACACACAAACATGTAAACACACACAATTGTACACACACATACAAAGATCCCCCCATATAGCCTTAACAGACTGTAGGGGCAAGGGCTGTTAACGATCACCTATAAAGGCTGGAACGTTACACGAGGGGGTGAGTGGTCAGCACCACGCCCGACCGCCTTTGTCTCCCCAGTGGCGATGTTTACACACCGCACTAGGTACTCATCTGAGGCTGAGTCGCCCTAGGGGAGGCCCAGGACCGGTTCAGATAATCGTCACTGGTGTTGGTCGTGAGCGGGAATCGAACCCGGGTCCCCGGGTTCATAGCGCAGCGCGCTAACCGCTACACTACCGCTCCCCATACACACACACATACACACACACTCACACAATGTACACACACGTACACACACACACGTACACACTAAGTCCACTCACAGGGTAGCCGGGGGGCCCAGGTGGGCCTGGTTCTCCAGGGAGGCCCAGGTCCCCTTTCCCCCCTTGAATTCCCATGGACCCCATTGTCCCTGCGCTCCCAGGATCCCCCTGAAGAGACATCATCGTCATCATCTTCATCATCATCGTCATCATCATCGCCATCATCATCATCGTCACGATCATCTAAAATATTGATCAATTACCATCGTCATGGCCAGCACCAGCAGCACTTCCAATATGATACTACCATCATCATCACTACCATCACCATCATCACTACCATCATCATCACCACTCCCACTACCACACTCATCATCAACATCACTACCATCATCATCACCACCACTCCCACTACCACACTCATCATCAACATCACTACCATCATCATCACCACCACTCCCACTACCACACTCATCATCAACATCACTACCATCATCATCACCACCACTCCCACTACCACACTCATCATCAACATCACTACCATCATCATCACCACCACTACCACACTCATCATCAACATCACTACCATCATCATCACCACCACTCCCACTACCACACTCATCATCACCATCACTACCATCATCATCATCACCACCACTCCCACTACCACACTCATCATCAACATCACTACCATCACCACCACTCCCACTACCACACTTATCATCATCACTACCATCAAGATCACTACCATCATCATCACCACCACTACCACACTCATCATCAACATCACTACCATCACCATCACCACCACTCCCACTACCACACTCATCATCATCGCTACCATCATCAAGATCACTACCATCATCATCATCACCACCACTACCACACTCATCATCAACATCACCACCAAAACCACAAACATCATCAACATCATTACCACAATCATCATCACGACCAACATATGCTACTAATCATCATCATCACCATGTATTCATAATCATTATCACTGTCATCATGAATCACAACAGTAATGATGATGCTCGTCAGTGGGTGGTGTACACTGTCATCATGAATCACAACAATACAAATAATGATGATGATGTGATGATGATTGTTGATGATCGTCGGAGTTGTAATTACAGCGGATCCGGGAAGGCCTTGGAGTCCAGGTTCTCCTTGGAAACCCTAGAGGAGAAACAAAGACAAAGTCCCCCCGTGTAGCCTACATATGGTGTCGGGGCAAGTGCTGTTAGCAAACACATATTAAGACCGGCACGGACACAAAGAGTGTAATACACTGGCTGGGACATGTGAGTCTGGGGCAGGTGAAACTGGCTCGATAGGTGGGGGTGGTGTAGGTGACGCTCGTGAAATAGATGAGGCAGGGGAGTCAGGTGAGTCTCGGACAGGTGAAAGTTGTTCAGGTGAAAGTTGTTTAGGTGAGGCTGCAGGTGAGGCTGCAGGTGAGGCTGCAGGTGAGGCTGCAGGTGAGGCTGCAGGTGAGGCTGCAGGTGAGGCTGCAGGTGAGGTGTCGCTCACCTGGAGGCCATCAGCTCCCGCCTCCCCTGGGAGCCCAGGCTCACCCTGCCAGACAGAACGCGCTGCTGATGAGCAATCGGATCATTGAGCCCTCGCTCACACACGCCGCGTCACACACACCACCACATCACACACCACCACATCACACACCACCACATCACACACTACCACATCACACACTACCACATCACACACCACCACATCACACACACCCCACCACATCACACACACACACACACTACCACATCACACACCACCACATCACACACACCCCACCACATCACACACACACACACTACCACATCACACACCACCACATCACACACCACCACATCACACACACACCACCACATCACACACACACACTACCACATCACACACCACCACATCACACACACACCACATCACACACACACCACGACATCACACACACACCACATCACACACACCACCACATCACATACACACCACATCACACACCACCACATCACACACACACCACATCACACACCACCACATCACACACACACACCACCCCATCACACACCACATCACACACACACCACATCACACACACACCACCACATCACACACACACACTACCACATCACACACCACCACATCACACACACCACCACATCACACACACCACCACATCACACACCACCACATCACACACACACACTACCACATCACACACCACCACATCACACACCACCACATCACACACCACCACATCACACACCACCACATCACACACACACCACCACATCACACACACACACTACCACATTACACACCACCACATCACACACACCACCACATCACACACCACCACATCACACACCACCACATCACACACACCACCACATCACACACCACCACATCACACACACCACCACATCACACACCACCACATCACACACCACCACATCACACACACCACATCACACACCACCACATCACACACACCACATCACACACCACATCATACACACACACAAAGTTAGTAGTCAGCCCACACACAACGATGGCTAACATGCGTGGCTAGCGATATCTGTACCGTTTTTGGGCCTCCCTTAGGTCGGCTCAGCCTAAAGTTTCTATCTGTTGCAGTGTGCGACCACTGGGGAGACAAAGGTGGCCAGACGCGGTGCTGGCCACACAACACACGCCCCGTGCAGCCCTCGCGATGACACGGGCGACCTTTGTCTCTTCCGGAATGAAACGAGGACTCCCCTCTCACCTTGGCCCCAGGGTCTCCGATCTCCCCGGGGTCTCCGCCTTCTCCTTGCGCTCCCTGGCGCAGACAAAACCACTCGCTCGTCCAACCCCGAGCCAGACGCACTCGTGTGGAACAGCCCTGACGCACAACCCAGGAACCTCTACGTCCCAGTAGACGGACAGATGTGACCCAGGGCTGTTTGACCCGATCCATAATTTATTATTCGGTTTAGGCCACATCGTGACCTGGCTAGACACATTATTTCGTGAAACCCTCCACCACCTGAAACGGCCATTGCGAATCGTGATATTGGCTACGGAAGTCAATTTGTGTTGGGTGTGAGCTTGATGCCCATTGCAGGAGGTCACCGGGCGACTCAGGGGTCAGAGACACAGAGCCAACTGCTCCTGGAGACCATTGGTGTCGAGATGGCTCGTGAGCACCGCGCGAATCTGCCGGTGGTGGGCCACCATTGCCGCTGTGTAAGCCCAAGTGAGTACATTGCAGAGTCATGTTTCGAATTTGCCAGATTTGATGGCGGTGATTGTGTCTGGTCTTTGGTGATCGGGCTGAGACAATCAACTCCCTGGCCTTGAGAATCTCGGGTCCAGCGCAGGTGGTTAGACCACGAGTTCTAAGCGGTGGTGGGAGCGTGTTTGAGTGGTGGATGAGTAGTGGGGTGAGTGGTGGGGTGAGTGGTGGGTGAGTGGTGGGGTGAGTGGTGGGGTGAGTGGTGCTGGTGAGAGATACCTGCACACCCACGGCTCCCGGTAGACCCGGCTCACCCAGCGCACCCGGGAATCCCTTCCGGAACACGAGCACACAGCCACCACACAGCCCGCGCTCACCACACAGCCCGCGCTCACCACACAGCCCGCGCTCACCACACAGCCCGCGCTCACCACACAGCCCGCGCTCACCACACAGCCCGCGCTCACCACACAGCCCGCGCTCACCACACAGCCCGCGCTCACCACACAGCCCGCGCTCACCACACACAGCCCGCACTCACCGCACACCCAGTGCTCACAACACAGCTTGTGTATGTCTGGTGCGTATGTTTCTGTGTGTACGTGTGTTGGTGTATGTATGTGTGTTTCTGTGTGTACGTGTGTTGGTGTATGTATGTGTGTTTCAGTGTGTACGTGTGTTGGTGTATGTATGTGTGTTTCTGTGTGTACGTGTGTTGGTGTATGTATGTGTGTTTCTGTGTGTACGTGCGTTGGTGTATGTGTGTTTCTGTGTGTACGTGCGTTGGTGTATGTATGTGTGTTTCTGTGTGTACGTGTGTTGGTGTATGTATGTGTGTTTCTGTGTGTACGTGTGTTGGTGTATGTATGTGAGTTTCTGTGTGTACGTGTGTTGGTGTATGTATGTGTGTTTCTATGTGAACGTGTGTTGGTGTATGTATGTGTTTCTGTGTGTACGTGTGTTGGTGTATGTATGTGTGTTTCTGTGTGTACGTGTGTTGGTGTATGTATGTGAGTTGCTGTGTGTACGTGTGTTGGTGTATGTATGTGTGTTTCTATGTGAACGTGTGTTGGTGTATGTATGTGTTTCTGTGTGTACGTGTGTTGGTGTATGTATGTGTGTTTCTGTGTGAACGTGTGTTGGTGTATGTATGTGAGTTGCTGTATGTACGTGTGTTGGTGTATGTATGTGTGTTTCTATGTGAACGTGTGTTGGTGTATGTATGTGTTTCTGTGTGTACGTGTGTTGGTGTATGTATGTGTGTTTCTGTGTGAACGTGTGTTGGTGTATGTATGTGAGTTGCTGTGTGTACGTGTGTTGGTGTATGTATGTGTGTTTCTGTGTGAACGTGTGTTGGTGTATGTATGTGTGTTTCTGTGTGAACGTGTGTTGGTGTATGTATGTGTGTTTCAGTGTGTACGTGTGTTGGTGTATGTATGTGTGTTTCTGTGTGAACGTGTGTTGGTGTATGTATGTGTGTTTCTGTGTGAACGTGTGTTGGTGTATGTATGTGTGTTTCAGTGTGTACGTGTGTTGGTGTATGTATGTGTGTTTCTGTGTGAACGTGTGTTGGTGTATGTATGTGAGTTGCTGTGTGTACGTGTGTTGGTGTATGTATGTGTGTTTCAGTGTGTACGTGTGTTGGTGTATGTATGTGTGTTTCTGTGTGTACGTGTGTTGGTGTATGTATGTGTGTTTCTGTGTGTACGTGCGTTGGTGTATGTGTGTTTCTGTGTGTACGTGCGTTGGTGTATGTATGTGTGTTTCTGTGTGCACGTGTGTTGGTGTATGTATGTGTGTTTCTGTGTGTACGTGTGTTGGTGTATGTATGTGAGTTTCTGTGTGTACGTGTGTTGGTGTATGTATGTGTGTTTCTATGTGAACGTGTGTTGGTGTATGTATGTGTTTCTGTGTGTACGTGTGTTGGTGTATGTATGTGTGTTTCTGTGTGTACGTGTGTTGGTGTATGTATGTGAGTTGCTGTGTGTACGTGTGTTGGTGTATGTATGTGTGTTTCTATGTGAACGTGTGTTGGTGTATGTATGTGTTTCTGTGTGTACGTGTGTTGGTGTATGTATGTGTGTTTCTGTGTGAACGTGTGTTGGTGTATGTATGTGAGTTGCTGTATGTACGTGTGTTGGTGTATGTATGTGTGTTTCTATGTGAACGTGTGTTGGTGTATGTATGTGTTTCTGTGTGTACGTGTGTTGGTGTATGTATGTGTGTTTCTGTGTGAACGTGTGTTGGTGTATGTATGTGAGTTGCTGTGTGTACGTGTGTTGGTGTATGTATGTGTGTTTCTGTGTGTACGTGTGTTGGTGTATGTATGTGTGTTTCAGTGTGTACGTGTGTTGGTGTATGTATGTGTGTTTCTGTGTGTACGTGTGTTGGTGTATGTATGTGTTTCTGTGTGTACGTGCGTTGGTGTATGTGTGTTTCTGTGTGTACGTGTGTTGGTGTATGTATGTGTGTTTCTGTGTGTACGTGTGTTGGTGTATGTATGTGTGTTTCTGTGTGAACGTGTGTTGGTGTATGTATGTGTGTTTCTGTGTGTACGTGTGTTGGTGTATGTATGTGAGTTTCTGTGTGTACGTGTGTTGGTGTATGTATGTGTGTTTCTGTGTGTAAGTGTGTTGGTGTATGTATGTGAGTTGCTGTGTGTACGTGTGTTGGTGTATGTATGTGTGTTTCTGTGTGAACGTGTGTTGGTGTATGTATGTGTGTTTCAGTGTGTACGTGTGTTGGTGTATGTATGTGTGTTTCTGTGTGAACGTGTGTTGGTGTATGTATGTGTGTTTCTGTGTGAACGTGTGTTGGTGTATGTATGTGTGTTTCAGTGTGTACGTGTGTTGGTGTATGTATGTGTGTTTCTGTGTGTACGTGTGTTGGTGTATGTATGTGAGTTGCTGTGTGTACGTGTGTTGGTGTATGTATGTGTTGCTGTGTGTACGTGTGTTGGTGTATGTATGTGTGTTTCTGTGTGTACGTGTGTTGGTGTATGTATGTGTGTTTCTGTGTGTACGTGTGTTGGTGTATGTATGTGTGTTTCTGTGTGTACGTGTGTTGGTGTATGTATGTGTGTTTCTGTGTGAACGTGTGTTGGTGTATGTATGTGTGTTTCTGTGTGTACGTGTGTTGGTGTATGTATGTGTGTTTCTGTGTGTACGTGTGTTGGTGTATGTATGTGTGTTTCTGTGTGTACGTGTGTTGGTGTATGTATGTGTGTTTCTGTGTGTACGTGTGTTGGTGTATGTATGTGTGTTTCTGTGTGAACGTGTGTTGGTGTATGTATGTGTTTCTGTGTGTACGTGTGTTGGTGTATGTATGTGAGTTGCTGTGTGTACGTGTGTTGGTGTATGTATGTGTGTTTCTGTGTGTACGTGTGTTGGTGTATGTATGTGAGTTGCTGTGTGTACGTGTGTTGGTGTATGTATGTGTTTCAGTGTGTACGTGTGTTGGTGTATGTATGTGTGTTTCTGTGTGTACGTGTGTTGGTGTATGTATGTGTTTCTGTGTGTACGTGTGTTGGTGTATGTATGTGTTTCTGTGTGTACGTGTGTTGGTGTATGTATGTGTGTTTCTGTGTGTACGTGTGTTGGTGTATGTATGTGAGTTTATGTGTGTACGTGTGTTGGTGTATGTATGTGTGTTTCTGTGTGTACGTGTGTTGGTGTATGTATGTGAGTTGCTGTGTGTACGTGTGTTGGTGTATGTATGTGAGTTGCTGTGTGAACGTGTGTTGGTGTATGTATGTGTGTTTCTGTGTGTACGTGTGTTGGTGTATGTATGTGTTTCTGTGTGTACGTGTGTTGGTGTATGTATGTGAGTTGCTGTGTGTACGTGTGTTGGTGTATGTATGTGTGTTTCTGTGTGTACGTGTGTTGGTGTATGTATGTGAGTTGCTGTGTGAACGTGTGTTGGTGTATGTATGTGTGTTTCTGTGTGTAAGTGTGTTGGTGTATGTATGTGTTTCTGTGTGTAAGTGTGTTGGTGTATGTATGTGTTTCTGTGTGTACGTGTGTTGGTGTATGTATGTGTGTTTCTGTGTGTACGTGCGTTCGACACTCACTTCCATCCCCACAGACCCCTGCGGTCCCTGATGACCTGGGGCTCCAGGTAGACCCTGTCTCACACGCACACGCAAACAAAGATCCCCCGTGTAGCCTTAACAGACTGTAGGGGCAAGTGCTGTTAGCGTGCACCTATGAAGGCCGGCACGGCACACGAGGGGGTGGGTGACCAGCACCACGCCCGACCGCCTTTGTCTCCCCAGTGGCGATGTTTACACACCGCACCAGATACTAATTTGAGGCGGAGTCGACCTAGGAGAGGCCCAGGACCAGCTCAGATAATCGTCCCTGGTGTTGGCCGTGGATAGGAATGAACTCTGGTCGCCAGGTTCGTAGCGCAGCGCGCTAACCGCTATACCACCGCTCCCCACACATACAAAGACACACACACGTATATATGCAGACACGCACATACACAAAGACATTGACACAAACGTGGTGTGGTGCTGATGTGGGTGACGGCTCCCACCCTCTCAGCTCGGGGTCCCGGGTCCCCTCTCTTGCCAGGGCTTGAAGGCAGTCCCTAAACACGCACACATAGAGATAGAGACAAAGATCCCTCGTGTAGCCTACACAGGCCGCTGGGGCAAGTGCTGCTGGCGAACGCCTAATATGGCTAATTGCATTTACAGTCACTGCAGCAGGTACTCATTTAAGGCTGAGCCGACCAAGTGGAGGCACAGGACCGGTTCAGCAGTTCAGATATCAATCGCTACTGATGTTAGCCGTGGCTGGGAATCAAACTCAGGTGGCCGGCTTTGTAACGCGCCCCTCATTGGAGTCTTGGAGGGGGAGGGAGTTGGGGGGGGGGGCGGTTTAATTAGTGGGGGGTTGTGACTTAGCACACCGTGACACACTGACGTGTGTGCGTGCACCTAGCCTGGCACAAGCGCCGCGGTGACCTCACCGCCACTTCATAGTGAACGGTACTTGTTGTTGTTGTAGTTGTTGTTGTGTGCGTCTGTTGGTCCTCGCTCACAGCACTTGCCACAGCAGTCTGATAAGACTATATGGTGGATCTTTGCCTTTGCATGGACTGTGTAGATATATTTTGTGAAGTGGCGGATTCAAGGGGGGAGGGGTGGCTATGGGGTGACTCTTACAATTGCTAATTTAATAATATTTACCAAAGTACATGTAATGTTATTGTTCTACTAATACGGGGGGGGGGGCGCAATTAAAAAGACCGCTCCCCACCGGGAAGTCGATCTGCCAGTGTCTGGAGTGTCCAGGTGAGTGTGAGTACAGGTGTGTGTATACAGGTGTGAGTGTACAGGTGAGTGTACAGGTGTGTGTACAGGTGTGTGTGTGTGCATAGGTGTGAGTGTGTGTGTGTACAGGTGAGTGTGAGTACAGGTGAGTGTGTACAGGTGTGAGTGTACAGGTGAGTGTACAGGTGAGTGTGTACAGGTGTGAGTGTACAGGTGAGTGTACAGGTGTCTGTACAGGTGTGTGTGTGTACAGGTGTGTGTGTGTACAGGTGTGAGTGAGTGTGTACAGGTGTGTGTGTACAGGAGAGTGTACAGGTGAGTGTACAGGTGAGTGTGAGTACAGGTGAGTGTGTACAGGTGTGAGTGTACAGGTGAGTGTACAGGTGTGTGTGTACAGGTGTGTGTGTGTACAGGTGTGAGTGTGTGTGTGTACAGGTGTGTGCGTGTACAGGTGTTTGTGTGTGTGTGTACAGGTGTGTGTGCAGGTGTGTGTGTACAGGTGTGTGTGTACAGGTATGTGTGTGTGTACAGGTGTGTGTGTACAGGTGTGTGTGTGTACAGGTGTGAGTGTGTGTGTACAGGTGTGTGTGTACAGGTGTCTGAGTGTACAGGTGTGTGTGTGTGTGAGGTGAGTGTGTGTGTACAGGTGTGTGTGTGTGAGTATACACACACCTGGCATCTGTGTCCACCACAGGGGCTAAACAGGGGCTCTGGACGGGTGTGAGGGGCTGGTAACCCCTCCACCTTCAATTAATTACCACTACACCGCGAATTAAGTATATAACTAATAAGCTTGTGCCGGAGGCCCCGGGGGGCCTGGCCTCTATGACGTCTTCTGGCCAAACCCCAATTGGCGGAGCCAGGAGATTGAATATCTACCCTCGGGGCTCCTCCAGAAACAACGAAAAACCACTACGGGTGGCCACGTGGAATGTTCCAACGCTCACTGTGGAGGAGAGGCTGCCACTCCTCTGTCGGGAGCTGGACCGGTACCGCCTGGATCTATGTGGCATTCAGGAGGTCCGGTGGACCGGTTCTGGCTCCTGCCACCATGAGGGGTGGACAGTCCTCTACTCGGGGCAGCAGACTGCCAAACAACAGGGTGTGGCTCTTCTTTTGAACAAAAGAATGAAGGGGGCGTGGGAGCGTGGCGGTGAGGTGTGGGAAGCTGTAAGCCCCAGGCTACTTTGGGCTCGCCTTCCCATCAACCGGAGGCGAGGAATGGTGGTCGTGGTTACTTATGCCCCCACCGAAGATGAACATCCGTGGAGGGATGCAGGCAAAGCCAATGAGTCAGATGCCTTCTATGACCTCCTGTCACAGGTGCTGGCTAAAGTGGCCCCTCGGGATAGAGTCATCATGTTGGGTGACTTCAATGCCCGAGTTGGTCATGATGCTGGCACCTGGTCTGGAGTGATTGGAGGGCATGGGCCAGATCAGCTCAATAACAACGGTAGGAGGCTGCTAGATTTTTGTGCAGCCCATGGGCTTGTAATTACCAACACGCTGTTCCGGCATTGGCGCGTCCACACAACATCATGGATGCATGCCGGGTCCAAGCAAGAACATCTGCTGGACTACATAGTGACGGACCAGCGGATGCGAGCCCATGTCCTTGACACCAGGACCTACTGTGGAGCTGATCTGCCCTCTGACCATCGACTAGTAATCTGTAAGATGCGCCTGCCATTCTTCCACTCCGGTGGTGGGTGTACACCCAGGACCCCATTCCAACCTAAAGTGCCTGGTCTCAGTTATCTGATGAAAGTTGCAAGTGAGAATTTCATCATCGCTTGCGGCTGGGATTGGCATCGTCCCCGACTCCTCCTGATGTGGAGGGTAAATGGGCGAGGTTTAGGACTGTGACTCATGCAGCTACAATTGCTGCTTTGGGTACACGGTCCAGACCTCCCCAGAGACCCTGGCTGACAGAGGTGTTCAGGATGGTTGAGAAAAAGCGACAGGCCCACTGTCATCGGCTACAGAATCCTACGTCAGAGAATGAGGAGGCTTACCGCAGCCTTCGCTCGGAGGTTCGGAGAGCCGTGAGGTGCTGCAAGGATGGGTGGTGGTCGCGGGTTGCTGAGGAGATGGAGTCTGCCTCAGTGGCCCGTGATCACAAGTCTCTATTTGACTCCATCAAAAAAGTAACCTGCAGCGCCACACCTATTACCATCATTAGGGGAAAAAACGGTGATCCAATCTCCGACCCCCAGGAACAGGTTTGTAAATTTGCTGAGCATTTCTGTGAGGTCCTGGGGGAGGGAAAATCCCTCAGCCAGGAAAACATCGTGGCACAAAGTGAGGATGACCCTGCTGAGGCTGCGGTGCCTCAAATATTGGAAGAAGTCAACCCCTGTGAGTGGCTGGCTGAGGTGCCATCTGTTGAGGAAGTACTGAAGGCGATCCGGAGTCTGAGACCAGGAAAGGCAGCGGGTAGAGATAATCTCCCAAGCGAAATGCTGAGGGAGGGTGGCGTTTGTGCACAGACTGCCCTATATGACATCATAACAACAGTCTGGACCACTGGACAGGTTCCGCAGGATTGGAAGGATGCCCTGGTGGTCCCCCTCTTTACAAAGGGGGACAGCACAGACTGTAACAACTACAGGGGCATCTCACTCCTCAGTGTGCCAGGAAAGGTCCTGGCAATGATTATTCAACATCGCCTTGCCAGGCACGCTGAGAAGAGGCTTGGGGAGCCCCATTGCGGTTTCAGGAAAGGGCGGTCCTGCACAGATGCCATATTTTCTGTCCGTCTGCTACAGTAGAAGTGTAGGGAATTCCAACAAAACCTACATCTCTGCTTTATTGACCTGGTCAAGGCCTATAATACCATCAGTAGGCCTGGGCTCTGGGTTGTTCTTTGTGCTTTTGGAGTCCCTGACCCTCTGCTCACAATCATTTCGGACCTTCATGATGGTGAGCGGGCCCGGATAAAACTATGTGGCCGGGAGTCAGAGCCATTCCCTATACACTTTGGGGTGCGACAGGGATGTCGCACCCCTATTGAAGGCTCGTGAAGCCTTCAATAGCTGTGCCGGGGGAATCTCCATTTGGTATAGATATAATGGGAGGCTGATTGATGCCCGGGTCGGGTCAAGGGATGGCTCCCTATTGCTCAACCACGTTATGTATGCCGATGATTTGGTAATAGCTGCTCATTCAGAGGAGGAGTTGGAGACGCTGCTGCTGAGACTGGAGCGTGCCACTAAGAGATGGGGCCTTACCATCAGCCCCACCAAAACTAAGCACCTGCCTGGGTATTTTGTACCATCGGACACTCCACCCCCACAGCTCCCAATCGGTGATGGGGCAGTTGTGGAGAGAGTGGAGAGTTTCCCATACCTGGGAAGTGTGCTTATGACCGGCTCCAGTTTAACAGCAGAGGTCTCACTCCGAATCAGTCGAGCGGCAATATCTTTTCATCGGTTGCATAACGCTGTGTGGAAGCTACCTGGTCTGTCGCTCCGCACTAAGCTTCAGGCCTTCTCGGCCACTGTCATTCCCTCCCTTCTCTACGCTTGCGAAACGTGGATCCCCCTAATGGAACATCTTCGCCGGTTAGAAACATTTAGGCTGGCCTGCCTACGATCCATCCTGGGTTTAACCAGACTGGATTGTGTGAGCTCACAAATCCTTGAAAGATCTGGGCAAGGTCCCATCGGTGAGCTCCTCCGGCAGGCAAGGCTGCGTTGGCTGGGTCATGTAGCCCGCATGCCCAGCCACCGCATGCCGAAACAGCTTTTGTTCGGCCAGATCGAGGGGGCTAAGCGGGCGCGGCACGGGCTAGAGAAGAGATGGAGTGATGTGGTACAGGAGGACGTGGAGCTGAGTGGACTTGCCGATGACTGGTACCAGCGGTGTCAAGATCGGCCTCTCTGGAAGAGGCTCGTGAAGGACGCTACTGGGCAGTTGGAAGTAGTCGCCCTCCAACAACAATGGAGGGCGGAGGTGCGATGCTCACAACAACGAGCGGAGCGCCGGGTGGCTAAAGCACAGCAGGTTGGCACAGTAGGGGGCACAGGTGGTGCATCAGCCAGTCATCTCAGTCAGTCGACCCATGGCACCTGGGTCTGCCCCGTGACCTCCTGCCAGCGGGCGTTCGACACTCCACGTGGCCTCAAGGTGCACATGTCCTGGCACAAGCGTCGTGGTGACGTCACCGCCACTTAGTGGCAAATGGCGGTTGTTGTTGTATGTGTGTGTATGTGTATGTGTGATTGTATGTGTGTGTGTATGTGTAAGAGTATGTGTGTGTATGTGAGTGTATGTGTGTGTATGTGAGTGTATGTGTGCGTATGTGAGTGTGTGTGTATGTGAGTGTGTATGTGTAAGAGTATGTGTGTGTGTTTGTCTCTAGGCTCGCTGTGACTTGTAGGAACGTCTCACCGGGGGGCCCAGAGTTCCGTTCAATCCCGGGGGGCCAGGCTCCCCCCGTAGACCCTGACAAATAAAGAAAAAGATCCTCCATATAGTCTTCATAGACTGCTGGGGTATGTGCTGTTTACTAAGGCGTTGAATACATCTAAATAAGATAACATTAATTGTGGGGGTGGTGTGGCCAGGAACCACGTGCGGCCGCCTTTGTTTTCCCAATGCTGATGCTTACAAAACAACAGGTGCTAATTTAAGGCTGAGTCGTTCTAGGGGATGCCCAGAACAAGTTTCAACTTGCCACTAATGTTGGCCGTGAGCGAGAAACAAACTCGAGGGGGAGTGTTGGTAGCGCAGAGCGCAAACCACGCTCACAGATGTCACTCACCACCCCTCACTCACCACCCTCACTCACCACCCTCACTCACCACCCTCACTCACCACCCATCACTCACCACCCCTCACTCACAACCCCCCTCACTCACAACCTCACTCACCACCCTCACTCACCACCCTCACTCACCACCCCTCACTCACCACCCCTCACTCACCACCCTCACTCACCACCCTCACTCACCACCCCTCACTCACCACCCCTCACTCACCACCCCTCACTCACCACCCCTCACCCACCACCCCTCACCCACCACCCCTCACCCACCACCCGTCACTCACCACCCCTCACTCACCACCCTCACTCACCACCCTCACTCACCACCCCTCACTCACCACCCTCACTCACCACTCTCACTCACCACCCATCACTCACCACCCCTCACTCACAACCCCTCACTCACCACCCCTCACCCACCACCCATCACTCACCACCCATCACTCACCACCCTCACTCACCACCCTCACTCACCACCCATCACTCACCACCCCTCACTCACAACCCCTCACTCACCACCCCTCACCCACCACCCCTCACTCACCACCCTCACTCACCACCCTCACTCACCACCCTCACTCACCACCCATCATTCACCACCCCTCACTCACAACCCTCACTCACCACCCTCACTCACCACCCTCACTCACCACCCCTCACTCACCACCCCTCACTCACCACCCTCACTCACCACCCTCACTCACCACCCCTTACTCACCACCCCTCACTCACCACCCCTCACTCACCACCCCTCACCCACCACCCCTCACCCACCACCCCTCACCCACCACCCATCACTCACCACCCCTCACTCACCACCCTCACTCACCACCCTCACTCACCACCCCTCACTCACCACCCTCACTCACCACTCTCACTCACCACCCATCACTCACCACCCCTCACTCACAACCCCTCACTCACCACCCCTCACCCACCACCCATCACTCACCACCCATCACTCACCACCCTCACTCACCACCCTCACTCACCACCCATCACTCACCACCCTCACTCACCACCCTCACTCACCACCCCTCACTCACCCACCACCCCTCACTCACCACCCTCACTCACCACCCCTCACTCACCACCCCTCACTCACCACCCCTCACCCACCACCCCTCACCCACCACCCCTCACTCACCACCCTCACTCACCACCCCTCACTCACCACCCCTCACTCACCACCCCTCAATCACCACCCTCACTCACCACCCCTCACTCACCATCCCTCACTCACAACCCGTCACCCACCACCCCTCACTCACCACCCTCACTCACCCACCCACCACCCACCACCCCTCACTCACCACCCCTCACTCACCACCCATCACTCACCACCCCTCACTCACCACCTATCACTCACCACCCCTCACTCACCACCCCTCACTCACCACCCCTCACCCGTCACCCACCACTCACCCTGCGTCCTCTCCGTGCTGTGGTTCCTGCCCTTCCAGGAACGCCCTGCAAAGACAAAGACACAACAACAACCACCATTCACCACTAAGTGGCGGTGACGTCACCACGACGCTTGTGCCAGGCCATGTGCACCTTGAGGCCACGTGAAGTGTCGAACGCCCGCTGGCAGGAGGTCACGGGGCAGATCCAGGTGCCACGGGTCGACTGACTGAGATGACTGGCTGATGCACCACCTGTGCCCCCTACTGTGTCAACTTGCTGTGCTTTAGCCACCCGGCGCTCCGCTCGTTGTTGTGAGCATCGCACCTCCGCCCTCCGTTGTTGTTGGAGGGCGACTGCCTCCAACTGCCCAGTAGCGTCCTTCACGAGCCTCCTCCACAGAGGCCGATCTTGACACCGCTGGTACCAGTCATCGGCAAGTCCACTCAGCTCCACGTCCTCCTGTACCACATCACTCCATCTCTTCTCTAGCCCGTGCCGCGCCCGCTTAGCCCCCTCGATCCGGCCGAACAAAAACTGTTTCGGCATGCGGTGGCTGGGCATGCGGGCTACATGACCCAGCCATCGCAGACTTGCCTGTCGGAGGAGCTCACCAAAGGGACTTTGTCCAGCTCTTTCGAGGATTTGTGAGCTCCTCACACAATCCCGCCTGGTTAAACCCAGGATTGATCGTAGGCAGGCTAGCCTAAATGTTTCTAACCGGCGGAAATTTTCCATTAGAGGGGTCCACATTTCGCAAGCGTAGAGAAGGGAGGGAATGACAGTGGCCGAGAAGACCCGAAGCTTCGTGCGGAGCGACAGACCAGGTAGCTTCCACACAGCGTAACGCAACCGATGAAAAGATATTGCCGCTCGACTGATTTGCAGTGAGACCTTTGCTGTTAAACCGGAGCCGGTCATGAGCACACTGCCCAGGTATGGGAAACTCTCCCCTCTCTCCACAACTGCCCCATCACTGATTGGGAGTTGTGGGGGTGGAGTGTCCGATGGTACAAAATACCCAGGCAGATGCTTCGTTTTGGTGGGGCTGATGGTAAGGCCCCATCTCTTAGACACAGACAAAAAAAAACAAATACAAATATCCCCCGTATAGCCTTAACAGACTGTAGGGGCAAGCGCTGTTAGCGAGCACCTATGAAGGCCGGAACAATACACGAGGGGGTGGGTGGCCAGCACCACGCCCGACCGCCTTTGTCTCACCAGTGGCGATGTTTATACACCGCACCAGGTACTCATTGCAGGCTGAGTCGACCCAGGGGAGGCCCAGGACCGGTTCAGATAATCGTCACTGGTGTTGGTCGTGAGCGGGAATCAAACCCGGGTCGCCAGGCACATAACGCAGCGTGCTAACCGCTACACTATCGCTCCCCACACACGCACACTGACACACACACACAGACACACACACTGACACACACACAGACACACACAGACACACACACTGACACACAGACACACACAGACACACACACACATAGACACACAAACACACAGACACACACACAGACACACACACAGACACACACACAGACACACACACACAGACAAACACACTCAGATACAGACACACACACAGACACACACAGACACACATACAGACACACACAGACACACACACTGACACACACACAGACACACACACACAGACACAGACACACACAGACACAGACACACACACAGACACACACACACAGACACAGACAGATACACACACAGACACACACACAGACACACACAGACACACACACCCACACAGACACACACAGTCAGACACACACACAGACACACACACAGACAGACACACACACAGACACGCACACACAGACACGCACACACAGACACGCACGCACAGACACACGCACACACACACAGACACACACAGACACACACACACACTGATACACACAGACACTCACAGACACACACACACAGACACACAGACACACACAGACACACACAGACACATTTAGCTACACAGACACACACAGACACACACACAGACACACAGACACACACAGACACACACAGACACACACAGACACATTTAGCTACACAGACACACACAGACACACACAGACACACACAGACACACAGACACAGACACACACAGACACACACAGACACATTTAGCTACACAGACACACACACAGACACACACACAGACACACACACAGACACACACAGACACACACACAGACACACACACTGACACACACACTGACACACACAGACACACACACACATTTAGCCTACACAGACTGGTGGGGCCAGTGTTATTAACGAGCACCTAATACGCCTGCACGCCGATATGAGCAGGACACACACGTTTGCCTTTCTCTCACCCGACACACACACAGGGGTCAAGTTGTGATGCAGGGATCATGTATAGGGGTCAAGTTGTGATGCAGGGATCATGTTGTGCTGCAGGGATCATGTATAGGGGTCAAGTTGTGATGCAGGGATCATGTTGTGCTGCAGGGATCATGTATAGGGGTCAAGTTGTGATGCAGGGATCATGTATAGGGGTCATGTTGTGATGCAGGGATCATGTATAGGGGTCAAGTTGTGATGTAGGGATCATGTTGTGCTGCAGGGATCATGTATCGGGATCAAGTTGTGATGCAGGGATCATGTTGTGCTGCAGGGATCATGTATAGGGGTCAAGTTGTGATGCAGGAATCATGTATAGGGGTAAAGTTGTGATGCAGTGATCATGTTGTACTGCAGGGATCATGTATAGGGATCAAGTTGTGATGCAGGGATCATGTATAGGGGTCATGTTGTGATGCAGGGATCATGTACAGGGGTCATGTTGTGATGCAGGGATCATGTGTAGGGGTCAAGTTGTGATGCAGGGATCATGTATAGGGGTCAAGTTGTGATGCAGCGATCATGTATAGGGGTCAAGCTGTGATGCAGGGATCATGTACAGGGGTCCTGTTGTGCTGCAGGGATCATGTATAGGGGTCATGTTGTGATGCAGGGATCATGTTGTGATGCAGGGATCATGTATAGGGGTCCTGTTGTGATGCAGCGGTCATATATAGGGGTCAAGTTGTGATGCAGGGGTCATGTATAGGGGTTATGTTGTGATGCAGGGGTCATGTATAGTGGTCATGTTGTGATGCAAGGTTCATGTTGTGCTGCAGTGGTCATGTTGTGATGCAGGGATCATGTATAGGGGTCATGTTGTGATGCAGGGATCATGTATAGGGGTCATGTTGTGCTGCAGGGATCATGTATAGGGGTCAAGTTGTGATGCAGAGGTCATGTTGTGTTGCAGGGATCATGTATAGAGGTCATGTTGTGTTGCAGGGATCATGTTGTGCTGCGGGAACCTGTGTACCCGGAATTCCATCCAATCCTGGGGGGCCCTGCGCTCCCTTCTCTCCCTAGGGTGAGTGGGGGGCCAGACAGAAATAAAACTGGGGCAGCATGTAAGGGAACATTTCCATCAAATTCACAAGTTTACATCCTGGAGCGGGGTGGGTCATCTCAGCCCATCATCACTCCGGGGTAGCTAAAATTCGTACCAGTGTACGTGTAAGCTCAACTGTGCTCATCCTATGGGGAGCCACGTCCCTGTCAAAGTAATATGGAATTTACATCACTGGCTCAGGATCCCCCAACAGAGCTCGTTGCCCCACTCGGTACAGCTCCACCACAGTGAGCGGGCAGCAACTTTCTGTACAGCTACCGTCGGGTCGAGCAATGCACGATGGTCACTGCACGATCCACCAACCCCTGGCTGTAGCAGGGCACAGGGTGAGCAGTGGCCTGCCACGTGACGTCACTGTACCTGCAGTCCAGGTGAGCCGACTAGTCCCCTCTGCCCCGTACGACCCTGCACACACACAAAGACAAAGATCACCCGTATGGCCTTAACAGACCGCCGGGGCAAGTGCTGCTACAGCTGTGAATCATCCCGGGGTGGCGCCATGGGTGGGAGCGGTGCTCATATGGGCCTCACTCTCTTCCCCGGGTTCCCCTTCGCGCCAGCCGCCCCCTCCTCTCCCATCGCTCCCTGCACAAGACACACAAAGACAAAGATCGCCCGTGTAGCCTTTCATAGACACATGGGGCAAGTGCTGTTCGCGAGAAGCAACCATGAAGGCCAACCGCCTTTGACTCTCCAGCAGCGAAGTTTACACACCGCACCAGGTATTAATTTGAGGCTGAGTCGACCTAGGGGAGGCGCAGGACCGGTTCAGATAATCGTCACCGGTGTTGGTGACCGTGAGCAGGAATCGAACTCGGGTCGCCGGGAATGTAGCGAGGCGTAGCGCTAACCATGACAGGACCGCTTCCCACAACCCACGCACAATTATTGCGCACAAAAACAAGGACACGTACAAAGGTGCCCCATGTAGCCTCCACAGACGGTTAGGGAAAGTGGTGTCAGCGAGCAGCGACAGACACCGCCACACGCAGCGGACTCACCTGGGCCCCCTCCGTGCCGTTGGCCCCAGCGGGGACCCCCAGAGCCCCCTCCTCTCCCTGAAGACAAAACGCAGACTCAGAGACCCCCCCCCCCTCACAGCCAGCCCCTCTTACCCCCCTCACCCAGCCCCCCCCCCTCACCCCCACACAGCCCACACAACACCTCCCCTCACCCGCCCCCCCTCTCACCCCCCACCCAGCCCCTCGCCCCCCACCCAGCCCCTCGCCCCCCACCCAGCCCCTCCCCTCAACAAGCCCCCCCCTCACCCGCCCCCCCCTCTCACCCCCCACCCAGCCCCTCGCCCCCCACCCAGCCCCTCCCCCCACACCGCCTCAGGGAGTCTCAGGGCCCTGCCACCTTGGGGATGCTTGGGCCACGCATCTCACTGGAGGTGCGTCTCGGTTCTCCGCGTGGCCGGAGGAAACCGGCAGAACCGCTGCCGTCTCACGGCCTCCTCCTCCTGCTGCTGCTGCTGCGTGATCCACCAACCCCCTCGCCTCCTCCTCCTGCTGCTGCTGCTGCGTGATCCACCAACCCCTCGCCTCCTCCTCCTCCTGCTGCGTGATCCACCAACCCCCTCGCCTCCTGCTGCTGCTGCTGCGTGATCCACCAACCCCCTCGCCTCCTCCTGCTGCTGCTGCGTGATCCACCAACCCCCTCGCCTCCTGCTGCTGCGTGATCCACCAACCCCCTCGCCTCATCCACCATCTCCGGAGGAGTCACGGAGCCGGGCCCCTCACGCCCATTGCGGCTTTCGCGTGCACCAACTTCGAGCCCATTTATGCAAACAGAGGCCTTCAATTATTAAAACCAAAACCAATTATGTAAATGGAGGGAGGGGACTTCATGGCGTGGGGGGTGTGCAGGTGAGGGGGTGGGGGCCGTGGGAACTTTGGTGTGGCAGCCAATAGAGGAAGGGGTCGGTGGTGGTGGTGGGGGGTGAGTTGGAAGGGGGGGCCCAAGTGAAGAGTGAGGATTGGGGGGGGTGTACCTCGGTTGTAGTGTGGGGGGCCATGGAAGCATGGAGATTGGGAAAGTAAAGTGGGGGGGGGGGGGCGTCCTTGCCCCGCACTTCCGAGCAGCACGGTTGACCACGTACGGTGCGAAAGAAGTTCAACGTAGAGGGGGGGTGGGGCGGGGGGAACCCGCGTGGGAGTTCCCAGCAGCGCCGCCAGAGGGCGGCACCGCACCGGGGCCCGCCGCTGATCGCCGCGGGCAAGGACGCACACAAAAGACAAAGAGCCCCCGTATAGACACAACAGGCTGTTGGGGCAAGTGATGTTAGCGGGCACCTATGAAAGCCGGCACGAGGGGGCAATGTGTACACACCGGTACCAGTCACTGGAGCGCGTCACTGGGTTCGTAGCGCGGCGCGCTAACCGCTGCACCACCGCTCCCCACACTGAGTCCACACACGCCACGACCTCCCCCCGCCCCCATCCCTGACTCCCAGACCCCAACTCACGGGGGGTCCCGGCTCCCCCTCGGGCCCCTCCTCCCCCCTGGCCCCCACTTCGCCATCCGCCCCCCGGGGGCCTCGATGACCCCCAGGGCCTGGGGCCCCAGGGTCGCCCTGGGGGAGACAAAGGCGGCTCGCGTTATGAATGAGGATATACGCGACGATGGAGATGATAGTGGTGATGGTAGAGACCTTGTGAGCGTGGATTAGGGGGCAAGGTGGGACTGGGGGGGGGGGCTCACCTTTGACCCGGGGGGTCCCGTGTCCCCTTTCTGGCCTCTTTCAGTCACTCCCTGTGGGAGGGGGGGGGGATGATGGGGATGATGACAATCATGGTGGTGGTGATGATAATCATGGTGATGGTGGTGGTGATGATGATAATCATGGTGATGGTGGTGATGATGACAGTCATGGTGATGGTGGTGGTAATGATAATAATCATGGTGATAATGGTGGTGATGATGATGATGATGGACGCCAGTATTCAATGTCAGAGAGAAGCCACAATCACCACATCGTCGTTAACCAATGGTCACGTCAACCTCCACTCCCCAGCTACCAAGTGGTGTGACGTTACCAGGACTGCCTGGAAGCTTGAGGACAATGTTCGCCGGAACGCGCCCGCGTTCGAAGCCGACGCACTGAGTCGGTGTGCGCAGGGATTGCGTGGTGACACCGTTGTCATGGAGCCCTCCACCACCCGACGAGATGGTCACGTTTACACAGAGACTACGATTATCATCGCATTTCTCTTCACACCGTCCCGATGTGTCCATCCAATTCTGACGGATAAAGCCCCCCCTCAACCCCCCCTTCAACCCCCCCCTAACCCCCCCCCCCACCTCCACACCGGTGGCGCCTCGGGAAGAGTCCCGGGATAGATCCCCGATGTTCGAGCGAGACGCTGATGTGAAATTCAGCCGTGATGAGTTAGACAGATAAGTTCCACAGGTGAGTTAAACGCGCGAGGTGGGAAGATGTGAGTCAACTCACCTGGTCTCCTTTAGGTCCCAGGGGGCCCAAGTTCCCAGGGTCACCCTGGAAAACAAAGAGTACGGCTCACCACCATCATCACCACCACCACCACAATTATCATCACCATCACCACTATCTTGACCACCACCACCACAATTATCCCCACCATCTGGACCACTACCACCATCATCATCACCACAACCATTATTATCACTACCACCATCACCCTCACCAACATCACCACCACCACGACAAAGCAACACTAACCTTGTCCCCTGTTGGACCCCACTCCCCATGGACCCCTTTTGTTCCTTCAGGGCCCTGCATGGAGAATAAAGAGGGGATACACGAATATCAAGGACACCTGTTATGGTTGCCTCACCCTTAGTGACCCTACCCACACCCCCTGGCCTCCATCCCCCGAAATCAAATCTCAATTCACCAAACGCCATGGTGTGGCCAGAATATTTGGTACGGGTCTCTGTGTGAGTCTATGGGTCTTTGTGTGAGTCTATCGGTCTCCGTGTGAGTCTATGGGTCTCCTTATGAGTATATTGGTCTTCCTGTTAGTCTATGGGCTCCGTGTGAGTCTATGGGTCTCCGTGTGAGTCTATGGGTCTCCTTATGAGTCTATGGGTCTTCCTGTAAGTCTATGGGCTCCGTGTGAGTCTATGGGTCTCTGTGTGAGTCTATGGGTCTCCGTGTGAGTCTATGGGTCTCCTTATGAGTCTATGGGTCTTCCTGTTAGTCTATGGGCTCCGTGTGAGTCTATGGGTCTCTGTGTGAGTCTATGGGTCTTTGTGTGAGTCTATGGGTCTCTGTGTGAGTCTATGGGTCTTCCTGTTAGTCTATGGGCTCCGTGTGAGTCTATGGGTCTTTGTGTGAGTCTATGGGTCTCCGTGTGAGTCTATGGGTCTTCCTGTTAGTCTATGGGCTCCGTGTGAGTCTATGGGTCTTTGTGTGAGTCTATGGGTCTCCGTGTGAGTCTATGGGTCTTCCTGTTAGTCTATGGGCTCCGTGTGAGTCTATGGGTCTTTGTGTGAGTCTATGGTCTCTGTGTGAGTCTATGGGTCTCCGTGTGAGTGTATGGGTGATAGTGAATGATGGAATTCGTCAAGGGAGTGGGGGGCTGGCTGGTTGCGAGACGAACCGGGTCTCCCGTGTCCCCTGGCAACCCGTCAAGACCAGGAACTCCCTGCACACAGACACAGATAGACACACAGATAGACATATAGGCAGACACACGCAGAGACACATAGACATGCAGATACACAGACACACAGATAGACAAACAGATAGACATATAGGCAGACACACGCAGAGACACATAGACATGCAGATACACAGACACACAGATAGACACACAGATAGACATATAGGCAGACACACGCAGAGACACATAGACATGCAGATACACAGACACACAGATAGACACACAGATAGACATATAGGCAGACACACGGACACAGAGATACACACAGAGACACGGAGACAGACACACGCAGAGACACATAGACATGCAGATACACAGACACGCAGATAGACACATAGCAATGCAAACTCACAAGCATGCGGACATATACACAGAGACCCACACAGACACACACACAGACACCCACACAGATACACACAGAGACACACACAGACACACGCAGACACACCCACACAGACACACACACACAGACACACATAGCAAGACACGAGAGGCACATAGACACACACAGACACACATACAGACACACACAGAGACACACACAGATACACGCAGACACACCCACACAGACACACACAGACACACACAGACACACACACAGATACACACACAGACACCCACAGACACACGCAGACACACCCACACAGACACCCACAGACACACGCAGACACACACACACACAGATACACACACAGACACACACAGACACCCACAGACACACGCAGACACACACACAGATACACACACAGACACACACAGATACACGCAGACACACCCACACAGACACACACACAGATACACACACAGACACACGCAGACACACCCACATAGACACCCACAGACACACACACACAGATACACACAGAGAGACACACAGACACACGCAGACACACCCACACAGACACACACACAGACACATGTGTAACTACACGGAGATTAATAATTCAACGCATTTTTATTCTCTGGCTGTCGCTCTCTTCCTCTCTCTCTCTAAGGGGAGAGGCAATCCCTGTTGCTTTATTGTTTGTATCGGATCAGGAGGTGTGATCGCTGATCTAGCAATCATTTAATATTTATGTGTGTGTGTAGCAATTCATCACCCACGTGTGTGTGTCAGCGTGCGTGCGTGTATTCGGGGAGCGGTGGCGCAGTGGTTAGCGCACTGCACTACGAACCCAGCGACCCGGGTTCGAATTCAGAATATCTGAACTGGCCTTGGGCCTCCCCTGGGTCGACGCGACCTTAAATGAGTACCTAGTACGCTGTGTAAAAAACTTTAGCACTGGGAAGACAAAGGCGGCTGGGGGTGGTGCTGGTCACCCACCCCCTCGCGTGCCGTGCGGGCCTTCATAGGTGCCCGCTAACAGCACTTGCCCCAACATTCTGTTGAGGCTACACGGGGGATCTTTGTCTGTGTGTGAGAGAGTACGTGTACAGGTGTTGTGTGTGTGTGTCGAGTGTGGATCACCTGCAAGCCGTGGGTTCCCTTGAGACCCCAGGAGCCAGGGGCACCGGAGGGTCCCTGGAACAAGACGACAACAACAACAACCGCCATTCGTCACTAAGTGGCGGTGACGTCGCCACGGTGCCTGTGCCAGGCTAGGTGCACTCCAAGGCCACGTGAAGTGTCGAAGGCTCGCTGAGAGCAGGTCACGGGGCAGACTGCAGGTGACCTAGGTTGGCTGACTGAGTTGACCGCCAGATGCACACCAGGTGTGCTCCCCACTCGTAGCTGTGAGCAACAACAACAACAACACAAACACAAAGATCCCCCGGATACATATTCTTGGTTCTTTCGGTAAAGTCACGTAGAAGGGAAATAATAAAATAATAAAAATAAAACATGACATAATTAAATTATCACGACGTTTCGGCCACAACACAAGTAGCCTTCCTCAGGTGAAGAAACAGAACTGTCGGAAAGACAGTGCTCCAATGAACACTGCTAAGCTTGGCAGCGTCTTTTAGCGCAGAGCGCCTTGACAAAGGGGTTTACATAACAGAAGAATTTAGCATATTGATGACAAATGCAGATATGGGGTTAGTCACTCCTTCCACACAATGCATGAGCTTGATACGCGGTGGTTTGGCTGCTGCAGTTCTTTATAATTAACATTTCGCTCCCTTTATTACTGCTAATCCTACATAATACACGAGCATCATATGACTTTGGGACAACCCACCGCCTACACATTCCACAAGGAGTGACTAACCCCATATCTGCATTTGTCATCAATATGCTACATTCTTCTGTTGATATGTAAACTCCTTTTTCAAGGCTCTCTCCTCCTCCCACCCAGCTTAAAATACGCTGCCAAGCTTAGCAGTGTTCATTAGGACGCTGTCTTTCCGACAGTTCTGTTTCCTCACCTGAGGACGGCTGCTTGCGTTGTGGCCGAAACGTCGTGAGAGTTTTGTTATATTATGTTGTATTTTTATTATTTTATTATTTCCCTTCTACGTGGTGACTTTACCGAAAGAACCAAGAATATGAACCCCTGCAGTCACGAAAGCTTTAAATCAAATCCCCCGGATAGCCTCAACAGACTGTCGGGGCAAGTTCTTTGAGCGAGTGAGCACCTAGAAAGGCCAGCTCGGGGGTGGGTGGGTGGCCAGCACCGCGCACAGCCGCCTTTGTCTCCCCAGTGACACAGGCACACTGCCGTCTCACCTGGAGCCCCGCGAAGCCCGGGGGACCCGCGCTCCCGTGATCCCCCTGCGAGAGAGCAAAGTGGAGAGGGAGGAGAGGGATTCGTCAGCCATTGCTCTATCCGCTGCTGGCTGAAGCCCTCCCCGAGCCTGGTCGCCACCCCTCACGATCCAGCGAGGCGACAACGCAGCCAGACCCAGCACACGAGGCGACTTCAGCGCTCCGTCTCCACGGGGGATGTCACTCGGGGGGGGGGGGGGATGTCTCACCCGTGGGCCGGGGTAACCCTTGATCCCCTTGGTCCCCGGGGGACCCCTCTGACCCTTCAGCAACAAACAACAACAACGACAACAACGACAAGGGTGAGTCCCACACACCCACGCAACTTGGCGCGAGAGTTTGGCTCCGACAGCGACAACTCGACATGAGGTGTCCCCACTCCTCCCCGTGACACACGACACAGACAAAGACCCCCCCCCCCCACCCGTATAGCCGCAACAGGCCGTTGGGGCAAGTGCTGTTGGCGAGTAGGACCTGTGAAGGCCGGCACGGTGCCCCAGGGGGTGGGTGGCCAGCACCACGCCCGGCCGCCCCGCACCAGATACTCATTTGAGGCTGAATCGACCTAGGGGAGGCCCAGGACGGGTTCAGATAATAGTCACTGTGACGATGATGCGAAGGGGTTCTGGTGTGACTCGATCTGTATAACTTTATTGACACCGGGCGACGTTTTGGGGTGCGTCTTAATTTCCGGAGCGCCTTATAATCCAGTGAGTACGGTATTTATAATTTATTAGTGAGCCAGATAACGATCGTTTACTCCAAGAGGGACTCTCACCGTCTTGCCTCGTGCTCCATACCTCCCCTCGTCTCCATATCCGCCCTGGAGGACACGCGTGTCGCGCCGTTAGCACTCGTTCACGGTGAGCAGGTGAGTGAGTGACCAGGTGTGTGAGTGACCAGGTGCTGTGAGTGACCAGGTGCTGTGAGTGACCAGGTGTGTGAGTGACCAGGTGTGTGAGTGACCAGGCGTGTGAGTGACCAGGTGTGTGAGTGACCAGGCGTGTGAGTGACCAGGCGTGTGAGTGACCAGGTGTGTGAGTGACCAGGTGTGTGAGTGACCAGGTGCTGTGAGAGACCAGGTGTGTGAGTGACCAGGTGTGTGAGTGACCAGGTGTGTGAGTGACCAGGTGCTGTGAGAGACCAGGTGTGTGAGTGACCAGGTGAGTGAGTGACCAGGTGTGTGAGTGACCAGGTGTGTGAGTGACCAGGTGCTGTGAGTGACCAGGTGCTGTGAGTGACCAGGCGTGTGAGTGACCAGGTGTGTGAGTGACCAGGTGCTGTGAGTGACCAGGTGCTGTGAGTGACCAGGCGTGTGAGTGACCAGGTGTGTGAGTGACCAGGCGTGTGAGTGACCAGGCGTGTGAGTGACCAGGTGTGTGAGTGACCAGGTGTGTGAGTGACCAGGTGCTGTGAGTGACCAGGTGTGTGAGTGACCAGGTGTGTGAGTGACCAGGTGCTGTGAGTGACCAGGCGTGTGAGTGACCAGGTGTGTGAGTGACCAGGTGAGTGAGTGACCAGGTGCTGTGAGTGACCAGGCGTGTGAGTGACCAGGTGTGTGAGTGACCAGGCGTGTGAGTGACCAGGCGTGTGAGTGACCAGGTGCTGTGAGTGACCAGGTGAGTGAGTGACCAGGTGTGTGAGTGACCAGGTGTGTGAGTGACCAGGTGTGTGAGTGACCAGGTGCTGTGAGTGACCAGGCGTGTGAGTGACCAGGTGAGTGAGTGACCAGGTGCTGTGAGTGACCAGGTGTGTGAGTGACCAGGTGTGTGAGTGACCAGGTGAGTGAGTGACCAGGCGTGTGAGTGACCAGGCGTGTGAGTGACCAGGTGTGTGAGTGACCAGGCGTGTGAGTGACCAGGTGTGTGAGTGACCAGGTGTGTGAGTGACCAGGTGCTGTGAGTGACCAGGCGTGTGAGTGACCAGGTGAGTGAGTGACCAGGTGCTGTGAGTGACCAGGTGAGTGAGTGACCAGGCGTGTGAGTGACCAGGCGTGTGAGTGACCAGGTGCTGTGAGTGACCAGGTGTGTGAGTGACCAGGTGTGTGAGTGACCAGGTGTGTGAGTGACCAGGTGCTGTGAGTGACCAGGCGTGTGAGTGACCAGGTGAGTGAGTGACCAGGTGCTGTGAGTGACCAGGTGTGTGAGTGACCAGGTGTGTGAGTGACCAGGTGAGTGAGTGACCAGGCGTGTGAGTGACCAGGCGTGTGAGTGACCAGGTGTGTGAGTGACCAGGTGAGTGAGTGACCAGGTATGAGTGACCAGGCGTTGTGAGTGACCAGGTGCTGTGAGTGACCAGGTGAGTGAGTGACCAGGTGTGTGAGTGACCAGGTGAGTGAGTGACCAGGTGCTGTGAGTGACCAGGTGCTGTGAGTGACCAGGTGCTGTGAGTGACCAGGTGTGTGAGTGACCAGGTGCTGTGAGTGACCAGGCGTGTGAGTGACCAGGTGTGTGAGTGACCAGGTGCTGTGAGTGACCAGGTGTGTGAGTGACCAGGCGTGTGAGTGACCAGGTGTGTGAGTGACCAGGTGTGTGAGTGACCAGGTGTGTGAGTGACCAGGTGTGTGAGTGACCAGGTGCTGTGAGTGACCAGGTGTGTGAGTGACCAGGTGAGTGAGTGACCAGGTGTGTGAGTGACCAGGTGAGTGAGTGACCAGGTGTGTGAGTGACCAGGCGTGTGAGTGACCAGGTGTGTGAGTGACCAGGTGCTGTGAGTGACCAGGTGCTGTGAGTGACCAGGTGTGTGAGTGACCAGGTGCTGTGAGTGACCAGGTGTGTGAGTGACCAGGTGTGTGAGTGACCAGGCGTGTGAGTGACCAAGTGCTGTGAGAGACCAGGTGTGTGAACACGCGTGTGCCTATGGGGCACGTCGACATACACGTGACCCACCTGTACACACCGATACAAAGATAAATTAAACACGTTCCTGCGGAGGGGGCTGGTAGGAACGTTGGGTTGCTCGGTCAATGGCCAGGGTCAACGGCGGCACCACGTGGTGTATTCCGCAAATATGCCCGACTGTGAGGGCGGGCACAAGCCGGCGTGAGTAGGTTAAACGTTGAGTTTTATAAGGGCACCACGGGGTGACCAGCCCCTCCCCACCCAGCCCCACCCCTCCCCACCCAGCCCCTCCCTCCCCACCCAGCCCCTCCCCACCCTCCCCTCCCCACCCAGCCCCTCCCTCCCCACCCAGCCCCTCCCCACCCTCCCCTCTCCACCCAGCCCCACCCCTCCCATTTTCGGATGCACGACGGACGGACACAATAATCCCCTGTGGGCTGGTGGTGTAACCAGAGGTTCCTACCAGTAAGATATCCCGCATGTCTTTAACATACTCTTAGCGAGCAGCACCTATGAAGGCCAGAACGGCACACGAGGGGGTGGTTGAGCCAGCGCCACGCCCCGTTGCATTTGTCTCCCCAGTGGCGATATTTACACACCATACCAGGTACTCATTTGAGGCTGAGTCGACCTAGAGGAGGCCCAGGACTGGTTAAGATAATCGTCACCGGCGTTGGCCTTGAGCGGGTGACCATAGTGCGAACAGATGTGTCTACAGGTACGGGAATAGGTGTACGTACAGGTTCGCACGTGTGTGTACATGTGTATACAGGTGAGAGTGTGTGTACAGATGAGTGTACATAGCTCAGAGTACAGGTGTGCAGGGGTGTCTTTATTGGTGAGTATACAGGTGTATGCGTACAGGTGTATGCGTACAGGTGTATGCGTACAGACGAGTGTGTATGTGTGTGGTCACATGCGCGTGTACAGGTGTGTGCACTGGCGGGTCTACAAGTGTGTGCGAGTACAGGTGAGTGCGTGTCTGTGCATCACCTCAGGTCCCAACAGCCCAGGCGGACCACGGGGACCACGTCGTCCTAGCATGCCCTGCAACAAAATCCACCATCATGATAATCATCACAATGATCATCATCATTGGCCATCATCAGGATCCCCACCATCGCTACGATCATCATCACGACCACCATCTTCACCGCCTACGATGTGCTTAGTGGCTCAGTGGGGACAGGAAGAGGAGAAAAGGGGGGGGGCACAGTGCCCCACCCTTCCCCCAGCAGGTATCCCCCCTCCCCCTCCCTCCCTACCCACCCCCCAACCCTCAATGTCACCCCCGACCCCCGGCCCGGACCCCACACGGAGTGCTGCTGAGATCTCAGTCGACAACCGAGTACCTGGCGTAGAGTGTAGTGTAGTGAACATTCCCACTAAGGAGACAAAGGCGGCCGGGCGTGGTGCTAGCCACCCACCCCCTCGTGTGCCATGCCGGCCTTCATAGGTGCTGCTCGCTAACAGCACTTACTCCAACGGTCTGTTAAAGGCTCCACGGTGGGATCTTTGTCTTGGTGTTGTTTAATTGCGAATGGAGTGATGAGGCGAGCAATGCGAGGGTAATCATTATGGGTTGGTGTCCGATATAGGGGCCCCTGAATCAAACACGGAGGTCTGCAGGCCAAACAGCCGCGAGGCAATATCTGGCGCACATTGCACGATAATAACCACCACCACCACCATCATCATCATCCATCATCATCAAGGCCATTACAGAGAGAGACCTCTCCATCCGGTGTGCGCGTTTCAAGGATGAGCGAGCAAAAGCGCACGGAGCGCAGGGCACACGTGGTGCGTGTTCATGTGTGGAGCGGTGGCGCAGTGGTTAGCGCACTGCACTACGAACTCGGGGGACTAACGTTCTATTCTCCCTTCCTTGGGTTCGAATGAGCCTTAAAAACGATGTCCTGGCGTGGTGTGTCAACATCAACATTGCGGAGACAGAGGCGATCGGGCGGGGTCCTGGCTACCCACCCCTCGTGTGCTGTGACATCCATCATTCGGTGCTTGCTAACAGCACTCGTCCAAAGAGTCTGTAAAAGGCTCTATGGGGGATCTTTGCTGTTGTACACCTGTGTGTGTGGGGAGCGGTGGGCGCAGTGGTTGTTGCACCGCGCAACCAACTCTCCGGCCGGGCGTGGTTCTGGCCACACCGCTCCCTCTTCTGCCGTGCCGGCCTTAGTAGCTTCATCGGTGCTATTCGCTAGCAGCACTAGCCCCAAGAGCCTGCTAAAGGCTATAGGGGGGATATTTGTGCGTATGCATTTTGTGTATACTTGTGTGTGCGCACGTGTGTGTGTGTGCGCACGTGTGGTGGAGCGATCCGTACCGGCATTCCGTATCCCCCAGGGAATCCTTCGTCTCCGTCACTGCCCTGGGGACGACAGAGGGCGAGACGGGATTGGTATTTACCCTGCAGGAGAGCCACAGCGAGTCTTGAGGCTCGCTCTCAGGAGGACCCTGCTGCTGCTGTGGGGGGTTTGGCCGGCGACAACCCAGCGACGCGCCGTACAGGAAGGGATAACGCTCGAAGCCATGCACAGATGGATTCACGAAGCAACTTGCCGTGCTGCTGCTGTTTCTCCACGGAGAAAAGTCAGCACGCGTACAATGGCAAACCGATTCATTTCGGCCGGGCCAGATCCGAAGTTGGCATCCCGGAAAATGTTTCTGTACCCGGCACATCACGTCTAGTATACACCCCTCGGTGTATGGCCGTGGCCACCGACACTGCGTGGGGATTTCTTCATCCAGCAGTGGACTGACAAAGAGCTGCACATTTCGATTTAAAGCTTTCGTGACTGCAAGGATTCATCTTCTTTGGTTCTTTCGGTAAAGTCACGTAAGCTGCACATTGTTTATCATTTCAGTTTATAATATGAAGTATTACTCCGAGCGTCTTTTCTTTGTAATATTTCCAGTAATTCTTTGTAAACTTCAGAGTGGCCAAAGAGCGACTCTGGCCGAGTGTAAAGACGGCTCCGTGGCCCGTGTCACCCACTTTGCTCTCGGCAACAGTACGGGCGATAATTACGGGGGGGGGGGTGGGAGTAGAATGATTGGGGGGGGGGAGGGCGCATCGACTGCCATTCACACGTTACTGAGCGAGCCGTGGTGACAGTAGCAATGTCTCCCCCTCGCCCATCTACTCCCCACAGACACAGATCTCCCGGGTAGCCTTAACAGACTGTTGGGGCAAATGTTGTTAGCGAGTAGCAGCTATGAAGGCCGGCACGGCACACGAGGGGGTGGGTGGGTGGCCAGCACCGCACCCAGCCGCATCAACTGAGGCCGAATCGACCTGAATGAGACATCGGCCAACGATATTGGCTGTGTACTCGGGTTGCCGGGTTCGTAGCGCAGCGCGCTAACCGCTCCACAACCGCTCCCTACAACACCGCACTTAACACCCCCGCGACACTCCCACTCACACTCCTACTCACACTCCCACTCACACTCCCACTCACACTCCCACTCACACTCCCACTCACACTCCCACTCCCACTCACACTCCCACTCACACCCCCACTCACACTCCCACTCACACTCCCACTCACACTCACACTCCCACTCACACTCCCACTCCCACTCACACTCCCACTCACACCCCCACACAACAACGCCGTTCATCGCTCAGTGGCGGTGGCGTCACCACGGTGCTTGTGCCAGGCTAGGTGCACTTTGAGGCCGCGTGGAGTGTTGAAGGCTCGCTGGCAGGAGGCCACGGGACAGACCCAGCAGGTGCCATGGGTTGACTTACTGATATGACCCGCAGATGTACCAGCTGTGCTCCCCACTGTGGCAACTCTCTGTGTTTTAACTGCCTGGCGCTCCGCTCGCTGTTGTGAGCGTCGCTCCTCTGCCCTCCGCTGTTGCTGGAGGGCGACTGCCTGCAACTACCCAGCAGCAGCAGCGGCGTCCTTCGCGAGCCTCCCCCTCCACAGAGGCCGAGCTTGGCACTGCTGGTACCGGTCATCGGCAAGTCCATTCAGCTCCACATCCTCCTGTACCACATCACTCCATCTCTTCTCTACACCCCACACACCCCCACACCCCCACACACACCCACACACACACCCACACACCCACACCCCCACACACCCCCACACACCCCCACACACCCACACACCCACACACCCCCACACCCACACACCCCCACACACCCCCCCCACACACCCCCACACCCCCACACCCCCACACACCCCCACACACCCCCACATCCCCCCACACACACCCCCACACACCCCCACACACCCACACACCCACACACCCCCACACCCACACACCCCCACACACCCCCCCCCACACACCCCCACACCCCCACACCCCCACACACCCCCACACACCCCCACATCCCCCCACACACACACCCACACACCCCCACACGCCACCCTCGTGCTCGAGTCGCGAGTCGCCCTTCCCCACGTGTGCCGGTTCCCATGGCGCTGTGCCGAGTTTGCTTCTGTTTGGCAGCTCACGGGGGGAGGAGGGGGGCGGGTCGGGGGGGGGCTCTAGAGGGCGGGGGGTGAGTTCCGGAACTCCCCCCCCCCCCCCATAATTGGCGTTACCTTTAATCCCTTCTCGCCTTTATCGCCAGGCGGGCCTCTCACTCCACGGAGACCCTGCACGCACAGACACACACGCACAGACACACACGCACAGACGCACACGCACAGACGCACACGCACAGACACACACGCACAGACACACGCACAGACACACGCACAGACACACGCACAGACACACGCACAGACACACGCACAGACACACACAGACACACACACACACGTACAGACACAGACGCACAGACACACACGCACAGACACACACGCACAGACACACACGCACAGACACACACGCACAGACACACACGCAGCCACACACACAGACACACAGACAAACACCGACACACACAGACACACACAGACAAAGAAAAAGATCAAAGATCCCCCATATAGCCTTAACAGACTGTAGGGGCAAGTGCTGTTAGCGAGCACCTATGAAGGCCGGTAACGGTACACGAGGGGGTGGGTGGCCAGCACCACGCCCGACCGCCTTTGTCTCCCTAGTGGCAATGTTTACACACTGCACCAGGTAGTCATTTGAGGCTGAGTCGACCTAGGGGAGGCCCGGGACCGGTTAAGAAAATCGTCACTGGTGTTGGCCGTGAGCGGGAATCGAACCCGTGTCACCGGGTTCATAGCGCAGCGCGCTAACCGCTACACTATCGCTCCCCACACACACAGACACACGCACACAGACACACACACAGACACACACAGACACACACATACACAGACACACACACAGATAGACGCACACACAGACATACACACAGAAAGACATACACACAGACACACACACAGACAGACACACACGTAGACACACACACAGACACACACACAGATAGACGCACACACAGACATACACACAGAAAGTCATACACACAGACACACACACAGACGGACACACGCAGACACACACAGACAGACACACACACAGACACAGACACACACCGACAGACACACACACAGACACACACACAGACACACACAGACAAACACCGACACACACAGACACAAACACCGACACACACACAGACACACACACAGACACACACACAGACACACACACAGACACACACACAGACACACACACAGACACACACACAGACACACACACAGACACACACACAGACACACACACAGACACACACACACACACAAACACACACACAGACACACACACAGACACACACAGACACAAAGATAAAAGATCTCCCGTATAGCCTTAACAGACTGTAGGGGCAAGTGCTGTTAGCGAGCACCTATGAAGGCCGGAACGGTACACGAGGGGGTGGGTGGCCAGCACCACGCCCGACCGCCTTTGTCTCCCTAGTGACGATGTTTACACACCGCACCAGGTACTCATTTTTTGAGGCTGAGTCGACCTAGGGGAGGCCCAGGACCGGTTCAGATAATCGTCACTGGTGTTGGCCGTGAGCGGGAATCGAACCCGGGTCGCCAGTGAGCGGGAATCGAACACGGGTCGCCAGGTTCATAGCGCAGCGCGCTAACCGCTACACCACCGCTCCCCACACACACAGACACACACAGACACACACACACAGACACACACACAGACACACACACAGACACACACACACACAGACACACAGACACACACACACAGACACACAGACACACACACAGACACACAGACACACAGAAACACACACACAGGCTTCGGGTTGTCTTACCGCAAAACCTTTCTGCCCCTTGCGTCCCTTGTCCCCTGAGTATCCTTGAGGACCCTGCCAGGGAAAGTGGGCCAGGCAGGGGAGGGGATACGGGGGGTGGCAGAGATGCAAAGGTCATAAGGTCATTGGGTCTTTACACGAATAATGTGGCGATGATGATGACGCTGCTACTGCGTTGGCAGTGGCGCACAAGCTTAATCAATTAATTAATTGAAACACAACACGGTCGTGAACAACGCTGTATGCAGTCTTAAAAGCAAAAGTATACAAAAGGCGACGTTCCGGGCTATAGCCCTAATCCCTCAAAGCTCGTGGATAGAGAGGCCAGTCGAGAGACTGATATGATGATAAGAGTGAGACACTGGATTGGTTTACACCGTGGAAGGGCCTGATGGCAATTCAGCGTTGAAGCCACTTCAGTTATTGACCCAGTCGTGTAAATAGGCAAATGAGTAGTTGCACTATCAGTCGCTATCGAGTAACAGACAAACCCCCTTTAATAATTGCGACGTATTTGCTGCTAAAGAAACTCATCTTTATATATATAAATATTACCAGTAAAATATCGTGCAGGGCTGTTGGCGCATTGTACCGCACAGCCCCAGTGCCAAGTGGGAACGAGGCTTTGTCTTCTACACGACTCCTTGAATGGCAGCAGTAGGCCATGAGGTCATTGTACTTCCTGACCCCAGCTAGGGGTGAAGGCGCAGCCCTGGGGCATTTGGCCTACTCTTCCTCGGAAGGGGTGGGAGTAGCCACCCTTTACCCCACCGCACGCGACCCATGCACACTGCTGGGTGGTGGGACGCAGGCGCGGGGGGTGGGGAGGACGCGGATTTAAGAAACTTGCCCCATTACTTAAACTGCTGCGCAGGGAGACGGGGTGGAGCCGGTGTGGTCAGGTCACCAACCATCATCACACCGCGCACCATCCCCTGTGCGCTGCCGCCGCCGCATTGCGTTGCGTTCATTTGGGAGGGGGGGCGGCGTGCTTCGGGGGTAGGGGACAGGGGGCCAGGACCCCTTACCGTGTCCCCGGGGACTCCTCGGGGTCCCGCGCGTCCATTCACCCCTGGGGTCCCCTGCGAGGCGGAGCGACCCGGGGGCCCAGGTCTCCCAGGGGGTCCAACGGGGCCCTGCAACGGGGAGCACAAAGCGAGAGGGTTCAGTCGCTGTGCTCCCCCCTTTGCTGCTGCCGAGTTGCGGCGATGACTCTGTGTGGAGGGTCGGGGGGAGCGAGGGGGTAAGGGGCGCACGGTGCATCCCGCTTTCTACCTCTTTCCCCGGGTCCCCTCTGAGCCCCTCTGGCCCCCGCTCCCCATCAGGCCCCTGTGAAGGAGAAAGGGCCTTGTCAGTCGAACCTCCATCATCATCATCGACACCACGACCACTGCTGTCACGATCACCGCCAGCATGATGAGTACAATCATCATCAGCAGCCACTATCATTTTCTTCATTGACATTACAGTAAAATTACCACCAGCACCATTATCAACACTGCTGTCATAACTATTTTTGTAATTTTACCATCACATCACCATCATCAACATCCTCCACATAATTGCCACTACCAACACTGCTATCATCATAATCCTCATCATAATAAGTAATATTCATCATCAATAATCATGACGATATCTATCAACATGACCACCACCACTACCACTATCGTCATCATTAACATTACTACCACCGCTGTCATCATCGTCACTCTCAGCAGTACCAACACCAATCACATCATCACCACGGTCATCCACGAGCACCACCACCACCATGAGTCATGGAGTCATCGTCTGTGGACTAGGTGCGCTGGTTATTCACTTGGGTCACACCGCAGGTGACACGCACAGCCTCCCCGCCGCCTGTGTCACAGTCAGAGGTCATTCCCTAAACACCCCAACAACAACAGCTCTACAGGAAAGGGCGCAGATAAGCATGGTGAGAACCACGCCTGAGTTTGCACCGAGAGACGGTGAGAGGAGCACGTGGCTTAGAGGATACACGCGGGCGAGAGACACCATCATCACGTCGGCTGACAACATCTGACAAATAAAAAAACCCCACGTGGCAGCAGCAGGAGCCACAGCGAGTCGTCTCGTGAGTAAATAAATAAACAACGCAACAAGTGAACTGATTGACGTGTGGAGGCTCAGAGCCGGAGTTATCTGCTCGTTGGGTCTGCACGAATCTTACATGGCGCGTGGAGGGGGGGAGTAATCGCCGTAATTACCACGCGGTCACATCCGCTGGGGAGCCGGGGACGCGATGGCTCCACTTTATTAGGGGGAGGGGCGGTGGGGGAGAGGGGGGGACAATTATCCCGACTCCCCGCGCCTGTCTCTCACCCGCAGCCTGGCCCGGGACAGTCTCCAGCACCGAGACTCACGAAGCCAAATCGATGATGATGATGATGGTGGTGGCAACAGCCCGGCACGCGCGCGTCCTCAGGACGTGACCGTCCGAGCCAGCCAGCAAAACTTTTTTTTTAGTACAGAAAGATAAAATATTATCATACGGCTCGATAATAGTTGAGTGCATTTGGTATTGACGCCGCCATCGTTGCTACAGCGCAGGGCGGTTGCAGGGGGGCGATGTTGCAGTGTGCCGCCATCGCTCTTCGGGGGAACATTTCGAACATGGCAAATTTTGGACAATTGGCCGACGACTCGTTTCGAATGACGTCACGGGATCACCAACGTGCACGGTGAAGGGGGTGGCGAGTCGTGTTTTTATCCTTCATGCTCCCGCGTATTCACCAGGGTGGCCTTTCTGACGCGAACCGCGGCAACAATTTGCGAACGTGCTACCTCTGTGCCATCGCGTCACCACCACGTGCAGGGACTCCTCCTCTGTTTTGACTGCTGCAGGGCCGGTGGCGTAAATTCCACGTTCCTTTGACGAGGACCATGCTATCCATATGATAACCGTTGTTGACTTACCCACTAAGTGGCAATATTTTTCTCGATGCCGGAGAGAGAGAGATATCATGGGATGATGAGTCAAATCCCCAACCAAGATTTTAACTCGTTACCTTGGGATTGCAAGCCGCACGCTCTGCCGCTGAGTCACGTGGCTGGGTGTTCTCTATCTGAGTCACGTGGCCGGGTGTGCTCTATCTGAATCACGTGGCCGGGTGTGCTCTATCTGAGTCACGTGGCCGGGTGTGCTCTATCTGAGTCACGTGGCCGGGTGTGCTCTATCTGAATCACGTGGCCGGGTGTGCTCTATCTGAGTCACGTGGCAGGGTGTGAACTCTCTGCTATGACGCACGGGTTAGACACGTGGTCACCAACGACACAATGGATTAACAAAAATAGTTCGCAACGAAGCACGGACGCGCGCCTGGGACCAATGGCGTCAATCAAACTGTGAAGCAAAGCGAGGCATGGGCAGAACGCGTCACGGCCAGACGGTACGATGGAGGCCAAGGTCGAGACTAACAACGGAGCAGCAGCTAAAGGAATGGAACGCCTGCCGAGAGGACGTCCACCGAGATGTAGCGCTGTAATCAGTCGTGAGAGGCGGTGGCGGCTTAACGAGGCCTCCATCCAGCAGTGGATTGACCACGGCTGATTGACGATGACGACCATGGGAGAATGGCACTGCATGCGGAGCGAAACGTCGGACAACGTTGCCAATCAACAACAGCACCGCGCCGTAACATCCCGAGATCGTGGTCTCGTGGCGTCGAGAAGGTGGCCCGCGATAAAAAAAAAAAACTTGGAGGAAATTATAAAATAAAAATATAACGATGGCGTTGACACCGGTTGAACTGTGATGGTGAATGTCGGAGGTTGTGTTTGTGGGGGGCAGGGGAGGGTGTTCTTACGGGGGGCCCGGGAAGGCCCTGAAATCCCGGAGGCCCCGCCTCTCCTTTCCTCTGCCAATCAAAAGACGGAACGAGAGAGGATTCGGTGAAATCATCATTATCATCAAACATCCTCATCACCTAATAATTTACTCCCCTACATCATCACCACCTGCAGCAAAGTCGCTAACTATATTATCACAATCACCACCACCATTATCGCCCAGGGCAGGTTCAACTAATTACTTTACAGGCAACTAACTATCATGACACAGATCCCCCGGATAGCCAGAACGGACTTTTGGGGAAAGTGCTGCTAGAGAGCACCGATGGAGGTTGGCACGGCACACGAGGGGGTGATTCACATTTAAAATGTACAATGTAATTTATTTTAGCTGGAAGGGCCCATGAAGCTGTTTGCCTCTATTGGAACATATTTTATACAATACAGATATCAGTAACAATCATCACCACCATCACCATCACCACCATCACCACGGGATGGGAGTCACAACTCACTGGCCAGCCCGTGGACAGCACGCGGTAGAAGGGGGTTCTCTGTGAGCACAGGGGAGGGAGAATGACATCACCACCATCGCTTTTATCACATCAACATCATCACCACCACCACCACCATCACCACCATCGCTTTTATCACATCAACATCATCATCACCACCACCGATGGCCGTCACGGCCTGACACGGCCATCAATTATCTGACATCGCCATCACTATCACCGCTGCCGCCACCACCACCACCAGCATAATCATCATCGCCACTGCCATCAACATCACCATCAACATCATCGCCATCACTATCACCGCTGCCGCCACCACCACCACCAGCGTAATCATCATCGCCACTGCCATCAACATCACCATCAACATCATCGTCATCGCCACAACCTGCCACTGTCCTGTAATCATCATGATCATCACCACCAGCATCAGCATCACCACTAGCCACCATCGTCGTCAACATCACTATCGGCGATGTCTGTCACTGTCTGGCGTCACCATCACAAATCACCTTCCCTGCCAACACCATCATCATCATCGCCACCAACATCACAACTACATCTTCATCATCATCGCCGACATTAGTGTCATGAATACCACCACCATCACCACCATCGCTCTCAACTCACCAAGAACTCCTCCCACTCTTCTAGGGAGTGGCTCCAGATGAGGAAGGTGGGGGGGCCTGGGGGGCCCGGGGGGCCGTATGCCCCCGTCATCCCCACTCGCCCGGGGGGGGCCCTCATCCCCCTACAGGTGGGCGTGGGTTGGTGGGGGGGAGAGGGGAAGGGAGAAAGTAGAGAGGAAGAGAGAGAGAGTGAGGAGAGAGCAGAGAGAGGTGTGAGAGAGGGAGGTGTGAGAGAGAGATGGAGGAGAGAGCAGAGAGAGGTGTGAGAGAGAGTGAGGAGAGAGAGAGTGAGGAGAGAGCAGAGAGAGGTTTGAGAGAGGGGGAGAGAGATGGAGGAGAGAGCAGAGAGAGGGAGAGAGTGGGGGAGAGAGAGGAAGGGGGGAGCAGAGACAGAGAGGGTGAGAGAGAGTGAGGAGAGAGCAGAGAGAGGTGTGAGAGAGAGGGGGAGAGAGATGGAGGACAGAGCAGAGATAGGTGTGAGAGAGAGGGGGAGAGAGAGAGTGAGGAGAGAGCAGAGAGAGGTGTGAGAGAGGGAGGTGTGAGAGAGATGGAGGAGAGAGCAGAGAGAGGTGTGAGAGAGAGGGGGAGAGAGATGGAGGAGAGAGCAGAGAGAGAGAGGGGAAGAGAGATGGAGGAGAGAGCAGAGAGAGGGAGAGAGAGAGAGGGGGAGAGAGATGGAGGAGAGAGCAGAGAGAGGGAGAGAGAGAGAGGGGGAGAGAGATGGAGGAGAGAGCAGAGACAGAGAGGGTGAGAGAGAGTGAGGAGAGAGCAGAGAGAGGTGTGAGAGAGGGCGGTGTGAGAGAGATGGAGGAGAGAGCAGAGAGAGGTGTGAGAGAGGGAGGTGTGAGAGAGATGGAGGAGAGAGCAGAGAGAGGTGTGAGAGAGGGAGGTGTGAGGGAGAGTGAGGAGAGAGCAGAGAGAGGGAGAGAAAGGGGGAGAGAGATGGAGGAGAGAGCAGAGACAGAGAGGGTGTGAGAGAGTGAGAAGAGAGCAGAGAGAGATGTGAGGGAGGGAGGTGTGAGAGAGATGGAGGAGAGAGCAGAGAAAGGTGTGAGAGAGAGGGGGAGAGAGATGGAGGAGAGAGCAGAGAGAGGTGTGAGAGAGATGGGGAGAGAGAGAGTGAGGAGAGAGCAAAGAGAGGTGTGAGAGAGAGTGAGGCGAGAGAGTGAGGAGAGAGATGGAGGAGAGAACAGAGAGAGAGGGAGGGGAAGGAGAGAGAAGGGGGGGGGGCGACTGTTATGAGCATTGCCTCGACTCAACCCTGCGAGCCCCAATGAGCTCCCTCGGCCACCTCGACACCACCAGAGCCGCCACGGCTCGCTGGGCGCTGAGGTGAGGGGGTGGGGCTCCGAGTCCACATGAATGGGGTCTCTTCATGGGGGGGAGGCATGGTGGGAGTCTCACCTTGTCCCCTTTCTCGCCCATCTCTCCCTCGGTACCCTGCAGAGTAGAGAAGCGTAACGAGAAATGAAATACAGTCTAGAATGTAGACTGTAGGAATGTAACTTATACAGCTACCCTGTGACGTCGTTATCTGATCATAATTATGCTCATTATCAGCAGTATACTATGATGAATACACGTGTTATTTTGATTATGTTTTGATAAATTACCATAATCATCACAATGATCACATTCAGCGTTTCTGTTATATTGGTTCACATGCTTAGGGTTAACCACAAACACCATGGCATCGTCATTACAATTCAATATATTGATACCACGATTGTCACCACAATTAATATTCGTGCCGTCCTTAATTAAATTTATAAAATTATCAATAATGTACTAATCATCAGCATCATCGTAACTTTATAATAACTGTAATCATTTATACATTACTGTTATAATTATAATCATCATCAATAATCCATAATACATGTTTTTTGGGGTTAGATCGTGTCAATATATAAATGTGTCGTTAAACCTGCCACCACCCGACACAGCCAACTAGTAAGGGTTGTCACGTAAACAGAACGTGGCCAATTCGTCACTAGTACAGCACACCAGTTGTGTGTTGGAGAGCCAAGCCACAACATTTACAAACCGAGTACGACGTTTCGCCAGTAATTACAACTAGCTTCATCAGGCGCCAGACAGATTTGTGGCGGGTTTAACGATACATTTATATATTTACGCGATCTAACCCCAAAAACCTGGATTATAGATGATATCGGTAGTGAAAGCCTCCATGTTAAACATTAATAACATTATATTCTTAGTTCTTTCAGCAAAGTCACGCTGAAGGGAAACAACAAAATAATAAAATATATATAAAACAATACAAATTCTCACGACGTTTCGACCACAACACAAACGGTCGTCTTCAGGTGTGTTGGTTTGCATAAATTTATTTTTAAACGGTGCATTTATTTATTTATAAAAAAAAACGTTAGCGCCACGTGCAGCGATTTGGCAGTTTATTTAGGACTAGTCCATCTATATTTATTAATAACATTGCTTTATCATGAGCAGCATTATCGTCAATACTTTATCACAACTTTTATTATCAACATCATTACTTTCGTAAATGTTATCATTATCACTATGATCAAATAAACAATTATGATTATCATCAATATAGTACTGATATCATGATTGTCATTTATTATCACTCTGATCATGATTGAAAAGGTGATGGTGCTCGTGATGATGGCATTATCACGAGCATCACCATCATCATCATAATTATCACTATCATCACCATTACAATCATCACCATCACCATTAACAATCATCACCATCACCGTTAACAATCATCACCATTAACAATCATCACCATCACCATTAACAATCATCACCATCACCATTACAATCATCACCATCACCATTACAATCATCACCATCACCATTAACAATCATCACCATCACCATTAACAATCATCACCATTAACAATCATCACCATTAACAATCATCACCATCACCATTAACAATCATCACCATCACCATTAACAATCATCACCATCAACAATCATCACCATTAACAATCATTACCATCACCATTAACAATCATCACCATTAACAATCATCACCATTAACAATCATCACCATCACCATTAACAATCATCACCATCACCATTAACAATCATCATCATTAACAATCATCACCACCACTCGCCCGTCCTCACACACGGGGCACGCAGCGTCACTGATCACGTGGCGTGTTACCCGTGATCCTGGGGGTCCGCGGGACCCCGACGCCCCAGGGGGGCCCCGCTTCGGCGACAGGACGAGGGGGCGCCGTTCGGGAGGCTCCGTGGGTTCTTCTGGCTCGCCGGGGTCATTGGGATCACAGAGGTCTCTGGGTTCCATGGGGTCACCGAGTGGTTCGCTGACGTCACAGGGATCGGCGGGGTCACGGGAGTCGGGCGAATCGGCCGAATCCTTGGCTTCATTGGAGTCATTGAGTTCATTGGGGTCACACAAGGAATTGGGTTCACACGGGCACTTGGGGTCATTGGGGTCGCACTGGTCAGCAGGGTCACTGAGTTCATTGGGGTCAAATGGGCAATTGGGGTCACTTGTGTCGCAGGGGTCACTGGGTTCATTGGGGTCAAATGGACAGTTGGGGTCGCAGGGGTCACTGAGTTCATTTGGGTCCAATGGACAGTTGGAATCATTGGGGTCGCATGGTTCAACGGGGTCACTGAGTTCATTGGGGTCAAATGGACAGCGTGGGTCACTGGGGTCACATGGGTCAGCCTGGTCACTGAGTTCATTGAGATCAAATGGACAGTTGGGGTCACTGGGGTCGCAAGGGTCAGCGGGGTCTTTGAGTTCACAGTTGGGGTCGCCGGGGTTACAGGAGTTGGGGTCGCTGAGATCGAATTGAAATCCCTTCTGGGTCCCCGGGAGGTCGTCTAGACCCGCGAATTCTTGGTGGCCCGTCCCATCTCTCCATGCGCCGTCAACCCCCATTGCGAACGCCGCGCGCCGAGGGAGTCGGACCCGGCGAGGTCCGGACAACAAAGGGGACTCCTGGCGAAGCGAAGGGGGATCCCCTTGCCAGCGGGGGTCTGGAGCGCGCAGGGGGTCGCGTCCCGGCCGGCACGGGGGTAGGCTGGGGGTCAGCGTTGGGGTGAGCGCGGGGGGTGGACGATAGTCGAGTGGCGACTCCTCTTCCTAGAGACACGAACACCAACATCGTCATCATCAACATCATCATGAGCACCAAGAGAAGCATCATAATCACCTTGGTTCACCATCACCTTACATTCGAGCTCACGTGACCCCTGCTGTGGAGCCCTCTGTCACTGCACAGCGCCGTCTCCCATGCTCGCTTCTGCTGCCCAGCCGTCGATCGCCGCCGCCGTTGCTGCTGCTGCTGCAGCTGCCAGCCGTGTCACATTTGGTCGAATGTACTCTGCTGGTGACCCACTGTGCAGTCCTTCAGGAACTGATGATGGTTGAGTTTTGTTTGCATGCTGCTGCTGCTGCTGCTCCTGCTGCTGCTGTGGTTTGGAACTCGTGGGCCCCCCCCCCCCAGCAGTCGTCGTGGGGCGCGGCGACCCCCTCTTCCTTCCCCCCCTCCTCCCCCCCTCCCCCTCCTCCTCCTCCTCCTCCCCCTCCTCCCCTCCCCCCTCCCCCTCCTCCCCCCCTCCCCCTCCTCCCCCTCCTCCCCCTCCCCCCCTCCCCCTCCTCCTCCTGTGGGATTTCCTCGCCGTGCCCGCACGCGGTTCGAGAGAGCGACGCCGGGGGAGGGGGCGGGGGCACGCGATAGGGGGGGGCATGCGGGGGGGGCACGGGGGGGGGCACGCGAGGCAACGGCAGCGCACGCGGCCTCGCCGGGCCACACGGGGATGGCCGTGGGGGCCGTGGGGGGCCGTGGGGGGCCGCTGGTCGCGACGTGACACCGGTAGTGGGGGGGGCCCGTGAGTCTCCATGTGCCCGCTTCTCTCTCCGTCCAGACCCCACCAGACACGCAGCTTCAGGCTGGAGTCTCGCGCACATGGCCTGGTCGCTCCGCGAGTTGTGGTTGTTGTTGTTGTTTATCCCGCTCCTTCACCCAGCAAGGGTCTCACTGAGTCACACACGAGACTCTTCTTCTTCTTCAGGGGGCTCCTGCCAAATGGTCGCGGTAGAGGGGCGCGTTGTTGTTGCTGCTGCTGCTGTGTACACCCGGTCGAGTGATTTGCAGGGACTCGTTCAGCATTGGAATGTGTTTGGGCCATTACCGGTCGCGCCGCAGAGCAGGCAGAGAGAGAACTCCTCCAGACCCCACACAGAACACAGAACGGCGCCCGAGTCGGCAATCGAACCCAGACCCCTTCGTGCTGCGAGGCGCGAGTGTCGCCACTACGGCCACACCGCCCTCCCCATCGTGACCCCCCACCCCCGTTGAGACGCAGACGGAGCCGGTGCGTCAACGCTTTCAACACCACGCGTGTGGTCAAAACGACCTCGCGTGTGTGTGGCACGACCCTCTCGAACATTAGTCGTGAGACTCTGAGTGGGGGGCACGCTACGGCCGCAGTCCGCGCCGCGGTGGCGTCAGCGGAGCGCGAGAGCGGTGCGCTGATGCCGCGAGACGCCTCTCACCTGAGCGGCGCGTGATCCACCAACCCCCAGGGCCCACAGGGTGAGCAGCAGCAGCAGGAGGAGGAGGAGGAGAGGGAGCCACAGCGAGGCCCGGGATCTTTGACCGCGCCTCGCTGTGCCCCCTCGCGCCGCACCCGGAATCCAACTCATGTCTCAGTGACTCCTCGGGCGGATCAACTCCACATTCCCAGACAGCCGTCCTTGCACGAGACTCGTCGTGTGTCTATGTGTGTGTCTATGTCTTTGTCTATGTGTGTCTATGTGTGTCTATGTGTGTGTCTATGTGTGTGTCTATTTGTGTGTCTATGTGTGTGTCTATGTGTGTCTATGTGTGTGTCTGTGTGTGTCTATTTGTGTGTCTATTTTTGTGTGTCTATTTGTGTGTCAATGTGTGTGTCTATGTGTGTGTCTATGTGTGTGTCTATTTGTGTGTCTATTTGGGTGTCTATTTGTGTGTCTATGTGTTTGTCTATGTGTGTCTATGTGTGTGTCTGTGTGTGTCTATTTTTGTGTCTATTTTTGCGTGTCTATTTGTGTGTCAATGTGTGTGTCTATGTGTGTGTCTATGTGTGTGTCTATGTGTGTCTATGTGTTTGTCTATGTGTGTGTCTATTTGTGTGTCTATGTGTGTGTCTATGTGTGTGTCTATGTGTTTGTCTATTTGTGTGTCTATTTGTGTGTCTATGTGTGTGTCTATTTGTTTGTCTATGTGTGTGTCTATTTGTGTGTCTATTTGTGTGTCTATGTGTGTGTCTATGTGTGTGTCTATTTGTGTGTCTATGTGTGTGTCTATGTGTGTGTCTATGTGTGTCTATGTGTGTGTCTGTGTGTGTCTATTTGTGTGTCTATTTTTGTGTGTCTATTTGTGTGTCAATGTGTGTGTCTATGTGTGTGTCTATGTGTGTGTCTATTTGTGTGTCTATTTGGGTGTCTATTTGTGTGTCTATGTGTTTGTCTATGTGTGTCTATGTGTGTGTCTGTGTGTGTCTATTTTTGTGTCTATTTTTGCGTGTCTATTTGTGTGTCAATGTGTGTGTCTATGTGTGTGTCTATGTGTGTGTCTATGTGTGTCTATGTGTTTGTCTATGTGTGTGTCTATTTGTGTGTCTATGTGTGTGTCTATGTGTGTGTCTATGTGTTTGTCTATTTGTGTGTCTATTTGTGTGTCTATGTGTGTGTCTATTTGTTTGTCTATGTGTGTGTCTATTTGTGTGTCTATTTGTGTGTCTATGTGTGTGTCTATGTGTGTGTCTGTGTGTGTCTATTTGTGTGTCTATGTGTGTGTCTATTTGTGTGTCTATGTGTGTGTCTATGTGTGTGTCTATGTGTGTGTCTATTTGTGTGTCTATGTGTGTCTATGTGTTTGTCTATGTGTGTGTCTATTTGTGTATATATGTGTGTGTCTATGTGTGTGTCTATTTGTGTGTCTATGTGTGTCTATTTGTGTGTCTATGTGTGTCTATTTGTGTGTCTATTTGTGTGTCTATGTGTGTGTCTGTTTGTGTGTCTATGTGTTTGTCTATTTGTGTGTCTATGTGTGTGTCTATTTGTGTGTCTATGTGTGTGTCTGTTTGTGTGTCTATGTGTGTGTCTGTTTGTGTGTCTATCTGTTTGTCTATTTGCGTGTCTATTTGCGTCTATTTGTGTGTCTATGTGTGTCTATGTGTGTGTCTATTTGTGTGTCTACGTGTGTGTCTATGTGTGTGTCTATTTGTGTGTCTATGTGTGTGTCTATTTGTGTGTCTGTGTGTGTCTATGTGTGTGTCTATTTGTGTGTCTATGTGTTTGTCGATGTGTCCGTCCGTTTGTCCTCCTTGACTTGAGTGGTGTCGGTCCCTGACCATCAGTCCCGCCTGCCTGCTGACTTGCCGGTCACTCAGTCAGTCCGCCTGCCTGCCTACCGGTCACTCACTCAGTTAGTCCGCCTGCCTGCCTGCCGGTCTGCCAGTCACTCACTCACTCAGCCAGTCCGCCTACCTGCCTGCCTGCCTGCCGGCCTGCCAGTCACTCACTCAGTCAGTCCGCCTGCCTGCCTGCTGGTCACGCAGTCAGTCCGCCTGCCTGCCTGCCTGCCTTCCGGCCTGCTGGTCACTCAGTCAGTCAGTCCGCCTGCCTACCTGCCGGCCTGCCAGTCACTCACTCAGCCAGTCAGTCCGCCTACCTGCCTGCCTGCCTGCCGGCCTGCCAGTCACTCACTCAGTCAGTCCGCCTGCCTGCCTGCTGGTCACGCAGTCAGTCCGCCTGCCTGCCTGCCTGCCGGCCTGCTGGTCACTCAGTCAGTCAGTCCGCCTCCACTGCCTGTCCGTCTGTGTGGGTCTCTGCGCTCGCCTGTCCACGTGCACCGCGCGGGCACGCCTCGAGCGTAGACGGAGCGGGAAGAGATCCCGAGGAGAGGAGGGAGGAGGAGGGGGAGGAGGGAGATAATGAGGGAGGGGAGTTAATGACCACTTGAGAAGGGACTCGCTCCGCCCTCCCACACTAACTCTACCCCCAGCCCATTACGAGCGGGGGTGATGGAGGGGGCAGGCGACCTGGGGGGGGGGGGGGGGGGGAGCGGTGGGATGGTGGTTGGGGATGGCCACCAAGAGTAACGTGGGAGGATCTTCCCAGTAATTCATAATTAATCGCGGCGATTAAGACATTCTCTGTGGTTTATGCGCAACCACGAATTAATAATAACATCCCGCCAGCATCGCCCACTGCCTCTCACACAGAGCGCAGAGCTATTGAGGTTTATTATTTATTATTGTATGTATGTGTCCACTAGAGCCGCACGGAGTCGCAGGACGAGGAGGCGGCTGCGGCTGCTGCTGCCACATTGGGTGTTTATTTTACGATGTTGTTCATCCAATGAATGATGAGTCGTGTTTATTATTCTTCACGTGGGAAGGAACCAGGAGATAACCCCACGCCTATCCCCGTACAGACGGAATAACCAGCTGGCGACTATCCCACTTGCTGTGCCGCCTTCTACCTGGTGAGCCGGGGCACGCTCCTCCTCGACACCCATGCTCGGGAATGGCACTTTCACACCCCATCTGTGCGATCCACCAACCCTGGCTGCTGCCTCCACGGTACTGGGTTACACAGGCCACGTGCAGCTTGGCCACCACCACGCTGTGCGCACACGGTAGTGCACTGCTTCGACACGGGCTGCCCAACCTCCATCGATTGGCCCTAGCGGACTCCCGTTAACTAGGAAAGTTTGCCGCAAACTCGGGACCAGACTCTGCCTTGTGGAAGAGTTGCGCGAGTTGGGAACGTGTCACGTCCATCGTTATCTTGTGGCCAAGTGCAAATTTAGTGGCACACTGCACGCGCCTGATGACTCGTACACCTCAAATCCACACACCAACACAAAGCTCCCCCGTGTAGCCTTTACCAGACTGTTGGGGCAAGTGATTTTCGCGAGCAGCACCTATGAAGGCCGTCAGGGCACACGAGACGGGGTGGGTGGCCGGCTCCACGCCCGGCCGCTGTTTGTCTCTACAGTGTTTCCACAAGGCGCCAGGTACTCATTTAAGGCTGACTCGACCTAGGGGATCCCCAGGACCCATTCAGACACGCGTCACCTATATTGGCTGTGAGCAGGAATTGGACTCGGGTGGCCGGGTTTCGTGGTGTAGTGCGTTAACCACTGCGCCACCGCTCCCCACAAAAAAAACACCCCACACCCAACACTAAAACGAATCGCACCACCCCGCCCACCTCCCCGAATAAACACCCCCAGCCTCCACACATCGACACAGACCGACACACCCACAGAAAACAAATAGGCAAAGGTATCCCGTACAGGCTGCATAGACTGTCGGGGCAAGTGCTCTTAGCGAGCACCTATGAAGGCCCACACAACACACAGACAAGCACTACACACACACACCATTGCACCCTAATTATATCCGCTCCCCACGTGTATGGCGAGCTGGGGATGCTGGGGGAGACTGGGGGCTCCGTATTAAGTGACAGCACAGCCGTCACGCACGTGCGCGCGACTCAGCGCTCCGGAACAGTGGGCGGTGGTCAAGACTCGGGACGGATTGGCAGCCAAAGGAGGGAAATTCATCACCCGGAGCACGCGGCCTGCTCTTAATTAGCGCTCATTCCTCGCATGATCGGTGTTTACATTCATACATCAAGTGAGCAATGACTTTTAAGAAAATATATTTTATTTATTTATTCAAATACCCCCCCCCCCCCCGACTTAAAGTATGTGGAAGTGCGCAAAGAAGCACGCTTGGAATTGCACTCCGAGCCAGAGAGGGGAAGGCGTGGAGGGGAGACGGCGCGCGCAGGCCACGGAAGGTGCTGGCCGCGTTGAGCGAAGAGCCACGTGGCCAGGGGAGGCGCAGTGGCGGCGGCGGCGGCCCGTGGTGGGGACTCCCGGCGGAGTTGCAGCCAGAAGCAGGATCCACGCCTTCATCCAGCAGTGGAGAGGATGATGATGATGATCATGACAGGTCTGGTGGCAGTTCAAACAGCAACGCTCCCAACGAGAGACGTAACATTCTAAAGCACTCTTCTTGAGCGTAAACTAATACACCCGCACGCCTTTACTTCCTCCAGAATCTTCTAAATGCAATCCCTGAAGAAGCTCCCAGCACGTGGCGCGAAACGTCCGACATCGTGCCCAAGGCTGCGACCACCCAAACGCACCACGGCGCCGCACAGCAGCGCAGCCGCCAGAATTCGCGCAGCGGAACGCGGCGAAATGAGTTGGCACGTCGAGGTGCCGGGTGGATTGCTCCATCGCACGATGGACCAGCGCGGTGGCTTGGGTGGGCCTTTATCCAGCAGTGGAGCGAGCATGCCTGCTGCTCCTTGTGATGATGGTGATGATGGTTATGACGACTGGGGATGGATATCTGAAGCCGGGAAGCGCTCGCCCCATGTCGCTCCTCGCTCCCAATGGGCGCGCGAGCTCCTTCCCGGCTTCCTCGCTGTTTGTTTTTCTTGTTGCTAAAGGCAGCGGGTGGCTAATGAGGTCAGGGCTCCACCACCAACCCAACCACCAACCCAACCACCAACCCAACCACCACCACAACCACCACTACAACCACCATCAACATAACCACAACCATCACCAGCAGCACCGCCATGCACCACCATCATCATCAAAGCAGAGCTGGAGAGCTCTGGGCGTTACGGGTGCTTTGACCAATCAGAGTTGATTGGCAATTAATTGCTCGCTAATTGCCTGGACACGGCGCTCCCTGCCGCAGCTGCATCAACACCCCGCCGCGTGCTCACGTGCGTTCCCAGGACCCCCCCCCCCCCCATCCCACTCCAGAGCC